AGTCAAGTTAGGGTCCGGGAAATTTTTTCAAAATTGTACAACCAAACTGTGAGTTTTGAGTTATTATTCGATGAAAATTTAAATATTTTTGAAAAGGCCCCCCAGAAGTAAAAAAAAGAGGTACAATTAACGTGACCAAGGGGGGATCCAGACCCCGGGGAACAGGTTGAGGGAAACCGGAAGTTAAAAATTTCCCGAATTTCTTCTCCTGAAGCATTTGTTTTCCAGATAAATTTTGCAAATCCCTCTGTAAAACAGAGACACTCAGAGCGCGAATAAAATTATCTTTAGATAAAATGCAGGGAGAAGAATTCAGGAAGTTTTCCTGGAAACTCGTTTTTATGGGAGAAAATGTTATGTGTGGCGCAGCATCTTCAATAGACCTTGCTAAGTTCTCTCCAGCAGCTAGAGTGTTGAATCGATATCGAATGACCTCGATTGATATAAGACATTGCTAAGATAAGGATTTTTTGATTAGGATCATTCCATAACGATTCGACGATCGACCCCCAGTATTTTGTTCCAAACTGATTAAAACCATATTGCTCTACAAGCTAAAAATATTAATTCCCCACTCTTAAAATTTTCCAGATCCGATGAAGACTCGGAGATCCAACGGGTGGCGAGCAGTTCGTTCCTGCAAGGGACACTGGGCTCCCGCTCGAGCGAGAGCCTCCGTCGCTTCCGGCCGATCGTCTCCTCGGAGTCGGCCGAGTTCTTCCGACCCAACGTCTGCCGGTCGCTGGCCAAGAGACGCCCGATCCCGACGACGGCGCCCAAGGCCACCATCGAGGACCTCAACGACGACCTGGACGCCCTGGGCATCGACGACCGACTCCAGCCCCAGCCCCAACCCCAACCCCAACCCTCGTCGAGCACGACACGCGAGACCCAGACTCCGCCGTCCACCACCCCGCTGCCGCCCAAGTTCCACTCCCTCCACTCCATAGCCACCGCCCAGAGCTCCCCGAGCATCCGCGGGGACTTGTCCCTCTCGGCCAGCTGCACCAACTTCAAGAAGGACGCGAACGCGCCGGGGGTGCCGAAGCCGCATTCGCGATCCGCCCGGCGTCCTTTCCCTAGTTCAACCAAAGTCCTGGAGATCAAGTCGCGGCCGGAGCTCAAGTACTCGAGCACCGAGTCGGTGACGTGCAGCAGCAGCGGGGGCAGCCTCGAGTCGATCCGGAGCTCGACGAGCGAGGACAACCGGAGCACGACGTCGACCGGGAGCCACATGTCCAGCAGCATCAGCTCCAACAGCTCCGAGTCGGCGATCCAGAGCTCCAGCTCCAGCTACCACTGCCCGATCACGCTGTCCAAGTTCTTCCACCAGCAGAACAAGCTCCACATCCTCTCGCCGATCTCGGACAAGTCGTCGCAGGAGCCGTCCGAGCGCTCGTCCGAGGACAACCGGGTGGCCTCGCAGCGGAACTCCCCCGAGGACCTGCTCGACGTCGTGGAGGCCGAGGCGGGGGAGATCCTCCAGAAAGACACCAAAAGTGCCAAAAAGCGGGCGCCGTTCAAGAAGAACCTGCCCCACCTGAATTTCTCGCAGACGTTGAGCCTGGACTCGGATTCCGGGGGCGGCGGGACGAACCAGAACTCGGACTCCGGGATCTCCATCGAGTACTCCAAGTCGAAGACCGGGTCCGAGGCCCACCCGGATTTCCTGGATCTCCCGTTCGACATGCCCAAGCTCCGGCGGAAGCGGTTGCAGATGCAGCAGAGCCTCGGCGTCCAGGATACCTCGAGCAGTGCTACCTCCGTAGATATTAAGGATCTTCCGTTCGATATGCCCAAGCTCAAGCGACGGCTTCGCAATTCCATTCCGGCCCAAACCATGCCATCCAATAACGTATCACTTGCGTCCTCCTGTAACAGTGTTCAAGAGACCGATCCCAAAGCATTTGTCAGTAAGTTCGCAAACATAATTTCACTTTTTTAATTTTTTCTGCTGCATATTGTGGAAGGAAGGCCTGGTAGTATTTAAGGTGAAAGTATCAACAATTGACAGATCAATTTATTTTAGCTCTAGCCTGTCAATAGGAGGTCTGGTAGAATTTGAAAAGCAACAATTCAAAATACCATCATGTGTTTCTCAGCTTGAGTACCCAACCCCTACTCTCAAGAATATAATTTTCTAAAAATCTTAGCTCTTGTGCCAAAATTAAGACTAACATTTAGAGAATATAGAAAGTTCAAGAGATGAGGGCATTTAGAAATTTATCACGCTGAATAACACCATGCACAATCTCGATTCTCAAGACATTTTGAATCTTCATTTTTCATTTACCGCATGCAGGCAGCTACACATGGAATCGATTGTTGTGCATTTTGAATGAGCGGAAAACTGTGTAGATAACTTGCAAGTATCGCCACTGGATAGGCGATTTTTCATTAGCATGACAAACAGAAAATGATTTTGATGCCCTTCTCAGTGTTAAGAAAAACTAAAACCAATAAATATCAATGGCAAATTGTGGCTATTGCTGCTTATGACTATATTCGGAGTATGTAATTTCACATTTGTAAGAATTAGGGTGAGAGGATTTTGCCGTTAATCATATTTTTTTTATCTTCATTTTACAGGTCGAACTCAACTGACGTTAAATTTCGGCACGGGTGTCAAGAAAGACCCAAAATCCTTAGATTTAAATTTGAAATTGGGAGAGATCAATTCAACAAGTCTGGCCGGCGAAAGCTTTGATGTGACGTTACCACTTGAAAGACAATCGTGAGTTTTTAAAATTTCTAAAAGTTTATACATGAATTGTATACCATTCAAAATTTGCACTGTTTTAATTTTACATTAAACTAGCACAGGCATGGTCAACAGGCTAACTGATTTCGGGGAAAACATTTGAAACACATCTCATGTTCCACAAAAAACAGAGATTACCAAAGAGTTGCTTTCAATCGTGGTAATTGGCGTGGAGAAAAATAGCGGCATTTTCTCTTATGTAAAACTAGCAGCGGGAAGGCATAAATGATCGATTATCGATATTTCCCCATTTGAAGTTACATTACACTCATTTTATTATTAAACACATTCCATTCAGAATGATGCATTTTATTTATTTTACATTAAATTCATTAAACACGTTCCACACACAATGATGCACTTTTTAAACCCGTGATTTTATGGTGGTTTTCCAGTTGGTATCATGGCAGTATAACGCGAGTGGAGGCAGAAAATATTCTTCGCAATGCAGCGGAAGGCAGTTATTTGGTGCGGAATAGTGAATCATCAAGACTTGATTATTCGCTGTCTTTGAAGTAAGTCCAACACACAAAATCATAGTTTTTTTCTGAAAAAATTAGCGTTTGAAATGCTTTCACCAGTGTTTGAAACTCACCTTTGAGTTTCAGGAGCCATGTGGCGCATTAAGCTTGATTTTTAGGGGCCATTGGCAGGACCGGATTAAGGAGGTGGCCACATGGGCCGCGGCCCATGGCGGCAAATGTAGGAGGCGGCAAATTTTGCAATTTTTTTTAAATGTAGGTATAAGAAAAAAAACTCGTAATTAGAAAACAAAAATTACAAACGAGAAAAGGCTACAAAATCTCTCATTTCCTGAGAGTATAGTAATTTCTACTTTTGTCGTCTTTCAGTGATACAAGAGACAGAGCCTTCAATTAGTCGAGTTAAGAAAGAAACCGAACACGCAATTTGGCCTGGAACGGCGCGACTTACCTAGAGAGAAATGATGACGAGGACTTGAGATGAAAAGGAGAAGCCCTCGGCGCGGCAATCGGCATGTAACACATATTAGCGCCTACAAGACTGCACGAATACTTCACGCATTGCATCAATTACAGTTCGGTCATTGCGGACAGCGTGAAACGGATAGCGCCTACAAGAATGCATGGATACCTCACGCATTGCGGCAAACACAGTGCGATCAGCGGGAGACGCATAGCGCCTACAAGACTGCGTGAATACTTCACGCATTGCGCCAAACACGGTGCGGTAGGCGCGGCGCGACGGCGGAAGTTAAAATCATTAAACCAAATTTTGTTTTTGTTCTTTCATAAGTTTTTCGTTCACTTCTTATGAATGGGAGGCCTTGTCCACACAGAGATAGGTTTACGAAACTTAACTTGCGCGCAAAGTTCTGTGAACTTTTGCTAGTAGTGTTGACAGGGCTTTCCCAAAAAATGTGTTCAACACGAGTAAACGCGTCTTATGCACCCCTCCCCCGCTGGCACGTTCATTTGATGGTTTTCATTGGTGTTTCAAAACGAATGAGAAGGGGGCAGCAAAATACTAGCGGCCCATGGGCGGCAAGTAGGTAAATCCGGCCCTGGCCATTGGAGATTTTTCAGGGGCCAAATTGAGTTTTTGCCCATATACCTCGGCACATTCAGTGAAAAATTAGACGCAAGATGTTTTAGTTACAGAATTAGTAACTGTAACTTGGAGGAAATTTCGAAAAATCACCAAAGAGAAAAATTAGGATTTTTTTGAGGGGAGAGGGGCGAGTTTTAGGGGCCACGTTGGCGCAGAGCCTTCTTTTTCTAGGCGCCATGACCGATTTCTTAGACGCATTTGGCGCGTTGGTGCATGTGAGTTTCGAACACTGGCTTTTACGAATCTTTCATCAGAAACCCTCGATATTACGAGTACATACAGTTGACGCATGAAAAAGTAATTTTTAGCTGGAAACGCTGCTAGCAGCTTTTTTAAGTGCACTGTCGTTTTTTTGTGAAGAATGAAGAAGGAAAAAGTTAAACAAATTGGATCCCTGCTGAATTCTAGAGCGTAAGCGAGATTATTTCCTGATCTGCAAACTATGTAGAAAGGATCATTCTCACGATATGACTAACTTTTACTAACTTAAACTAACTTTTATGTGTCGTTGTATTTCAGGAGTGCTAGAGGTTTCATGCATATGCGTATCCAGAGGGACAAGGAATCGAATCAGTTCATCCTCGGCCATTTTAGCAATCTCTTCGTCAACGTTCCTTCTATGATTCACCATTACTCACTGAATCGGATCCCAATTCGAGGTGCCGAACACATGCGATTACTTCACCCGTTGCCGGAACAGCTCCTGTAAAATCCCCTATGGACCAACCCGCTCTATTATTACCCGTCCATGGATCGTGTGTGTAACACATCGCAGCCGCACTATCTTCAGTCTGATATTTTGCCGAACGTGAAGGTGGGAAAGGCAGTGAAGAGACTGATCAAAATACGATCCAAATCAGCCGAATCGTGAGCGTCTTCCGATGCGACGAGTCAATCATTTGGAGTGCATTTTGCAATTTGGACCTATAAATTCGGGCTCATCTGAAAAAACACGTATGTTCATAGGGAAACTAATGGAACATTCGTTGTTTTTAAACCGGGTCGGAATTTACAGTTCTCAATTGCAAAATGAAGTCTATTTAAGGTGATTCGTCAAGGTTTCTGAAGTGGCCGAACTGGCACGCGATATATCGCATTAATTATGTCAAAAATCTCAGCAGATTTTCAATTTTTAGCCAAAAAAATAAGGACGGTAGCCCCTCCGCATGAGCCTCAAGGGTCATATCGTAAACCTAAAAATTTGACAAAATTCTGAGGTATGAAAGCAGAATCCTGCGGGCTGATTGTTGAAATTGATAGACAAAGCTATAGACAAAGGAGACATAGGGGAGTATGGAGCGATCCTATTGGTTGAAATGGGTGGTTGTTATAGACTAAAGGGCTAAATGATAGACTAACTATGGGGTCTCTCGTGGGTTACCGTTAGTTAGTCTATCACCTACCTCCTATTTCCATTGCAGCCACCCGCTCCCACCAATAGGATACCTCCATATCCCTTTTAACCATTTGAACAGTTTGTTTTATGCCCACCAATTATGACGCCACAAAATGTGTGTGAAGATGTGCCAGACTAGAGCTACAGATAAGCTCTTGTCACACGATCACACCTTGTTATCAATTATCGAGGTCAAACGCTGTGATTGGTCAAAGCTATCGAATAAGCCAATCACAACACCTGATGCTTGATATTTTGATCGCTAGATTTCATCGTGTGCAATTAGTTATACTATCTCAGCCTCCCGTTGTGTGACTGTACTGTTTTACTACACCGGCCGGATCTCGTCAGGAACCATCTAAAATATTCTCTAATTAGCGACTTTCATTGCGGGACAATTAATAATCGCGTCATCCGCTTACTTATCCAATTTGATGCACTCTATAGCATCCAGCAATTTGGGAACACCGGATTCCTTCCATTTAGACGTACGTTAAATAATCGATTATTGTCAGAACACCTGGCCAAGAATCGATTTCTTTTTCATAGGTTTAAATGGAGAAGAACAATGTTGACAATTTGCTGCATCCGCCAGTGGTAAGAAAAAACCAAATATACTGCTCGCTATATACGTCTTTTTGTCCATCAAAGTTGCGATTTGTGCCTTCGTGTAGTCCTCGTTTTATAGAGCAACAAACTCACTGTTTAGTGCCAAGGGAAATTGTCAGAAAAATGTAAAAGGTGCGTGCCGTTCTAAAGTAGTGTGCAATAGATTTTAGTTTAAGAAACACATATCCATTTGATACGTTTGTAGAATGTAGACGGTTTGTATTGAAACTTTTAGTAGAGATCAATGAGTAGTGAAACGTGTATGTTTTTGGCCATTTATACCAAGTTATTTTTTAAGTCCAACTTAGTTGTTTTAAAGCATACTGAGCTAAATTAAGAAACAAAAGCCACGCTGAGCCTTATATACACGCATAGGTGTTTAAAGAATTGAGAAAATATTATCTGGAGCTCGTCAAACAGTGACTTTGAAATTTCTTAACTACTGTTTTTAAAGAAAATGAAGAGAGGAAAAAACTCCTGCCAAACTATTTTCGTGCAATCTTAGGTCTAAAAGTTAATGTCACGAGACCATCAATACCATTGTATCATAGTTAAGATTAATACTGGAGGTGTTTGAAACTTCAAGCGTGAAAACGATATGAAAGCAGATTTTTATGACAAGGAGCAACGCCAATTTTCATGCAGCTCCGTAATTCTGAAAATACCGGCAATTTTTGGAATCTTGCGATATCTTTAAGTAGGACCAGATGCATCTTCCCAAAATGATTCAGGGGATAGAAAAGAGGCCATACTAAAAGTTTGCCTAATTTTAAGCGAATTTTGAAAATTGTTCGATTACGTCCGTGTACAACATTCTTTCTTAACAGCTATGCATGCTAAAAGTGTCTTAATTAAGTAGATCGCCATCAAAGTGTATCTGTTTCCTTCCATACTGTTTGTTAATCCCTAACAGAACCGTCTATATGCCGTCTCTAATTTAATCACAATAAGCATAAAACTGAGCTTTGTACCCCATACTTCAACACGAAGATGAAACTTAGGTCATTTTTTCTCTGAAAAATGGGTGAAGTGTCCTCTTGAGAATACTTTTTTAGCCCAAGGCGATCGAGCCCAAGTTATTCATGAACCTGACACAGCAAAAGTTCCAAGCCAATTATCTGTGTTTTATTTCCCGAACGTAAGCAACACTTTGATATGTGCTCTTAATGAGTTTTTCAACGAATAATGTATGTGGTGAAGACAAATGAGAAAACTTGCGGAAGCAACACCACCCTCAAGACGTCATCTATAGAAATGACAGGAGGTGAATGATTACGACTTTAAAAGCTCGATTATACAAACATTTTACCACGATGGATGCCACGATATTAATTCCATCAAGAAGTAGAAAGCGAAATATTTAATATTCTTGGTAATATTGGATACATTTCTTCTTTTACTGACGGTAAATTTCTTAAGTCTTATGACTGAAATGTAAAAATAAAAAAAATGGTGTATTGCTGATGTAAGTATTCATTCATTTCTCCATAGATGCTTTTTTGCAAATATTTCATAGGACTCATGGAAATGGTTCCATTTCTATGTGAGACAATTTTAGTTCTCAAACAATGAAGATTGATAAAATTTTGATCATGGTTTGATTGAGTTGACTTACGGATCTGATCTTCGGTAAAAAATAATACTAAGTATATGTTTTTAAGAAGTCATGCTTCGAACTATAATAATTTTTTACAGGTACGAAATAGTGACCAAACAGTGATAGTTACCAGTTTTTGTAAATTTGTATTTTGTGCAAGTCATTTGTGAAACTTTATGTAGTTGTTGTTGTTCATTTTATGTTCGTTAAAAAAAGGCAAAAATAAATTTAAAGTATATCATTCATAAACTGATGTTGTTTCACATTATTATCCCAATGACGTTCTTAAGAAACATGTTGCATTTCAAGAAGATAAAACTCATAGAGAGTTGCTTTTTAAAATATTTTGCCCGAACAGAGCGTTTGAATTGGTTTCGGCCTCGAATCACTATTAATCTACCTACCATTAAACTTCACTCAACTTGTATCTGCGAAATAATTGTTGGGCACACCTTATGGATTGGCAGGACATTCGCTTTTGAGGTAGAAGCGAGAAGCCCTAACAGAAATCATACCTACGATGGGAAATTGTCGTTGTATACTTTCACTGAGAATCTTCCTCAATTTAGCAATAGTAATTGTTGACAAAAGAACAAAATCAGTAACAATTACCATTACAGTGATAAGCTCTGTTACTTAACTCCTATTTGTGATTACATAGATAAATGTACGCTATGACAGCTCGAGAACATGGATCTAAAATAGGACAGGAAAAGGCGGGGACGAGGTTGAAAAACACAATAACTTACAAAGCACGGGATGTTTCAACCGGTCTCCCACTCATTATATCAACCGTCGAAAAAGAAAAATTTAAAACATCTAAAAAAACAAAAGCTACAAAACAATGTTACCGGTCCCTAGTCATGGCAGCGAGAAGACAAGGATCCTCGCCTTTTTCTGTCATATTTATGACTATACCTATACACATAATTTATTTTTAACGACAGAATCTTGCCTCTCAAAAAGCTCTTTTACGGTACACACCGACACAAAAGCAAACTTACAAGTAGTTGTTCATTATTGCAGATTTTAAATCTATCCGGTAATATGATGATAATTCAAAATTTTTATTCGTGATGTAAATATAAATATTGGATGATAATTTAAAACTTCCAACCACTGCCCGTGCGCATTGAAGTTCTTCCTGCAAAAGTCATACTTAAGTATATCCCGGTATTCACAAGTACTTTCTTTTCACAAACAAATGTCAACAGAATCTTTGACGTCAAAAACATGTTTGTAGTTACTTCGAAATGCAGTTGTGAGAATAATATTTCAACGTTGCAAAATGTACAGAGGGGTGTATTTAACAATGTAAAAAAAAGAAACGCGGGGTGAGGCTGAGGGGAAAAAATTAAACAATGAACACACACACGGGACGTTTTCCAGGTTTGATCATACGTAACAAAAAAAAGGAATAAATTCTTAAAACCTTAACAATATACCGATCACAATTCCTTTTCAATTTATACCAATCACACTTTAACAATCCAATGGTTACAATAACTAGCCCGTCAGATCTCTCGGTAGTTTCATACACCTAATGAATGCAGCCCTTTAATTTTTTGTTTTGTTTTTTTGCATGAACTGTTAAAGTCCAAAATTAATGAAGAAAGTACGGGTTTTTGAGTGAAGTTAGGCAATGCGGCTTAATACTTCAATGACGACTGAAGGGAAAAAAACTTTCCAATGAAAGTGATGCAAGCGGTACAACTGCACTCAAAACACGGCTAAATTACCGAGCATTTCTTAAAGACTCAACACGGAGGATCATACAGGTGTTTCTGGAAAATGCAGCTGGAATCGTGAAAAGCGGGCTAAAATAAAAGTCAACTTTTTCCATCGCGTGCTAGTCCCGGCGGTAAATGCGCACTATTCGCATGTGTTTCCGAATGTTATAAATTTGAGTCCCCACCAGCCCCGTCCCCAATTATGTGCCCGTGATGGAACGTAAGCAGAATCTGCACAGGTACATTTTTAGCCTCTCTTTCGCTTTTGTAGATTAGTCAGAATACCGCTCCCGGTACGGGTTACACAATTTTTAACGCTGTGGAGTTTACACATATTCCATCATCTGGAAGCATTCCTTCGTCCATTTTCCAGTGTTTTCATTCTTAAACCCATGATACTTTATAACTGACTCATCTCACAAAGGCAACAATTAAAGGTACTGTGAACTTGAGTTGCTTTATGGGTACAGATTTCAACCTAGGTGTGGCTTCAGGCATTTTTAACCGATTCAGAGCTTTTTCGTTGATGATTTCAAAAGCTAATATTTTTCCCTGTGCGTTTCATTCATGTATACCCGTCAGTTCTGACCAGGATGTAGGTATACACGATTGAAACGTGGCAAAAATCCTCTAAAAACGTATTCTCCCGCAAGTGACTAAACATAGCTTAGAGGTTATATATCCGGATGACAACGGCTGCAGGAGAGTGTCTTTGACTATCCATATGTCTTTGCACGGCCATTCGACATTGAATAACATTTTAAAGTTGGAAACAGATTCAAATATCTTTTATTTTGTTTTCTTTTTCTTATTCTATACGCATTAAATGAAGAGCTGTGGACCACGTGACCCTGTAATAATGCACATGTAGGTAACAATTCTATTTTGCAAATCAAATTAAATATAAAACACCTTGAGTCTAGGAATATATTATAGAAAATGGACCAATACCCCCCGAGATGGTATCCGATGCGTGATAGGGGGAGAAACTGATAGTGAGAGAAGAAAAAAATGTCATTCGGAGGTTCGAACACAGAACCCCTCAATCAGTGGTCGGGTGCAGTGAGCTTTAAGTTGTAGGATGTTAGCGCTTGCCCATAATGGGCAGAACAATTATTGCGCGCCCTTATGGATAGTCACAACTCGGTCAAACGTATTTAGATTTCATAGAGATGCTAGTATCACAAAGCTATTAATTTGTCAGTAAAGACGGTGAATGCAAAAAGGGGTATCTCGTTTGCGGTGTTTCAAAATCTACGCTCTCATTATATTTTTTCCAAAGACAACGAATTATCAGCATTGCTCGAAGTTTTTGAAGAATATTCCTAAGACGGAGAGAAAAAATCAGGGGAGTTTTCAAGAAATGATGTCAAGTTTTTTTTCTATTTGAAAAAGGAATGATAATAGTCAAATGTGCAACGTCGCAAACCGAGATACGCATTTTTGTAGTTTCACCATCGATGTCCTCCATACAACACATACTTAAAAACCACCCGCACACTAATTATATTTTAAACTAATTTAATACAAAAAATACTTGGAGTTGGATCAAGTGGCTTTGAAACATATTTTGTACAGAAGGGACAGTTGGCCTTCCATTTGAGAGTAGAAGACCCCTTAGTTGTCGCTAGCAAAGCATTTTGAATCCGTGTGACCACCTAATTTGTTTATTCCTAATTTCACGTGCGGATAAAGGGCACACAGCACAGCAAACTATATGTACAGGTCGAATTTAGTTAAGGCTCTATAATTTTTCGTACGGTATATACTTGTTATGCTGTCTAGATATGTACTTATGGACTTCATTTTGAAATGGAGATACTAACTGCATACCTATTTTATTTCTTAAATGAGCCAGAAATAGGAGTTCTGTGCTGCAAAATTTACTCTACATGAGGATACCACTATTGAGACTCTCGTGGGTCCGTTTTTGCCTATTTCATGAATTGAAGGAAAATAGTGCCTTGTTGTGAACCTCACAAATAGAAGCAACTCCCTAACTCTTTCGAACTCCCTCGGTTCTATGTTGTCCAATTTCATTGTATGGAGGCGACATGGTTAACTCTTTAATAGTTTAGTGTACCGCGGACTTTATTGTCGTTATTGCAAGTATACCTTGGAACTTGCCTTTAGCATAAAAACATATAAGACCCAAAAGTAGGAATTTAAAAATTATATCCAGACCCTCTCCTGTAGAGAGAAGGAAGAGGTGCTACAGAACATACCCCCGCTAAATAAAAAATTAGTTGGATTCGTTCTTTCTCTCTCTTCCTAGAATTTCCGTTCGCTTAACTCTGCCTCCCGTTGCATCATTTTCTTGCGAGAAATCCATGTTATTGCCCGTATCTTTATACGTTATACATATTTTACATTACATCCGGGGATTTCCAGGGCCAGATTTACCTACATGCCGCCTATGGGCCGCCTGTATATTTCCGCCCCCTTTTCATTTGTTTTGAGACATCAATAGATCGTATTCGACAGTGTTCCGATGTATCGTTTGGTTCAAAACAATAGAACATATCCCCAAACAAAAATTTTAGGATTTAATTTGGAAGAGTTGAAAATGAGAAAATTCCTAACAATTTCACTTTTCAATGCCATTTGGCACTCGAGAGAATAAATATTCGATCACATAAGACCCGTTACCTCAGATTTCTAAATTGACTTTTGAGGCTGTGGTTACATATCGAACCAATCGATATCAATATAATCTCACCTGTGTGATCTGTCGAATACGATCTATAAAAACCATCAAGTGAGCGTGCCGGTGGGGGAGGGATGTATAAGACGCGTTTACTCGTGTTGGGCACATTTTTTGTAAAATCCCTGTCAACACTAACAAAAGTTCAGTTCTGAAAACACATCCCTGTTTGGACGAGGCCTTCCATTTATAAAAAAAGAACGAAAAAATTATAAAAGAACAAACATAAATGTGGTTAAAAACTTTAACTTCCACCGCCGCGCCGGCCGCACTGTGTTGGCGCAATGCGTGAGGTATTCAGGCAGTCTTGTAGGCGCTATGCGTTTCACGCTGACCGCGCTGTGTTTGACGCAATGCGTGAAGTATTCATGCCGTCTTGTAGGCGCTATGCGTTTCGGGCCAACGGCTGCTGACCGCAGTGTGTTTGACGCAATGCGTGAAGTACTCATGCAGTCTTGTAGGCGCTATGTGTTTCATACCGACCGCCGCGCCGCTCCGTTCTAGGTCAAATTGCGTATTTGGTTTCTCTCTTTACTCGACTAATTAAAGGTGTTGTCTCTCTTATCACCGGAAGACGACATAATTAGAAATTACTATACTTCTACTTCGGAAGTGAGAAATTTTGTCGCCTTTTCTCGTTTGTAATTTATTTTCTGAATCAGATTGTTTTCTCTCATTCTTGATACCTACATTCAAAAAGATTGCAAAATTTGCCGCCCCCTAAACTTGCCGCCATGGGCTGCGGCCTTTGTGGCCATCCCCTTAATCCGGCCCTGGGGATTTCCTAACAACTCCATACTGCACAACACCAACATAACATCAAGTGTCCATTATTGTTTCTTCACAATTTCCAAGAAGTTCACGCGCCCAGCTGCATATAATAGCGACAAGAAGATTCGCCGAGCTTTAGAAGCAGGGTGATACGAAAGTTCCGCACTACCAGCACCAGGCATCTTCGTGTAACTTTTGAAAAAATTGAGATAGAAACTCGAAATTTTGTGATGATCCTCGGTCAAAGAAAACGACTCACGCAATTCCCCAAAATTTTAAAGGAACCACCCCCAAAAGGGGTCAGACCCCTGGGGGTGATGCGGGACTTATGGATCATTCAATAAAACATTTGGCAAAAGGATTTACTTGCAGCAGTTGACCATGTGCTTCCTAAGATTATGATGAAAATCGTGTACTAAAAAGCGTGCACCAAATAAAATATGCTAAGACTATTCAAGCTGTCATGTAATTTTAGTAAAATTCAAGGTGATGAAAGCTAATAAAGCCTCAATTTATTTTATTTTGAATCATCTGCAACTCTGCATGCAACGCTAGCCTTGTTTTGACACTAAAAGCGCCTCAATGACGCCTAAGATGGCTGCATGAGCCAATCAGAAATGGATCCGTCAGTTGCGATACTCCCCTTTTAAAGGTACATTAGATGGCGGTGGAGTTTGTCGGCTGGGACGTCGCGTCGCCGCGCCGCGTCGTTGCGTCATCAGTTCAGGGCAGGTTAAAGCCGCGGTTCCACAAATCATATTCGATACATCGAACAGGTGAGACCGTATCGATATCGATTGGTTCAACATGTAAACATAGCCTGAAGTTAATTTAGAAATCTGAGGTAACGGGTCTTTTGTGATCGAATTTTTATTCTTTCGAGTACCGAATGACAATGAAAAGTGAAATTATCAGGAATTTTCCAGATTAAATTCTGCAATTTTTGTTTGAGGTTATGTTCTATTGTTTTGAACCCAACGGTACATAGACCACTATCGAATACGATCTATGATTTTACACTTGTTCGATACAAGAGCCTTGTTATTGGGATATTTAAACTCATATGGCTGCCTGCTGCGCGCCGCAATGTCGCTCAGTACTCCAATTTCTCGGAACTAGTGCCGAATTCCGGAACTTTTGAAATTCGCAAAGTGTTCCGGATCTTTTGCATTTTCCGGAACTTTTGACAAATCTAAAAAAAATCTCGGACTTTTGACGGTCACGGAGAGGGAGAAATTGGAACAAAAAAATTCCGAATCCCGGAATTTTTGAGGGGCATGGAATGGGAGCACAGCTGTCGCTTTCTCGTCGCGGGCTATCTGTGGAAGCGTGGCTCGAGGCGCGGTGTTTTGCAGTGATCGGCGAGTGGAGTGAGCAGCTGGAAGACGGCATCGGCAGGCAGGCGTCATCCACGACGCGGTTCGTCACGCACGGGCAGCCGATGACGTCCTCGTGCGAATTTCGGCGCGTGCGTGAGGACCCATTGTGCCCGGCAAAACAACCGGCAAAGCTCCGTCCCGCAGCCAACGAATTCGCCACATCTTCCGGGAAAGGGCCCTCGTATTTTCTTGCCGGCACCCACAGCGCCTGCACGCTAAGCTCTCGGGTGAAGGACCTGGATCCTATAACATAGTTACCAAATTAAAATACAGCGAAAGCTCCCTGAATTGAACCTCCGTGAAGGCGATAACGCGTCTGCGTGGAAGTGGTGCCTTCTGTACTGCTGTGCTAAGGAGAACGCCGTATGAACTTTCAGACGTTGCCATATCTCCTTCAATTAAAACCGAACTTATTGAGGAATATGCCCGCATGCATTGAACTTTTGCTCCTAGCTTATTCTTTCATCACAACCACAACAATGATGGACAACGGACTTCACAGCAAGCAAGCGGAAATTGTTCTGTGATATCTTGTGAGAATGCTGAAAGCTTTCCTGTCCCGTGTAAAAATTGTGGGACAGTACCTTTACTGCATAATTTCGGTATCATCATAGAAATAAGTTTGCCGCAAACTTTCTGCGGGGCTCCGTGGAAGTGCTCTGAAATCTTGTAGCAAAGTTACAGACCCATGTTGCTGCAAGCGTTATGGCAAAAATTGTGGAACAACTTTTCGAAGATTTCATGAAATTTTAAAAGAGCAAATATCAATCCTGTTGCAAGCTTATTTGCCGTGTGTGTAGAGAAAGGAAACAAATACTTGAGCTCAAAACTATCCTATATTTATTTATTTTTTTATTTATTATTTTTTTTTTTTTCAAAACGTAAGCTTATTCTTAATTTAACTCCATACCGGAAAAATGGAGAGACTACACTCCGTCCCACGCTAAGCACCTTCTGTTACCGTCTTCATCGTCAGTTGGGTGACACCCTCCATTCATAAGCATGTGCGGGGGCTGAATTTTCATGAATGAAACAGCTGAGTCTCCTTGCGAAGAGTAATCTCCTGATAAAATTGAGAGACAAATCGATATTTGATAACAAGTATGAGGTGTAGGTTTATTTTTCTTTTTTGTTTTAGAGTATCACTGTCGCAAAGTTATTTTTGGCGCGTGCTTTACGGTGATCCATGGACGTTTCATGGGGTTCCACCACTTCACTTTTAAGTGGGTGTATTTTTATGATATTTGTATCATGGGATCCCAATTGCGATTGCAAATTTTCCACATTTTGCAGTTAGGATACAGTCTACTGGATCACTCCCTACTGATCTTGTGCAGTGTTTCACTAAAAATTACTTAACCGGAATATTTTCTATATGGAATTCACAAATGTCTGCTCATTGTGACAACTGTGTAGTTTGTATGCTTGTGTGTGTTACGACCGTGTAAGAAAAGTTCGCGCAAAAGCAAAGATCCACTCTTTGTAATTAGGGTTACAAGTTAATCCAGTTTTCACGGGGATGTTCTGCCAGACGACTGTCAAGTGGTCACGAGCGAAGGGCCCATGAGCTCACTGATTTTTCAATTGCGGTTTTGAAAATTAGATTTCCAATCGTAGTCAGTATCAAAAAATATTGGAAAACGGATCCGCGTGCAGACTTTCTTTTAGAATGATAATAACCAATTATTTAAATGTGGGAGTGAGTGTATCGCATTGAAGGTATAGGAGAGAAAACTTTCCGAGGAGACGGTTTCGGTTAAGGTAATGTGATCCGCAGAAATTTCATTAATGCCTACGTTTGATTCCATGGCTAATTTTTACTATCAAAATCGTTTAGCTTTTCCATCAGTTTATTTTGAATCTTACTTAAATCGCATAATCTGAATGCACCTTAAATACTTTTAACATTGTGAAAAGATTATTTTGATTGAAAATTCAGCTTCAGAATGGCCTGAATTTCAGATTTTTGATTCCAATCGTGTTTTAATAAGGAGTTTTGTGTTCATGACTTCATTTCAGTGCACTATCAACAAGCGAATATTCAATAAAAAAATATGAGGCCTGCTTTTGAATTGAAAAATAATAGAAAGAAAATTAGGTATATGTCCCGTTCATTTTCTTTTCTCTCTAAATTAGAAATGAATTATTTAATTATCAAATCCTTGCTATTTCTGCTTATTTTTGACAGCAATTTAGTGTGAGCTTCCAGAAGCGTAAATTTTATCGTCTTAAATTATTTCCAAAAGCCTCTCTTCTTTAACTACTTTCAGCACAATTAATGAATTAAGAGTATTGAGGATTAAAAATGTATATGATTTTAGAAAAATAACTGTCACAGCCGAAAAATTATCCGCAGAACTTTATGGGTGAAATTCCAAAAGCGCAACCTCCAAAAGTCTGATCGAGAATTTGACGTAAGGACATCTTTGCGTCCCTCCTCAACAGGTTCTGCATTGATCCCAGGTTGATGCATATTTCTCATGACGTACTTATTTTTAACTCTTTCGGAAAAACAAATATGTCTGGATATGTTCTCGAAATTTTTTTCTTAATGTGTTCTTAGGTCAGGAAGCACAGGGCCGCAGCCCACATTTTAGGGGAACGTTGTAATATCTGTTAACAATCAAAGCATTTTTCGGAAAATTGACAATGTTACGATAAAAATCAGGAATATTTTACTTCATCAACGCAAGGGGAGACGCTGGAATCAAAGTGAGGTGTGAGAGAAACAAGCAAAGCAACGGACACCAAGCGAATTTCATCACAACGCATGGATACAACTATTCGAGCTCCCCGGATGTCCGTGTTGCATAAGCAAGGAGTTGAAGGCGTTTCCACTCTGCGCGTACTCACCATTCACCCTGGCAGCGGGTTGTACCAATGAATCCGAAATAATAGAGCGCCTTCAATTCTTCATATACACGACTAGTACATCCACTTCACACATTTTTATCGCCACATTGTCAATTAGCTAAAAAATGCATGTATTGTTTTTTTTTTTTATTATAACGTTGCCGGTCCTAGAAGTCGGTAACAATTTTAAGCACCTGGACATACTTTGTAGAGCATTCTTTGATCTACATTAATGAGCGAGGCATCCTTTGTTTAAATGTTTATTCTCCTTTTGGAAAAATACTTTTAACGTTTAGGAGCGAACTTTTTCAAGAACAATCCTCGAGGCCGGCCTAAAGTTCCTCGCATAAACTCCCAGTTAAAGCGATGCCAAAAAGCATGCATAAGTGTTTCTTCTTAAGTTTTTCTTTCCTTGGGGATTTGCGCTTGTGGGGTCAGTCTCGACACTCTCTTTTTGCGCTAGTAAGCCATGAATTCCTCACTTCTGGACTTAGCGCTTTCAGTAAGCCTCCAACTTATGACAAAAATGAACTTTATACATTGAGATGAACAGGTGAGCTCGAAAGCACGAAAGCGCATCACTTCTCCATGTTATTTTCGGAGACTGGTTCAATTAAATTACTAAAATAACAATTTGTTTCTTAAAAAAAATGGCTCAGCTCTCTCTCTCTCTCTTTTGTGTTATCTTTTAAATTATAAACACACGGAAAATAATTACCTCAATATTTTATTTTGAAAAAAGAAAGGGGAAGCAGTGCTTTCTTTGCTTACATGGACTTTATTCCACTAAACGGCCACTGTTTAAAATAGATAATGAGTTAGTCAATTTTAGTTTGCAAGCGAAAAATAAACGACGGTAGGAAATTAATAAGATGGTTAACAGTTGAAAAATTATATGTTTTGTTCAAATATGTAGAAGAAGTAAGATACTCAGAAATCATCTTTATATTCACTACGACGCTAGAATACACTTTCTTCTGTTCCTCCCTCTCCTCCCAGTTATCTGATTCAGCTTAACTCTATTGTTAAAAAATAACATATCTTGCAAAATTTTGCAGCTACATTGGTGTTACGTGCTTGAGACTATCTTTGATTAAACTAGCCGTTCCTTTGAAAAAGGGCGTGAGGCAGGCTCACGCCTTTTTTCCCCCACCGCCTCAAGTGGACTACTTTTAGAATCATACTTTTAAGATCAAGAGGGCAAAAGGGCCTTTTTTAGGAACTGACATACTTGCGCCGATAAATAGTTCTTTTGAAGTCATATTCATTGAGATAGTTAAAAAAATTGCAACAATACAATTTTGGAGATTTGGAGGGAAATTTACCCTTCAAAGAAAGTTTGATAGCTCTGAAAAAATAAAAAAAAAACTGGACTTCCTAGGCAAAGGTATTTAATAGAATTTTTTAATTTGCCCCCTGCAACACTAACCAGTTTTTCCAAAATAAATTACCCAAAGTTGCAGCTCTAAACTTTTATACTCGAAAGGGCGCACATGTTGATGGGATTCATGAAGATGAAAAAAAGCTAGGGTCAACAAAACAGGAATCCATTTTTCCTTTTCGAAGATCTGCGTTATTATGACTAATGACCTTGGCTATTGAGATTTTCAAGTTCAATCTCACTAAGCCTATGCTGTAATTTAAAGTTTAGATAAACAAAACTTATCGTGCCAAAAAAAATTATTTTAATATGTTTGTGATTCTTTAAGTAATTTCGAAAAATGTACCTTGTGCCCTCTCACATCCCACATGATTTGAGTGCTGCACTGTGCTTCTTTCTCTCCCTTTTTTTCTGTGAAAATCGATTTTTTTGTAAGCACAATATTTGCAAAAAGGTATTGTGACGAGTTGAAAGTGATTTTGGAAACTGGTGATGTTTTAGATTGTACGTTTATGATCGGGCAGGATGATTATTTTGGTGACCATTCTCATTTCGTATTTTGTTAGAGGAAGCGTCCAAGATAATATCGGCCCTTACCACGAGAACGAGGGAACAGAGGAACATTTCACCCACGAGTGGGTCATCTCGGCTAAGGGTGGATCGGATGCGGCGAAAAAAATTGCACAAGACCTGGGCTATCGCTACGTCGGAGATGTAAGTCCTTGCGTTGTCACTCTCCGAGTTGTTACAAGATTTTGATATCTTTCAGTATATATGTTTACAACTTAAGTAAAAAAAAAAAAGGCCAAAAAAACTTGAAAATCTTTTGAAAAGATAACCCGAGTAAATTTTTCAAAACTCAGAAATAAAAATTTTCCAGTGAGAAGATCAGGACAACCTCTCACATTCGGCTGCAGTGCTTTTAATCTAGTTTCCGATAAACAAATCTGTCAATGAATGCTTTGAAATAAGAGATTTACGGCAACTAGAATTAGTTATCATTACAGGGAAGTATAAGAACCCATTTATTGCCGACCTCAAATTTTCTGTAGATTCCAACCTCAAAAACACGTGTCTTGATTATGATGTTTGAACATTTGGAAAACAAAACGGTATATCCCAGTGTAATGATCCCAATTTAGAATTTCTTAAGCACTCATTGTGCCATCGTGAATTCCATAATGCAGCAAGACAATGACTGCAATTGGTCTCAGATTGCCTTTAGTGGGTTTTATGAAATTTATCAGAATAATAGAAGGAGAGAATTTCGTATTATAACGCAGCAAATCCTTGCTCTTGAGATGTTCTTTGCTGGTTAATACAAGATGACGCTCATTAAGTTTAAAACAAGACTAAACGGATTAATAGACTTAAAACATCTCCAGACCAAAAATCACGTAACCCAATTTCACATTCACCCCCTATTGGTCTGCCGGCCCGGTCACGCAGTAAAAATAAAATCCGAGGGTGGCTCCATGTCTCGTGTTGTTTCCCTTTAAGAACGTAATTGAAAAAGATTGCAAGACAATTATGTAATTAACATCCCTGGGTGTCATCCAATTAAAGTTTACTTTCTCACCATCGCCACTTAGCTTTTGTATATAGTTTTTCTCTCTCTGAGGAAATGAGCTTTATGCCACTTAACGATACGGTGGAAGTTTAAAATTGAAATCAGGCTACCTGAAAATTCTTACTTCATTTTAATCATCCACAAAGACTAGACGCATTCATTTTTTTTCTTTGAGAGGAGTTCCCCTCTCCTAAGATCAGTTGTGGATTCATTTACGACTGTTGACCCAGTAATTGAAGCACAAATGATAAAAAGGGCACTAATCCATGTTTTGTCGAAACCGAAATGAGTACAAAGCCGAAAATTAATTTTCAAATCAGCGTCCACATGAAAAGTAAAAGATTAAATTTTGAGGTGTCCAGAAAAGAGGCGGAACATGCGCGAAAACTTTTGAAAATTTTTACTAAAAAAAGAGAAAAAATTAATTAATTGAACTAACATTAGCACTAAACTCAAGCTGTAATTTAAGCCTTTAAGCAAAAAACCTCATCGTGCTGGAACAAAGCTCAAGTTTTTTGCAGTTTTCTGAGAGTTAGAAAAAATGTTTTAATGCCCTTTTGATCTTGCAAGTCTTAACTGTAATTGATCACTTTTCTTTTGTCCTTTTCAGATACCGGGTGAAAAAGACAGTTATTACATTCTAGAAAAACTAGATCATCCGACGAAATCCCCGACTGAAAGCGCGAATCTGACACAACAACTTAACTTGCTTGACAATGTAAGTTGATGTCCTGGAAATCATATTCAAAGCCTTAGCACATAATTGATTAAATTCGCATGCACAACTTTCTCGGTGTTCTGATTTCTCATGGCATACTTGACATAATCGGGACGGCAATGCCATCGAACTTGCGACTGTATCCATGTCTATACATCGTTATAGACCAAAATTTTCTAGCTTCGGATATTATCATTAAATATCCTCCACCCAACTTTCAATCAATCCCTGGTTTGATGTCTGATAACTGCTGAAAACATAGATCAATGAAGTCAAACATTGATACCTTTTTTGCAGCGTTTCAAAACGTATCACTTTGTTGTTGTTAAATTTTTAATTTCATCGAAGATTTTGAGCTTAAAAGTATACGTATGTTAGTGGTTGCTTTCAGGTTGAATGGGCCGAGCAGCAATGTTCAAAGAGATTGGTGAAGCGGCAAGACCCTGCTCCTAGCTTTGATTTAGGACAAACAGAACATCAATTTTTGCAGCACCGCAATCAGGATCTATCCGGGGAGAGCAAGTATGCGAACGTGTTCCATGATGAGTACTGGCCGAGACAATGGTACATGGTGAGGCAGATTTGATTTTTACAACGAAGCAGCAAAATATAAAGAATCATCATGAATCTTAAAAGGATTAAGTCAACGTCGTTTTGCGTCAATCGTACCTCCTTTCCTCTGTGCGAACGATGACTTATTTCGATTCCAGAACTTTAGATTTCATAAGTTCAACTTTACGTTAATTTCGCACTTGCAACTTAAACTTATCACGACGTAAGCATGTCGTGAAATACAGAATCGCTGATGCATAGAAAATTGCGCTTGGCGTCATACTCGCGCCGAATTTTTGGTGCAATTATCGTTTTTTGTTGAAGTTTCACGACTACACCACGTGAATTTCCTATTAAGGAAACCAACTCTAAACCCATTCCTCGTGTGCTGGGTACCTTAATTTTCGTCAGAAATATATTTTTGAAAATATCATATCTTTCAAGGCCAAAATTTTACAAACGGGGAAAATAGGTTTTAAAAGAAGGAAAAATAAGGAAATTCAGCATAGAGGAGGAGGAGAATGAGGATTAGAAGAGGAATAAGAAGGAAATAGGAGGAAAGAAAAGTATATGGGAAGCAAAATGAGGGTGTTAACTCATGTCAAAGTCAACGCTATGAGAACTAATGTCTCTCGTAAATTTGTGACCTTTGTCGTTCCATTGAATACCACGCCAAATCAAAATTTTAGAGAAAAATTCTGTAACTGCAGGTATATATTTTGTACAGAAGGTACTCGGGCTCTAAAGATTGTCATAAATGCATTTTCCCCCTTAAATTGATCGTCAAAATATGAACCTGACACCTTTCATATTCTCCGTCAATTCTACTTTATTATTATTTGTGTCTCTTTTTAGACGGGCAGAAAGACATGTAATTCTAAAAAGTACATCTTTATAAGTGCACTTAATTTTGTAATTATTTTCTGACTTTTCCAGCATGACTACCGATCCGATTCCGAGCAACCAATCACGGATTTAAATGTGGTACCAGTTTACTACCTGCATAGGGTTACTGGGCTCGGTGTGAATGTCATCGTTCCTGATGACGGTGTGGAGATAGGACATCCTGATTTGGCACCAAACCACGTAAGTTGAGCTATCAGCCAAAGCCATTTCATTCATCCTTTTTAGAAGGAACAGTATGCTCATTACTTCTTGCACTTAATCTTTTTTTAATATATCAGTATAGATAAAAAGTCTATTTGCAGACTTACGATGGTATTCAAATAATATTGAATAATATTTTGAAAATCTTAAAAAAATCAAATTGGATTGAGACTAATTCGATTCATTTATGATATATTGGAAGGGTTTGAAATTTTCTTACAAACAACCCATTGACTCAATTCACCAGAACTGAAAACATAACTTGATAAGCTGTCGAAAGAAAAAAAAAATTCTTCAGCTTTGATTTTAGCACCTTACGGGCATTGATAAAATGCAAACAAATCGACAATAAAATAGTCTTCTCTTCGGAAAGTTCTTAGGGTGTCAAAATTTCCATCTTAGTCGGGTTTTACGTAAGCTTAAGTTAAATTCGGAGTTGGAGGATGAGGCAAAACGAAACCAACTACGTGACTAAGTGAGCATGGCGTATCACAGAGAAATGAAGGCGCCATACATTGGAGCAGTACGAGATGCGAAGTGAAATGTGCTCCGGATTTGACTCAAGGTTCAGACAAGGGAACTCGTAATGGCAAAATATCGCTACACTGTCGTGTTAAGGAAGAACGCTGTATGAACCTTTAGGCGTTGCCAAATTTCCTTGGGTAAATCATGAATTTTCGGAAAAAGTTGTAAATATTTTTCCTCAAATTTTTCAGATAATTTTGTTTGCAATTTTTTTTAAATTTCTTGTAAATTTTCTTGGAAAAATATTCATAAATGTCCTCAAAAAGGAACGTTTTATTGAATAAAATTTGGCAACTCTCGAATGTTTATACGGCGTTTTTCCCTAGCACGGCAGTATAGTTGCCATTGATAAATAAAAATCTTTGCCTTTCGTTGTTTGATTTTTAAGGATCCGGAGTTGAGTATAGACCTGAATGGAAATACGAGAGACCCCACGCCAAAGCACTGGTCCCGTCCGAATTATCATGGAACGCGTTGCGTTGGGGAGATCGTCATGACCGCCAACAACGATTTGTGCGGGGTTGGAGTCGCATTCCGTGCCAAATTTGGGGGTAAGTTTGCAAATTTTGAAAAATCAAGAGAATAACGTGACCGTGGTTATGCCGTTTTCTCGGAAAACTGATTTTTAAAAACTTCTTAATGAAAGTGCATTTTGTAAACATTTCATTTCGTTGCTCGTTTCTGTGTCGCTAAAATAGCGTGAGCCAAAAAGTGCAAATTTTCCGTGTAGTATAGTTCACCGACAAAAACAACCATTATTACGAGTGTGAAGATTAGCCCCGGTGCACATGATCTCCAGGGTTGTCAGATTCAGATGCAAACACTGCAGGATTTTTCATTATTTGGTTGCGTTTTGACAGCGTGTAGGCTTCTCAGAATGCAGTGATGCATGCTCATCACGATTTCAGATTCGAGCTGTAGCGTTTCACTCAGTCGAAAAAAGAAAAAAAAACCAACACCACGCACTCAAAAGAAAAAAGGATTCCACCACGGCAAACTTGATCGAACCTGCGATGAATCATGCAACTCAAATAGCTTTATTAAACTTGCATGAGTCAGGGTGCGAAATTTGTTTCTTGATTTTGAGTCTTGCGCTAACTATAGTTTAGGCTTACTATACTGATCCTGGAGATACAGTATCATTCTGTATCTTTCTAGGAGGAAAAAGAAAAGAAAGTAAGAACCGATCGTAAGTATGAAACTGACCATTGGGAAAGAATGAAACGGAGGCATTGGCGGATCCAGAAAATTGGCAACATTGTCTTTTCTTCATTTAAAAATGTGGAAATGTATCGATTTTTGGATGGGCTAGGTGCTCCGACAGTAATCGATTAGTTAGCATAGGTTAAAATTGAGGAAATCCGGTGTTGCCAAGTTTCTAGATCCACCTCTGAACGGAGGTAATATTCGTACCACAACAGTTTCTATTTTCGATTACGGTATTCTAAGTTCTCTAGGAATACAGTTAGGTGTATTTTTTCTTCTTTAAGTCTCAGGTTTTTTCCACAAAAAAAAGAAAAAAAACAAAAATGCATCAATAGCCACTAATTGGTACTTTTCTATTGTAATTCCATTGAAATTTTACTATCTTTTCTTATTTTATTTCCATCACATTTCAACTAATGTTTGAGGTGAGGGAGTGCTATAAACTATCGGGGCCAAGTTCTTAGGTAGGGCTCTTATTAGATGCAGTGAAACACCACGATTCCTCGTAACTAACATAAATCCTTGTGAGTAAGCTAACATGAATTTTGAATAATTGAATTTGAGAATTAACAGAAGATTATTCATCCAAAAACCGAATTATGACCGCTCGACTGTTTGGTCCTAATTTGCAGAATCATTGTTCAGAGACGATCCTTATGTGTAGGTATTAGAATGTTAGATGGACCGACAACGGACAAAGTTACGGGGGTGGCTCTTCAACACGCCCTGCACAAGGTGGACATTTTCAGCAATTCATGGGGACCATCAGATGACGGAAAGACTTGCGATCAATTGGGCCGTCTAACAAGAGAGGCCTTCATCAATGGTATCACTAAAGTGAGTATTAGTACTTCTGAAATTGTAAAATTTTAAAAATCGGAGACTTCAAATTGAATCCTGAAAATTGAAAACCTTCGATTATTTTATTATTATTTTTTTGTGAATTTTGAAATTCTTAGATTTGGGAATTGAGGAACATATACGTTTACCTCGCCTATCATATTTACGAGTGTGCTTTATGTAATTGAATGACTTCATCCTTGAATCGTGCAGCAATTTTACCAATTCTGACACCCATTTTACCACCGAAAATAAAATAGTCTATACGATACGGTATACATAGTAATATTTACGTCATATATTTAATCGTTTCACTCACGAAAGAATGTGACTCCATTTCAATTTTACCGAATTTCCCCGCGCAATTTACACTTTCACCAACAGAGATTTAGGAATTTCTAATTGAAAAATTTCCTTGATTTTCTTCTGATTTCATGCACAAATCAGACCAATTTTCAACAAAAACTGCGCAGGTGCACTCTTTAAAAAATTGAAATTTGCAACCTTGGGTTAAAGTTACGTTCCTTCGTCGAACATCATTCATGGCTTCAACATTTATGGCTTCGCTTACCGTGAGGGTGACTATTGTCGAGCGGACTTCACCTCAGGTAAAGCCATAGTCGAGAAAATACCTACCGAAATGTTTGCAATTTTCTCTCTCATGCAAGAATGCGATCAATTTTCTATTTCTCCTCGATAAAATCTCTTTCCAAAGACCGTCCGTTTACATGGGTGCGATCATCATGCAAAATAAGTATTTTCAAATCTAAAAATTCAAAAAAGAACACACCTTTTTTGAAGGATTTTCTTGACTTATATTTACTGAAAATCGTAGCTCGATTTTGCCCTGAATCAAAGCACGAGAGTTCCCGTTATAAAAATGAAACAAGGTTGCCAGATTAGGCGATAAAATGTGGATAATTTTATGGATTTTAATGGGGGGAAACACCAATTTCCCCAATCGGAAATTTGACCTTGGTACAAGCTTAGTATGACATTTTTTCAGATTTGAATAGAGTTGTCAAGCTTATCTTGCTAATGTTCTCACAATGTTAGCAGGACATTTATTTTACCTCTGGGACAAGCTTGAGCCCAAAGATTGTGCCAAGGTTAGGTTTGTAAGACTGCTCCAAGCCTATCCTGACAATATTGCCACAATATTGGTGGGACATTATTTTAGCTCCGAGACAAACTTGGATATTCAATATTGTGACAACGTTATGTTAATAATATTGCTCCAAGCTTGTTCAGCGGATATTGTGATCATGATGATGCCATAGACTTGATGTTAAAATATTGCTAGAGTATTGGCAGGATATTTATTTTACTTCTGAGACAAGCTTGAATTACCAATCTTACCTCTGAGGCTAGGTAGGCGATAGAACGCCGCATTACCTGCCGTCCTCGCGGAAGAAGTTTCTTAGCGTCGCAATGCCTATAATGTAGGCATACGGAACATTGGAGTGCCGAGGAATCTTCCTAAGTCAGCTAATTTCTTGGTTGCTTGCACTGGCTGAAGTATTCAACTTAGATCCCACTTGTAACGGGCACTGCCCAGGCGAAACGAGAACCAGCCCCATTGACGGGGCGGCCGCGCGCGGACCGTTGCCAAAAAGCTCCATTTGAGCCCTTGGCCTAAGAATATCGGTAAGATGGGTTAGACGCCTATGGATCATGTGCCTATTACGTCAAAAAGCGAAAGGTCGCAGTTTTTGCCCTTTAATTTGCCCTTAAAGGGACCGCAACGGCAGATCCGCGGCGAGCGCGCCCTGGTGGCGGAAATAGCGAACGCGGTCGAATTGTGCTCATCGCGCACAATATTGTGTTAACCTTATGACAATATTAGAAACAGAAGCCTAAAATGTTTATTTTCTTAATTTTGTGACAATGTTAAAGTGCGAATATTACCACAATGTTGTAAAAATAATGTTAGCATAATATCAATTCAGCAGTTTTAGATATCCAATATTGTGTCAATATTATGACAATATTACGAACAGAAGCCTGTTATGTTTGTTGTTCTAACGTTAATTTAATGTTAACATAATAACAATACCGCAGTATCACAGAGATAACATCGTCTCGATATTATTTTAGCAATTTTGTTTTCCTAATATTGTGTCAATATTGTGTCAATATTATAAGCAGAAGCCTATGTTCAGTATTTTTTTTAATAATGTGCCAATGTTAAAACTAACATATTACTGCAATATTGAAAACATAACTCTACGACAGTATTAGTTTACCAATATTGTGACAACATTGTGACAATCTTGGAATCACCGAGCACCACCTGACGTTGGATTTCTAATGTTGCTAATATTGGTGCAGTATTAAAATACTAAGGTTAACTATCCAGTATTGATGGTATATTGTACCAAGATTCTCAGGCCAACCTTACTGTTGAAATGTGCTCACAATCTCGCTAAGGTTGCCACAATATTATTCCGATCTGCCCAAGGTCAAATTTCCGATTGGGTCAGCACTGACTGGCAACAATGGAAAGAATTTAGGTTACGTTTCTGGAAACTACGTAAGTGCTACCCGTGATGATGTTTGTTGAATAAAGGGCAAGGCCACCTTCGGATACAGTGCTCTGAACCGACCTACAGTACGGTATATTGCATGCACCACGGTGATGGGTTTGATGTCATCTAATTGAACCCATTTAAACTTCGCAAGTCAATTTTCGATGAAGATCCGTTAGCTAGAGTATGCTACCCGCACTCAACACACACCCAAATAGAGGAGAGTCACAATTTTTTCATTTTCCGAAACATGAAAAGGAATCTGTATTTTTCAATATATTTTATTAATTTCTAAAATTTCATGAAATGTTTCACGTGAAATTTCAAGATTTTATTTTTCATGAAATTTTGCCACCCTGGATGTCCACTGCAAGGTACTGTCTAATATTAGTTGCGATGTTGTCATAAAAACCTAAGATTTCCCCACACTCATATTTTATGATGGCAGGGTCGGCAAGGAAAGGGCGTAATCTACGTATTCGCAGCTGGTAACGGAAAGGAAGTCGGGGACAACTGTGCGTGCGATGGTTACGTGGTCAACATCTACACTATCGCTGTGGCCAGTTGCGATTACCATGGACACGTGACCCATTACTCCGAAAGGTGCGCCGCAGTTATGGTCACCTCGTACTCAGGTGGAGGAGTCGGACAGAACGTCGTAAGTACAGACAGAATATACGTTGAACTCGCCATTATTATAATAATAATGCAATTACTCACGAGCATTCTGGCTTCCTTTTTGAAATTTCATGTCAGACGAGCATCCCCTCCCCCATATGGGACTTCTTCAGTGCCGAAACTAAATTCTAAAATACTTAAAACACAAAAAAATTCATCGATTGTCCTAGCGAAATTGGAAAATCGACCGATTTGCGAGCTCGTACCGCACTAACATTTATTATTTAACATTATTTATTCTAATTGTTTCTTTCAAAAATGTGATACGAACTTTTGAAATATGCCCCATTCCGTGAGAACAATCGATGGATTTTTTAGTGTTTTTAGTGTATTAGCGTTAGTCACGGCACAGAAGAAGCCCCATATGGGGGGGGGGGCGGAATGTGTGTCTGCCATTAATTTTTGAAAAGGAAGCCAGAATGCTCATGAGTAATTCCATTATTACAGATAGAATTTTGGAGAGGTCAGTGTTCCGTTACAAAGCCTCTGACGAATATTAAACTGCACACCGAAAACATGTTAAATCGTTTGAATAATAATTGAATCAATAGTAAATGGAATAATTGAATAAATGGATTTTCCATAATCAGCTTCAAAGCAACGCGGGGATGTAATGTAAATGTCGCAGGCAATTTAGAATCGGTGTTGATTTGCCACCAGCTTTTGAAAAATGTCGGCATATTGCAATCGTTCGTGACGGCTCAATAAACGTCTCTTTGGTAAGGAATCTCAAATGCACGAGCTCAGATTGGAGCGCCTTCAGATTTCCTTGATACTCTCCGCTTCGTCACGCGGTTAGTTTAGTTGCCTATGCGATCCGAACCCAACTTAGGTCACTAATTCCACTGCTTGCGCACTCCAGTGCACCAACAACTGCCATGGGTAGATTGGATTGTTGAATCTATATTAAATGTGGCCTTGATTGATAAAGCCTCATGATTGGGTGAATGATATTTTCGATTAAGATCATTCGATCACATTTCAACAATAATTTAGGCGCTGGAGGATAGAAAGGATGTGTATTTTGATTCACAGAAAAACATTTGAGCTTTCTTGACTTTTATACACTTGAAAATATCATGTGTTTATAACCATCATTCACTAGCATCTTGCAAATAATTTACGATCGCTACTTAGGTGCCTTTAACATATGACCACTTGTCGGAAGCGCGTTCAACACTGGCTTGCTGCTTCCAAGATTGCACCGGGATTTTCGGCCAATACAGGATATTTTTTGGGAGTGCAAGTTGTGCCATCATCCTGATTTATGTGCGGTTGAGATATTATTGAGTCCACTGATTTATTCATTTGCTCTAACTCTCGTTGGCTTGGTTGGACACTTTCTAAGGACACAAAGTCTAAGCCTACGACTTACTAAATACGAAATTTTCAACGTAATATGTCTGTTTTTCTTGTGAGAAGGGGAGGGGAAAGTAGTGCAAAAGAAATTACACAAGACCACGACGTATCAAACATGTTACCGCTGAAACCTACATTTTGTGGAGGTAGTCACCTTTTCCTCCATGATGTATTTACGGTGCCTCTAATCACGTGTACATTATAAGTCTGTAGATCTCTATAGAGAGTGAGTCACGCATATGACTCAATGATACAGGTGTTTTGAGGCGTTCAAATAAAGGAGATGGATCACGCTTGGTTATTCATGTGTAACCAAGATCCGTAGCAGAAGCACAGCGACTGCCTTCATTTTGATGTATAGGCAGAAACCGCTCCTTCGAGTCGAAATACTATCTTACTGTGTTGGTGGCACAATGGCAGTTTTGTATGGCTGATAAGAGACTACGTGAGGCAGGTTTCTTCACTTTGAACCCATATTTTTAGTGGGTTTAAACGAAGGAGACCCAATGTTGCAAACTTGCCAAAATTGCCACTTTGATAGCAAGGCGTGGCAATTTCATGACTTTTATTAATTGGAGAAAAGTACATCATGAAATGCTAAAATTGGCAGTCTAGGTAACCAGGGCTCGTCCGAATCTGTCGTGGGAACCGAATTTCTGTTCAGTTCGGTTCGTAAGTTATACTAAGACTTCTGTTCTCTATAGTGCACTTGGATTACCTGAATTGAAGTTCGGTTACTATGGCAGAGTTCTACATTTACTTGGAACAATAACGTTGATGTGCCATATGAACCGAGTTTCGGTTAACCGAAGTTTTTCTTCCTCGTCACGATAGGAAAATATGTATAAGTGTAGCGTGACGGCGGGTAGTTTCTATCACTTTCTATAAATGTCTACTCAATGACGGTATAATCAGCGGTTGACATATTCTTGTGATTGCGATTGCCTATAGATGAGATCATGCAGGTATCTCTTGATTCTAGATGTCAGCAATATTCTAATGACGTGAACATTTTTATACGTGTCTCACGCAAGTTGGCCTCGTTTAGATATTTCTTTTTTTAATTAATTTTTTCAAGCCTTATAAAAAATTGTCTGCTCTTTTCTAGGCCACAACGGACATTCATGGAGGATGCACCGTCTCCCATACGGGCACCTCTGCGGCAGCACCACTTATTGCAGGCGTGATTGCTCTTGCCTTGGAAATTAAGTACGTGCACCATCATTTCCTTACTCTACCGTGTGAGAAAAATGTTGGTATTCGAGGGAATAAAATAACAAATTCGTAAATTTTGAATCAGAAACGCCCTAAAAACTGTTGAGACTCTCAAATCAAGATACTTCTCGGATATTTTATTTTTGTTACATACAGACGTACACGCAATCACTTCACCATGCACATATTGCACGTTGTGTAAATTTCTATTACTTTATTTAAGTTTATGTTTGCAGGCAAGGTTATGTACTTACACAGTATTTAATTTTGCCCCTTTACATTTTCAGTCTTGTGAATATGTCATTGTTTCACTTGGTATTTTGTACCAATACACACGAGTTTTGAACTTTAAAAAGTTTGCACAAACTAATTTTGTTTTCAAACTTTTTTGGCGTAAATACTGAATGCATATTAATAAAGTAAGAAATTCTAGAAACTGTCTCCTGATTGTTCTTCATCTTTGGTCTGAAAATTCAACATGTTTCTTTTTCATTCCACCAGTCCGAATCTGACGTGGAGAGACGTTCAGTACCTGTTTGCCTGGACGTCAGCTGTTTACCCTCTGGCAGAGAACCATGGTTGGTACCTGAATGCAGCCGGCTTTTACTACAGCCCTGACTTTGGATTTGGCCTGGCAGATGGCTACAACTTCGTCACTGCCGCCAAAACGTGGGTTAACGTGCCACCCAAGTCGGTTTGCGTCGTTCCGATTAGGATGGGCTACGGGTAAAGCTTTTTTTCACATTTTATCCCTCCTCAGTTATAATGCAGTGTTTTTTATCACAAGAAAAATCCTACGCTATCAACTATTTTAAGTAATCTTCTTAAAGTCGAATATTTATACTCGAAAATCAATTGGACTGCATTTCGCAAGAAAGGACCACTACGACTCTGCTGTGCTAAGTAAGAACGCCGTATAAGCATTCGAAGGTTGCCAAATTTCTTCTTTGAAAATATGTATTTCTGAGGAAACTTATGACTATTTTTCCTTGAAATATTTATAATTTTCAGATCAAATTTCGATCAAAATCCTTAGAAAAATCAGAGAAGGAATATTCACAAATTTTCCTGAAAATTCGTGTTTGTTAAAGGAATTTCGGCAACGCCTGGTGAATCTTACGGCGTTCTTACATAGCACGTCAATCGGGTAAAGCATCTACCTGCATAGGAAAACCAATGGCACATACATTATACTTAAAAGGAGCTAGAAATAGTAATTTCTAATTGGAAAATATAATTCAATTGAAATTAAACATGTTGTAGTCAGCAGTTAATATTATGAGTAAAATAATAACACGCAGTTGTTGCAGCAGTTATTTGGCTTTAACTACCTTGTTATTATTTTCCTAATAATTCAATTGGACCACGCAAATAGAGACTACCTATTTTTGTTCATTTTAAAAACAATGCGCGTATGCGATCGGCTTTTTCATGAAATAGGTGTGCTCTCATGGATGAGCCAGGAATTGTTCCTCACTGCGTGATTTAGTTCAACTATCACTTACCTTTTACAAGCTGAAAACAAATGTTTGGAATATCTGGATAGTTGAAAAAGTCCCAAAAATTGTATTCGACGATCGAAAGGTGTTTTCAAGCTGAGAAGCAAAAAATGTATAGGCCTCACACATGCGCACAAATAATCAGCCGCACCAAAAATTGAGAGGACTTTATGAGAAAATAGGAGGAACATGTTTCCCGATGTTCGGCGTTGCGTATTTCCAATCATATCTTACTCTTTTGACCTTTCAGGTATAACCCTTGGTTCCCTTAATTTTGCGTGATTTTTCTTTGTCCTTCTAATGGTGTTCTCTAATATCATGTGAAAATGACCAGTTGATGTGCAAATTAGTTTAGAGATGGGCATAAGGTTCTTTCTCCATGGACAGTCACATTTCAGGAAAATATTCATATTGTATTATTTGTCTTGATTTCGCAATAAGAAAATACTACTTCAGGCTTATTTTAGACATGAATAAGTATACAATTCACGGACTATGAATGAGTCAAGAATATTAGTGCTTTGCTGCAAAATGTAGTCCATTTATCGTGACTCATCATCGGTTAATGTCGATAAATGCCGAAAAAAAAAAACGAGCGATCAAACTGTATGATGCAATGGATGTACGTATATTATCCGACTTTATTCATAGATATCCTTTAGGAGATCCTAGCGGGCTGATTATTGAAATTGATAGAAAGAGCGATAGACATAAACGACAAGGGGAAAATGGGGCAATCTTATCGGTGGGAGCGAGTGCTTGAAATGGACAAAGGAGGTTAGTAATAGACTAACTAACGACAACCGACAGGAGACCGTATAGTTAGTCCATCATTTCCCCCTTCGTCTATGAAAACTACCCGTTTCAACCAATACAATCGCTCCAAACTCCCTGTACCTTATTTGTCTATCGCTTTGTCTATCAATTTCATTAATCAGCCCGCAGTTTGCTCATTATTGTTTTCCAACCCCGTTGTTTTTTACATCTTTCAATTAGCGGGCACCAAAGAATCAGTCCAGACGAACCGATGAAATTGACCGTGAAGACAGATGCATGCAAAGGAACAGCCAGTGAAATTAATTACCTGGAGCATGTGCAACTAGAGACCTACATCAAGTATTCAAGGCGCGGAGGATTGGAGATTACACTGGAGTCTCCTGCCGGTAAATATATCTACTATATATACTTATAGAATATACGTGAATATAGATGAATATATTTATTATTTGCATTGTAATCCCATTCTTTACTCGACGAATTAAACTGATCGGTCGATTCCAGAACGACCCATCTCCGCAAAACTAAGTTTTTAGAAAATAATAAATGCTGCGTTCAGGGCCGGATTTACCTACTTGCCGCCCATGGGCCGCTAGTATTTTGCCGCCCCCTTCTTATTCGTTTTGAAACATCAATGAAAACCATCAAATGAACGTGCCAGCGGGGGAGGGGTGCATAAGACGCGTTTACTGGTGTTGAACACATATTTTGGGAAAGCCCTGTCAACACTACTAGCAAAAGTTCACGGAGCTTTGCGCGAAATTTAAGTTTCGTAAACCTATCTCTGTGTGGACAAGGCCTTCCATTCATAAGAAATGAACGAAAAAATTATGAAAGAACAAACATAAATGTGGATTAATGATTTTAACTTCCGCCGCCGCGCCTCGCAGACCGCACTGTGTTTGACGCAATGCGTGAAGTATTCACGCAGTCTTGTAGGCGCTCTGGCGCTATGCGTCTCCCGCTGATCGCACTGTGTTTGCCGCAATGCGTGAGGTATTCATGCATTCTTGTAGGCTATCCGTTTCACGCTGTCCGCAATGACCGCAGCGTGTTAGATGCAATGCGAGAAGTATTCGTGCAGTCTTGTAGGCGCTAATATGTGTTACATGCCGATCGCCGCGCCGAGGGCTTCTCCTTTTCATCTCAAGTCCTCGTCATCATTGCTCTCTGCGCCGCGCCGACGTTCCAGGCCAAATTGCGTGTTTGGTTTCTCTCTTAACTCGACTTATTAAAAAGTGCTGTCTCTTGCATCACTGAAAGACGACAAAATTAAAAATTACTCTACCCTCAGGAAATGAGAGATTTTGTCACCTTTCCTCGTTTGTAATTTTTTTTTCTAAATCCGAATTTTTTTTTATACCTACATTTAAAAAAAATGAAACATTTGTCGCCCCCTATAGATTTGCCGCCATGGGCCGCGGCCCACGTTGAGATGGGTCGTTTCTTAATAGAACGCATCCACTTTGATAAGCGGAAGTTCGAACAAAAAATGAACAGAGGTTTTTACTACTGTTACTTTATGAAGCTAAAGTTCGCACGGTTTGCAACTTCTCTTCCACGTGTGTGAAATGAAAGGTTGAGTCGTGTGATACTAACGCGGGAACTCAACGATTTTATGGGAAGTTGAACGGATACTTGAATGTTCCAACTTCTCATTCAACTTTTCGTCCGCTTTTGTCGCCTCAGCAAACTTAAATTCTAATTGTTACAACTTCTACTAAATCAGATACCTGACTGAGGTATATTCTTCGAGACAACCGCTTAAAGGCGGGGGAGAAGGGTATTACACCCTTATTCTTAGGATTTTCAAGTATGTCAAGCACTTTCTGTTTCAAGAAAACAAGGAGCTCTTCGATAGTTCCACCATCCTTAAAGAGTATTTCCTGCAAAAAAGTGAAGATCGCATGGAATCCGCGTTGGGTCGATTTTTACTTAATCAAATCCGTCGAAGGAATAGTATCAAAGAAACTAAATTTCTTTGGAGCGTCTCATGCAAAAATATGAGTACCGTTTCATTTATTGAAGAATGATTGCATATTTCTTTTGGAAGTTTCTTGTAAATTTTCTTTGTGATACTTAATTAAACAACTGACTATCTATACTCCGTTAATGGTCTACTTAAAAGAATGAAGAAATTCCTCTTGTAAAATTACGCAAGTGGATTTCTGGAATGGGGCAACAGTGGGGGAACAGTGGCAACGAAAATTACTGTTTCGACTTAAGAGGCCAGTTTAGCCCTCATTGCTGAATAATTGGCAGTTATTCAATGCCCGCGTTTAAATTTTGATGTTTGTATGTAACAGGAACGAAGGCTCATATGTTAGAAGCTCGGCCCAGAGATTACTCAGAAAAAGGATTCAAGTACTGGACATTCACCTCCCTGAAAACATGGGGTGAGAGTGCAAACGGAAACTGGACTATTGAAGTGTTTGACAGGGTAAATAACATTTTCATGAATAGTTCAGACTTCTGGCTTACATTTCCAACGGTTCCTCTTTCAAAATTAAAGCAAAAGATCGACGCTGTATCTATAGAGCCTAGAGTATGGATAGATTTATAAATCGTGGTCGTTAGAAGACCAGCAGGCTGATTATTGAAACTGATAGACAAAGCGATTGACAAAGAAGACATAAAAATTATGGAGAGATCCCATTAGTTGAAATGGGTGGTTCTTATAGACTAAGCAAGAAAATGCTGGACTAACTATAGGGTCCCTCGTGCGTTACCATTAGTTAGTCTATGGCCTACCTTCTTCGTCCATTGCAACCACTCAATTTCACCAATAGGATCCTTCCATATCTTTTTTGTCTTCTTTGTCCGTGGCTTTATCAATCAATTTCAATAATCGGCCCGCTGGTCCACCGATGGCTACCCTCACTTATAATCAAAACATCTATATTTGCAGTGCGAGGAATATCAGATTTCTTGTTATTGTTATAAGCTCAAAGGGTTGATCCTTTCCGAAGGATACCATCTAAGTGCGATGTAAACGATGGTGACAGTCTGCAAAAGTATCTTTTCTGCATGCATACCGACGACGCGTGCGAAACCAACAATAAAGTGCGAAACCATGTACCTCTTTCTTAACGACATTGCAGATTTCCTGTTATACTTTATTACTTATTAAGAGGACTAATTGACGTAATTTCTTAAAATTGACTTTTTTAAAATGTTTCTTAAAATTGACTTTTCCTATCTCTCGACAGAATATTCAGTACAAATTTCAAGCCACAAAGATGGCTCGTTTCTCTTAGAAAAAGTAAAAATGAAGCGGAACTTTTGGAACATCGCGATGGAGATACGTGATTTCGTCCTTTAGTTATCGATAGAATTATCTCTCAAGAGAAGAAAATCTAAAGTGATTTTTTTAAACATCCAGTCTGCATTTTTAGGTGCTAGTTGAAATTTACGATTGAACCCAACCTTGATTTATCTTCAGTTCTATTAGTATATTTCACATTAATTTTTCTATACATGTGATGTCTCTTCTAGTCTGGGATAGCAGCATCAGGAGTGATTACGGAACTAACTCTCTTCTTCCATGGAGTGAGGGAAGTGCCTCACATTTACAAAGATGGCCGACGACCATATAAAAACTTCCAAACGTTAGACGAAAAAATTAGAGAGGCGAATAGAAGAGGCCCAAAGGTAAGATATTTTTCCTCAATATGCATGCAACTTTTAGATAACAGCTTTCATAGCACTTTTAAATTGCATCGTGGTTCTCATTTGATTTCCTCTATTTATTTTATATGTACCATAACAGGAGGATCTTGAGTGACATACCGACGTCTAGAGTGCGACACCACGCATTTACATTGCGGTATTTCAAAATCTCCTCTCCTAATTTACTTTTTTAAAGAAAAATGAGCCAACATAATAGCGTGAATAGATGCAACGTTTTTTCTTTTTTTTCAAAATAGTGACATATAACAGGTAAATTGCGACAGCAGAAACAGAGATTTGTGTTTTTGAAGTGCAGCCGTGGTGATCCTATACTATCGTCTTACCCAAAAGTCGGTGAAATAGTTTTACTTCTTTTAATGTTGAGCACCAATGAGCACTATGAATGCTATGGGTGCAAGAAACTTAAAAATTTCAATTTCGGTTTTAAGGAATCCTACGCTGCTAGTCACGAAACCGTGAAATTTCATCGCGCAAATTATGATTTTTCTCCTCATATTTAATCTCAACGCATAGGGGGCGAGATCTGTCCATCAGTTGAATGGCTCTCTGATTGGCCACCGCGTTAAGTTCGGCCATGTGGACCAATAGCTGCAGAGTTCACATGAAGGCTCTATGAAGGAAAACATGAACCTCATGATAACCTGGATCGGAGTATCTACGTAGTCAAATTAATAATGGTGTCAACAGATATGATCGAAGCTATCAAAACGTCAATGCTCGTTAACTACAAAATACATTTGATATGACAGCTCGACCTATTTCAACCAATCACGTGGTAATTGGAATCTACGGAGATAGATAGACGACCAATCATAGAATAGTTGGGGTTCTTGCATTACTGTCATGTTGCCAAATTTAGTCAACCATCCCGGCTTCATTTGGTAATGCTCAAGAGATCATGCATAGTTTTTATGAATAATACGTGGTGTGTTGTAACCTTAAATGCACCGATCACCGCAGGAATCACTGAGGGTGGTTTTAAGGGACTTCACTTGAATGAGACTGAAAAACCCCGATAAAACCTCTAGTTTAAAAAAGTCTCAAAAACAACTCGCAAACTTAAAAAAACAAAGAAAGGGTGATTAATTAAAATGCACACTCATCAGAAAGACCATCACCATCTTTCAAGTCGAATTAATACGCAAATATAAGGCAGATAAATCATACTGTGCGATGATTCTGAGAGCCTAGATGGTAGTTTTTAAAGGACGGCCAGGGGCCACGGTCTCATATGACAGACCCTTTTTGTCGACTTAATAACAACAAATGTGTCGTGCTCGATGTTGCATTTTACTTTACCAAAAAGGAAAAAACCAATATTATACCCAAAATTTCCAAAAATATTCTTTACTTACTACAAAAATTTATGGAGGTTATCAAGAAATGACGTTAAATATTTTCATTCTTCTACTAATTCTTCTCCTTCTTCTTCTTATTCTTATTCTTAATTTTTCCCTCTTGTTCTTATTCTTAGCCCTATTCTTATTCTTATTCTTCTTTTTCTTCTTCTCATTCTTTCTCTTATTCTTCTTCTTATTCTTCCTCTTATTCTCCTGATTCTTATTCTTCTTGTTATCCTTCTTTTTCTTACTTTTCTTCTTATTCTCATTCTTCTCAATCTTCAAAGGGTTTTATAGGCTTATATTCAAGTTGAATGACTAACAGCTAACTTCAGGCAAGTTATGGTTTTGTAAAGGGACACAACGGGTCTTCTTTACCCTGGAAATAACTCTAGTTTAGGGCTCCACCCACACATGGAAGGCCATATTGGATCCAGGAAGCAATGTAGGTCGGGAAAGAAAGGTGCAAGGGTTGGGAAAAGAACAAAAAGTGAAGATGAGAGGAGGGAATAAGATGGATAGAAAAGGGTAAACTTAGGAAGAAAAACTAAGGATGACCCAACGTCGCCTAGCTTATGCGCACGGAGCTGCGGGCTGATCCTTGAAATTGATAGACAAAGCTACAGACGGAGAAGACATAAGGAGTATGGAGCGATCCTATTGGTTGAAACGGGTGGCTCTGATGGACTAAAGTTGAAAATTATAGACTAACTGAAGGGTCTCTTGTTGGTTGCTATTACTTACCTCCTTCGTCCATTGAAACCGTCCGCTGAAATCAATAGAATTGCTCTATTTTCTCTGTGCTTTCTTTGTCTATCGCTTTGTCCATCGAATTCAATAATCAGCTCGCAGGACGACCTATTTGCAGCGAGCGCACACACGAGACTGTGATATTTTCCATTAAAAAATGAAAAAAATTTTGGCGGGTCACGAGCCAAAATAAGTGTTTTCGTGTTTCTCCATCGTCATGTTTTTAGCACTATCTCTGCAATGGGAATGAACAACTGGACGGGATGAGAAATATTAAACCTCCACAAAATGTGTTCTTCTCATCACAATTTCAAGCAGAACATATTGACCGTATCAAACATTTCCAAAAATACCTAACTCACGAGTAGAAATTTAATGGTTCTAGTTTACATTAGAGTCAGTCACTACAAACCTTTCGACAACTACTCGAAGGAGAGGTGGGTTCGCCCCCCCTTCCTCTTCCCAGGACCTCCCTAGCTACCTATACCCATGGGTGCAAACGTGGTGAAATGGGACCACACCATTGATCATAAATGATGCGATAGTGTGGAGATCCAAACTTCAAAATATCAACCGATGACACATGTTGCAAAACGGTGGAGCTCATACATGTAGGTCCGAATATAATTGATTTTTTTGTAACTTCGGACGAAAGAAGCGGAAGAAGAAAAAGATGAAGAAGAAATGGGGAAAAAAGAAGAAGAGGAAGACTACAAACTTATCAGAAAAAGAAGTTGACGCTCAGCTTGAAGACGGTAATTCCAATGATCTGCGATCTACATCACCACCGACAATAGTCGAGTACCTAGAGAGTAAGATTGATTCCCTTGTAACTAGCTGTATGAAATTTTTGCGTTTCGAATAATAATTATAAAAACCAACACAGTGTATATGATGGGTCTGTAATTCTTTGTCTACAGATCTTCAATGCCCTGAACCGTGGTCCATCACCTAGTGTAAGACCTGCTATGGACTTTTTCTCTGGTCTCGCTGGTATATTCTCGTCCCTCTAATCGACTGTTTGCCAAGCGGAACTTTCTGTTGTAGACTTTTATTATAATTTCTTCGGATGGAAGGAGAGCATTTTGTCCTCATAACACGCTGTACTCGTAATTGATCATTCGAATTGTGCACTAAATGAGGCTCTTGTCAACCATCAATTTAACATACACTGAGTTTTTTTCTTTTCTTGCAGTCCGACAATTAGTATTGGTTTTGCAATTCGTAGTTAAAATTTTTCGTTTTGATTGAGTAATTTCCCGCTAGAATACGTCGGAGCCAATGTGTCAAAATTTAATACAAACATTGATACAGTGTTTATAAGGTTCTTTGTGCTGCATGCCCCCAACGATGTACTGGATCCTGTGGTGAGCAAATTCTCAGTAAAGTATGGGCCAGAGCATTAAAATTATCAATATGTAGTGAAAAAGTTGAATAATTCTTCAGGCACAACGTAGAAAAACAGGGATTTCATTCCTTGTGAAAACTTGCAAACCTGGTGGAGATCCAATATTTGATCCAGTCTTGTGTCACCTATAAAACGCCTTTCACTCTTGATCCGTGGCTAAATGGGACTGAAATTTTCTGAAAATTATTGGTCAAAACAATTTCTCCCGCAAAATAGTTATCCAACAAATTAAGAGAGTTATTGTTTACTGCTGACCCTGTTAGAAGAGGTAGAATGTCATCTTTGATGACAACATTTATACATCAATATAGAAAAAAAAAACTTCTAGAAAATTAAACTTTAAATTAATTAATATAATTGAATATCTTATATTATACTCCTTACCATGCACACTATGATCGATACGATTTCTCTCTCTCCTCCTCCCCTCTCCCACACCTCTCCTTTTTCTCCTCCCATTCCTGAAAGTTTTCCTGGAAATAATTTTTGACGTTTGGCACTATTCATATAAATTAGAACGTTGATTTCCCTTTTGAAACCATGGATTTGAATGCTGATTAAATAAAGTAAGGTAACGCCTCTCTCTCCAAAATTACTGTGCTATATGATACATATTCCATCACCTCAAATCCATGATAATGGTAGAAAGCTATGCAGTGTAAGTTCAGATTTCTCTACGAGCTTACAAATGCCATTCCCTGACTTTATATTTATCTATACGTCCAGATTTAATGTAATAGCCCCTGAGACTGGAAATGACTCTTAAATCACTCCAAAGTTTTTCGCCCTTTCCATTAGTGGCAAGGTGTGAATTATTGTTTATCGACATTTCCCAATTTGATGTTATAGTAAAGAATCGATTATTGAGGTGTTCGTTACGAATATCCTGTTTATCGATCATTTTCCGTAAGTTTAAATGGCAGATCAATCCATAAATCGCAAAGCACGCTACGCCACTGCTTTCCATTTATGTGCGTTGAGTGATGTGCTGTTCCTACACTAAGTTGCAGCTTGATCACGTAAAGCACCTCAAACATATCGAGGCAAACCGACGATGAAACTACAGGAATCCGTAACTCGATTTGCGATACTTCAGTTTTAAATGGAAAAATACTTAACGTCAATTGTTGAGAACTTTCGTGACTATATCATCTCTGCAAGAAAAATTTGCAATGAAAATCTCAAACAATAGCGTTTAAACGTTCTCTTTTGGTAACATTAAATGGGATTGAAGATATTTAAACGCCGCAAACGAAATTGGCATTCTCGCAGTTAAACCGTCGATATGTAGAATGAATGTTACCATTCTAAACATGAGAATCATTGTCCATAAAACTTAAGTCAGATTGCAGAGTGGCTTAGCTTGCTTTGCGATGTATCAATTGAAATGCCATTCAAACCTATTAAAAAATAACGATTATCAAGGCGTTCGCAACGAGCACCATACTGATCGATGCTTTACCATAACTTAAAATGGGATAATATCGATAGTCGATTATCACGCGTCGCCACTGTGGATTACTTTTTTTTTTAAAAAAAATCGGTAACTACTCAAAATCTCGGCAGATGTATGTAAATGTAGCTCAGAAATATGTCTCGCCTGCATCCCGCACCTATGAGAATTTGTCCCTAGTTTTCCTTTGGTGTGTCCCCCTCAGTCTGTCTCAAAAACAATGCGACTGATTGTCGTGCAAGCGAACAAAGCTGACCTGCGAAATAAGATTCGTAAGAAACATTCAAACTAATATTTGAAATTAGGAACGGCTTTGGACGTCTAAAGATACACAATTTAAGTTATATAAATTTCATCTTACCGTGGAGAGTAGATTACTTTTCCAGGGTGCATCTATTAAAACCTAGATGACTTCAAGAATACGTGGTTGCTTCACTAAAATACAGCTTCGCCTCGCAAAGATCAAGGAGTTCATTAAAGAGTTTATGAGAGCAGATAGAAAATTCGCTGACCTCAGTTCTTGCGGCATACAGCCTAGACCTGGCACCATGACTTTCGACTCCTTTCAGAGCCACGATAAAGTCAAAGAGCCAGGTGAATCTACTGAGGCAGAGGCGTCGTTTGAGGTGGGCGAGAGGAGCCCTTTTTTGAGGGCAACTTTAGTCAATATTTATCGATTTTATATCCGCACGAAGAGGACCTCCCGCAAAAAATTTCGAAAATCAGTAGGAAGAAAGTGGCTACGTGACTAAAAATTAATGGGAGGCACTTACTCGCACTTACTTTGAAATGCAGGGATGAAGATCTGAATATCTGAGGAAAATGGGAAGTTTCTCCTCTCCTCTTCAAAATTGAGTTGAAACCCTTTTTTTAGAGTGCACCAGTCCCTGGTTTCAATTTGATTTTGAATCGTGGTTTTAAAGTTGCATTTCCTCCAGTAAACACTATCCAAAAATATTTGAGAATGTCCCTTTAAAACGATTTTAAAAAAACGGACACTATACTCGGTAAATTTTTGACCAGGTGGGCTCCACATGGAGGTGTCCCCGAAAGTTAATAAGTCACTATTAAACGCGGTATAAGTTGGAATATGTTTTTTTTATCTTTTCAATTGTTCGAAAATTAGTCGCAATAATTTTGGGATGGCGTAAGCAGGAATCATTTCTGAAGGTAAATTGTTCAAATCAATGACCAGTAACTTAAAGGCTAACTCAAGTCACGAAGAGAAAAAACACAAGTCTAATACTATGGACCACTAGATCAAAATACCAATCGATAATTATGTTTCCTCCTCAAAATTTTAGCAAAAGCTAGTCACTCAACAACTGGAAATTTGAAATCCAACCTCTAAACGAGATACATTATTTTCTTATTCTTATTAGAAATACTTTCATCTTTTTAAGGCGTTGATTTCCGAATGTTTGAATGATTTTCTACCTAAAATTTTGACGAAAACACTTGTGACAGAGTGCCTCAATACGTAGCTTATTTGGCATCCTACTGTGAGGAGTGCATACATACAATTAGAGTTCACCCTTAAACACCTCTCTGATGCAAATATTACATTTACATACTTTACTTACCCGCCTCGATGAGGAACTCAAGTCTTTGAAAGATTGCAGCGTGGATTGTATTTCTGAATTCATCCATTCCTGTTCTTTTTGTGAAGGGTGTCAGAGGTGCTTTACTGTAGAACTCCTCCTCTTGATTAGGGGCCGCCCCTAAATTACGTGACGCCCGAAGGGAAGGGGGGTTGAGGAGAGCGTAATGCCATTTTGTTTATTGTGTTAAAAGATAATAAGGGCATACGTCACGAAAGCGTTACAAGGGGGAAGTGGGGGTCAATGATGCCGAAATAGCGCGTTACGTAATTTAGAGACGGCTCCTTACTGTATATCGACGGTATAACTATCTGACCACGTATCAGGCGTTTGCGATTTTTAAACATTTCCGCTTCCATTTTATTTTTTTATTTCGTTGAAGGAGAACGAATCAATAGCATTCCGCCTATGTAGTTTTTACAGAGGTTTTTTCGCCCAGAGAAGAAAAATCTTGTAAGTTTTCAAGAATTCACGTTGAGTAGTTTTCCGTTTAAAAAAAAATGAAGTATGACAGGAAGTCTGCAACGTTGTAAACCAAGATACATGGTCTCGTAGTTTTACCGTCGTTATGTGTGCCAATAAGTTAGCTTGCAAACACTCGGATTTGCAATTCACTCATCCAAGCATCAACGAAATTTTGCAAAAGACATACCTAATCGTTATGCCACAGATTCGGAACAAAATGTACACAATGTACTCAAGTGTTGTTCAGAAGTTGAGGCAATGACGAGGCTCAAAATCTATAGGACTAAAACTATGAGAGGTGCCAATTATAGAAGAGGTGAGATCCAGAAGGGCCTCATACTTCATTGCATTGCAAAGTTCTATATCGACGGTATAAGTCGGCGATCACATAACTCGGTTTGCGACGTTGCAGACTTCCTGTCATACTTTATTTTTTAAACGGAAAACTACTCAACAGCAATCCTTTGGAACTGCCGTGATTTTTCTTCTCTGTGCGAGCGAAAACTTCAATTTGTTCTCCTTTAAAAAAAATAACATAGAGTCGCAGATTTTCAGTTACCGCAAACGAGATATGTGATTGCGGACTTACGCCGTCGATATTCTTTTAGTTAAGAACAACCAAAAATTGTTCCCAAGTCTTCTACGTGATTCAAAAGAATTCGTTTTCAAACTGCTCATAGTTGAAACTATGCAACGTTGCTATGCAATCAAAACTCCCTGGCTTTGACTTCTTCAATTCTATTAGAGTCAAATATAAAAAAAAAGCAGAGAAGAGATTTGATTAAAAAGTTGTTAATGAATTACTCAAGACTTACTTTGGTGTACCTAGATGCAGGTATGAAAGTTAACGGTTAAAGTTTTTCTCCATGAACCAGGGTTTCACGGGTCGTTGCGAGATGGTTTCTTCCTGATGAATTCATGTAATCATGCCGCAAAATGAATACTTAGCATCATTAACTGAAAACTTAAGATTCTTTATAAATCTAGAAAATTTAGGTCCCGTCTATAGTAATTGCATTGAATTTGACCTACATTCACGTAAAATGGTCTCTTTCTTACATGACATCGACAGGATTCTGTAGCTGAAAAGTTTAAACTGTTTACCTGCGGGATCGCCTTTATCCAAGAAAAAAATTTCATTGGCTGCATACCTAAACATTGAAATATTTCAAATTTAAAAATAAAGTAAACGATTTTTTTTTCAGTTTATGCGACCAAAAAGATGAATGAAAGGAATTCCAAGTACTCAATTTTGCTTGGTTATTACCTCACATTTCTTCCATATATATCCTGACTGGAAAGTTCGTATCAAAAAATGAGTTGCAATAATTAAAATTTGAAATTTTTCAAAAAAAAAAAAAATTATTACTTACAATAACTAGGTTGTGAAATGAAACCACTACGATTATTGTGAGTAGCATGTAACTGGGTGAAATAAATGCAGAACTTGTCGGTGGGGGAGGGGGGGAGAGATTTTCTATTGTTAGTAAACGAGGAAATTTAATGAAATTGAAACGTCAGAATGACTTCTTTCATAATTTCTTTTACTTAAAATAAAAAAATAAAAATAATAAAAAAATAAAAAAAGAACTCGTCGCAACTGCAAACCCAAGTAATAAAAATGTTTATTTCAGCTTCAGTCCGCATTGTAGCCTTACAATAACTCGTTGCACCTTAAATTAAGTCACAACCCGGAAGTCGGAAATAAATAGAAAAATTAGTCATTCTCTATCTTGCCTAATCTAATTTAAAAGTTAGCCTTCTACTACGGCTCGGAACAAAGACGTCGTTATCTCAGCTGTCAGCGCGTCTTGATCTGTGATGGCGAAACCGTTCGTGGATCAGGTCAATCATTGCAAACTCAAAATGACAATTTTCCTTATTATGAAATATGAAACGCAGTTAAGGAAATGGGCCAGTTGAACATAACAAGGTTTCCACATCGACAAAAAAAACCACGTGTACAATGACATTTTACCAAAAATAAGGAAATTTACCGTGTAATTATGACCCAATTACGCGTTTTTATCACTTAATTACATGTATTTTAACATTTCTCATTGAATGAAATACTAACCAGACTAGGCTGACTAGAATCGCTAACAGGCTGAGAATTTATAAATTAATTCTACTGTATCATTATGGCTTGTGCACGAAATGTCTGTTTTTTATTTATTAATATTTTATTAATTTTTTTATTGCAAACAACAGGTTAGGACTCATCCTTTTTCTATGTTCCCTCTCCTATATTGGCAGTGGCGAGGCGTGAATAATCGATTTTCGATACTTTCCCATTTGAAGCTATGATAAAAAATCGATTATCAAGGTGTTCGTTGCGAACACCCTGTTTATCAATCCTTTTTTATAGGTTTAAATGGCAGATCAATCGATACATCGCAAAGCAAGCCACGCCACTGTATCGGAGAATATGGAAATCACTGAGAGACTCTTCCTGCATAATCAAAGTTTGGCCCTTCTTTACCATTGGACATTGATTCAACAGGTGGTCGTTGTCAGGTTAACGAAATATCTCTATCATGGATAAGGGTTGATTTAAGGGCTACGTTAGTCTTGCAATAATAAACCAATCGACGCATCGATGTTCAATAATTGAACCAATGTGAAAGAGTAACACATGATCTTAAGTTCAAAGTCTGCGATGAAAATATATCGTGTCAGTTCATCACGAATATGTCATGAATGAGTCATAAATCAATTTGTGACACCTCATGTAAGTACTTGGACGCAATAATTACCATGCACCCTGGTGCACTGAAATTATGTGCCTGACCTAACGCAGTCGTTAAAATAAGTCTATTCTGGCGTTGCATTCGGGGCCTAGGAACAAAGTTCTGATGAGGTTTTCTAGAAAACACGTATACTTAAAACTGTCTAAAATTTGAATGCTGACCAGTTTTTCAATTTAAATTATTTCATTTGGACCGTGGAAAGACGACTTTTAGCTGTACACAATCATGTTTTTTTAAAGCAGGACATGAACATGTCAATTTCATGTATTTTTGAACATGGTATGGGTCCTCAGACCTACATCGATATTTTGCTCCATAAACCGGAAAAAGGTAGTGATAGTTGCATGTCAATTCGGAAACCCTTATACCTTTCACCTTGCCAAGGGGTAGACGACCCTATTGCCGAAGATAATAGACAAGCAAGTGTTGGTTTTAGTTGAACAATATTTTTACGATTCCACGTTTCACATAGCAATCTATAGGTATTGTTATGGAATTGTTGTGTGGCAATGTATTACAGCAATACCACTAGCTATCACTGAATAAAACGTTGCAACCATATTCCCCATTCATCGTCCTAATTTTCATTCGGCGGTATTGGCCAGAGAGAGATGACATCAATATGGAAAAGAACGTCTTGGCCGAAAAATACTATTTTGTAAGTTCCAACCTTAACTTTTAATGCAGAATTCACGAGCAATGAGCAATACTCCCAAGCTACTCCGAGGGCTATTAGGCACTTTCGCAAAAAATGCTCGAAAAATGTATTTAGAACTATGCTCTAGGAAGCACATAATTTCGAAGAAAAAACAATTATTTTTGTTTTAGGAATTTTAGGAATTTTATTTTCAAACGTTTCAAGATTTAAAAAAGATGTCTTAAAAGGTAGTTACCTTTACTTTACATACTTATTCCCTCTTGTATACATTTTACTTTAAAAAATACTCAAAATCAAATTAATTTGAAGGGTTATTTTAGGAGTTAAAATTTTAGAAATAACGAGTTTTTAATGTTTTTGTAACATTAACTGATTTTGGGGTTGCTTTATCTCTCTCAAATAATGTTATTACAAGTTTGATGCAATATTCTCTTTCAATACTGCCGGAAATGTGGAGTGTTAACTTTCCATAGCATAAATTGATATTGGATCTTGGATTCTGGGGCACATACACATCCATGATAGTTTTTGCAAAAGCATAGACTTCCAATTTTTTTCCTCGAAATTTGAAAATTTTAGTGATTATTTTTCCAAAAACGAAAAAACAAATTGTAACACAATGACACATGGGAAATTGCTATAATTGCTTCATGAAGAGGGTGCGTAAGCCTTGCGATGACGGAGCTACCTATGTACTTCCGAAAACAACGCGTGTTTCATCATGCATAGAGCGTAGGAGAGGGAGCATGATTTATTTGCGTTGACTTTTCGTGTGAACTAGCATTCGAAGGCGAATTATTATTGCGGCAAATGTTTTTAACGGGCGACGAGGGAAATCGTCACAAAATTGCAGCTGAGCAAACAGTGGCGATATTTTAACCCGCTATTGGCACCAGCTCTGCTACCCATTCATTGAAACCAGCGCCTCTCCAGACTCATCATGATCCCGTTTTCCGCTCAGGTGAGTCCGTCAAATAAAAACATAAACTTGAAACCCTCATCTTAGATTTTGAATTTTCACAATGCTCCACTCTAATTTATTTGTTTTTTATGAATAATTATATTTTTTTTTTTTTCGAACGGGAAAATACCAAACTTATCGCTAGAAATCTATCTTTAAATAAAAAGGAAAAGTAATCGTCAAGGAATGACAGTGATTAGTTTTGCAATAAACAAATGAAGCATGATAGGGAGTTTGCAAAGTTGCGAATAGTGACACGTGATTTCCATGCCTAAGCATCATTTTTGTACTTAGGATTAAGTTTCTTCCCTTTTCAAAATAAGATTAAAGAGAAACGATACGCGGTCTTAAAAACAAACAGTTATTCGAGAATCGTACAAATATCGAGATTATTTATTTATTCCCTGAAATTAAGTCAAATAAAATTATTATGAATCAGTAGCGCAATTGGAGAAGCGTGAGTAATTTTTCGCTTTTTACGTTCAAAATTCCATCCATTTAACAATATTTTGTGACTGAAATCAAGTCGGTAAATGTACAACGAAAGTATGGGCAAAAACAATTCAAACCTATTACGTTCTTTTACACGAAAAAAATCTAGCGAACTTTGTTCGCAAAAATGCGTTCCATATTTCAAGCTAAGTTCACTCGTCGGTAATAAACAAAATCAAGTTCTGGAATATTCTTGCAATATTTTGTTATGAGTGTTATGACTGTTATGTGCGCTTAAGGCTTTGATGGAGGGTGATATAGTAAAAAATTAAATAAATCACGGAATAGGTAAAACAAGACGAATTTTCGCCATTCCAGCAAGAACTAGGCACTGGTCTATGGTCCTTGTGGATTCACTCAACACTTGCGGTACCTTAATCTAATTACAGTAATGACATAACTGAGATTTCAACTTTTTCTGGCCTCTGAGGCAAAATCATTAAACTCTTTTTATCTTTATGTTACAACTAGTTGCTCTCATGTGGCTCTCTCGTACATTTAACATTGCCTTAAATGAAGCGTTAGGGATTCTTGTTTATCACACACAAAAAAAAAAAAAAAGTATTTAATTAAACATCCCAGCAATTGCGCAAACTTTGTCGAGATGTCACTCTTAAATTCTCCTCGAAAGTATGTTTTTGTAAAAGTTCACTCAAATGATAGATGAATGACATTTTCTAAGATTTTACTGTTGCAAAATTTTCAGACGGATTTGCAGAGTGACTCCCAAGGAAATCTTGGATTCTGGACTCTCTTGTCATGTATCATTACTTTTTTTCCATCGATGATCAACGGTGAATCAGCAATGGTAATAAATATATTCTAAATTTCAAAATTTTACGCGAAAGTTAGTACAGTGTTTCTTGAATGGTAATAAAGCCCTAATGTTTGATGAATAGCTCTGGACCATGTGAGAAAGTTTACACTGAACTTATTTTGAAAGAATAATATTTCTTAACGGGTGTATTTGAATCGTTCTGTGGCAGTGGTCGGGAATTTTGGCTGCACTCTTTTTTACTTTTCAAAAATATTTACTTTTCAAAGATGAAAATGGAACTACAGAAAGATCTGACATCGATTAGTTAGGAACGGAACGCATAATTTTGTTTCTTGCGTGTGTAGCAGAGAGGAAAGTAATAAGATTTATTTTAAGCGGACAAAATTGGATTTTTTTACAATTAAAACCCGGATTTTCTTGTTTTGTTTTTCATTTTTTCTTTAACCAAAATCTTGTATTAAATGAAGTTAGAGGGCAAAACACTTATACCGGTGCCAACTCAGTGCACTTTCATGCGGGTAAAATTGCATCCTCACAAAATGAAGGCAATACCTTAAAATTAGAATAATTCCCGACGAGTGGCGAGAAACACAAGCATTAGGCAAGCACTTGTGTAATTATTATAGTTCTCTCTAAGAATATTCACGTAATGCTCAGTTACAATAGAATTTCATTCGATGTTACCCCTCAAACAGAAATCATTTCCATAAAAGTTGAATCATCAACGAAACACCGATGGAATTTTTCGGAGGAAAGACATTAATGGAGATGGATTCAGTTAAACATTTTTCTATTTATCTCAGACTTGCCATCTTTCAACTTGCAGCTTAGTAATGTACTCACGAATCAAAATTTCATTTTCCTAGTTTCGGAATGAGTATTTATTACGGGCAGATTTTCTTACGTAAGTTTTAAATTCCCGTCAAAGATCTTAATCTCAGAGTGAAATAAATTTTCTTGACTGTTACAAAAATATATATCTCAAGACTGATTTTGTTCTTTGCATAGTTGGCTGAACACGGATATCACCATTATACCAATGAATGGGTTGTAAGAATACCACAAGATAGTTTGGCATCCGAAATCAGCAACAAAAAAGGATTCACTTATGTAAATAGGGTAAGTTTCCGACATTGTGATATGTTTTAATATTGTTTTTATTTCACAACATAACAATCTGCTCATGCACTAACTCTAGGAGGAAGGTTCCTATATTGTAACGCAAATAGTTTGGTATAATAATTTGACGGACTCTACAATTCTGACTCCTCCATCGTCTATGAATATGCTTGTGCGATTCTTAAGATGTAACGAAACTGTGGTTATGATTACCTTGGCTTTTTCCTCGAGTTCTTTTTTTAAATTAAACATGGCATTAAAAATCGGAACAATGCTTTCACTTAAAATTCCGGATTTGCACTGGTTAGTTTTCAACACATAACATAAAATTGAACTTATAAAACGCACTGCAAAACTGAACAATCCTTCCTTCGATTAAGGTATTGAAACTCACGCGGTCAAAGACGACTGCGATAATGGAGCCAAGATTTTCACGAACTATCAACAAACTTATATCCTTTGACATATCGTACCTTGATTTAAACGGAAAAGCAAAAATAACGTGTTACACTGGCCTAAATGCTGGCTATGACTGATTTGTAAATAAATAAGTGCATTGCACTGTCAGCTGTCAGCCTGGTCCATCGACTATCTGTTGCTGTCACTCATCAAGATACGAGATGTAAACATGTAAGGCCCCTGACAACTGCCAACGACATCTCTCAGACGTGCCCGGCAGTGAGAAGAGTGTGGTTAGCGATTAGTTTAATTTCGAACACTTTATAAAACTTACCTGTGGACTTTAACCTTTTTGTTTTTAAATGTCAGTCAAAATCGATTTTAATCGCTTTGTTAAAACCGTCAGTCAGTGCGACATTATCACTGTGCAGACGTGAGACTGTCAACCATTTGAGAAGTTCTTTGGTCTTTGTCACCGTGCAGGTTAGCTTTTGCGTGTTAAGTTGTTAATGAAACAAAGGGATCGATGAAACAGATGTATTCAAGCATGGAAGTAAAAACAGCCTTGGCAATCTTGTTGGTTAATCTGATATGGGCTATGTTTCTTAGCAGGGAACCAAGTGACATTCGCCGTAGCAAAATTCCTTTTTTTTTTCTTTTTTTTAATTAATACATAAACAGAAAAATACAATCACACGCAGATTTTCTTGAAAATGTGAGGTTCCTTGTTTTTTTCCTTCAAGGAAACTCCCTTAAAGTATTTCTATGCCTATGGAAACGTTGAGGAGTCATTAACAGTAGTTGCAAAATATTCAACACCTACTGGTGATCTGATCTGTTAAAATCACACATTTTATACTCATTTCATTGAAATTTGCAGATAGAAGGTTTCGATGATATGCATTTATTCGTAAAAGAGAGTCAACCAAAAATGCAGAAAGTGCCGAGCCACCATTTGTCTGCGCACCTGGAGTCACACGAAGCAGTACGTAAGTAATGTGCTGGCTTTATTTTAATGATTTGTCTCTTGGGAATAATACCGTCTTACCAAGGAACTAGTGCTATTAAAGTGCATGATGCAAAATTTTTAACCATTTCAAAATTACAAATTTCAACACTGCACAGCAAATCCCCATATCGACAGGCCATCTGCCTTATCACGCAATACAAATTATTACATTCTGCCGCAGAGGTGTTGTGTGTCTAAATGGAACAATTATTTATGAAAGGGTACATCCACTACTTTTTTACTTCTTGTTGCGCGTCGCCACAAAGAAAAAGGTGTTCCGTATTTAGCAATGGTATAACATCCAGAGAAATCAGAATTTCTCATTTTTTCTTTCATATTCATGTAATTTTAAAGTAAGCACTCTTATTAAGGATCTAAAGCACTAATAAAAAAATACAACTCGTTTTTTCATTCCACTTCTAATTCTCGATTGTAAATGACGCTGTAGACACTCTACCCTGATTGCCATGAAATGCTGTGACTCCCAGACAGCAGGGCTGGAGTATTAGGGTGCTGCAGCATCCGGGGCCTCTTGGAATGGGTTTTTTTTCGATTATTAATTTTAATTTTTTTTTCTCTGCGAGCAGTTACATCGAATTTTTTGGGGGTCCTTGAAGTATTGGGGATTTTGAAGAATTAAAGAGGTCCTGAAACTGAAATTTCAAGGATCATGAGGCCCTTAAAGTTTAGGATTTAAGGCTTCAAAGTTAAGGCATCTAAGACTCTTCCTTTTCTTGGAATCTTGGACCGCCTTCAATTTACAAAGTATACAACCCGCAATGTGCAAGCCCTTGCCTGTTTGCGCAGTTCCTGAGCGCTAATCCGGCTCTGCCAGCTAGTAACTGCTCCAGAACATGTTTTCATTGCTGATGCATTCGAAAATTAGGTAGCATTAGACATCCACCTAATAAATACAATTTGCCAATTATATGTCGAACAGCATGCATTAATCAACAAGGTTAAACATTATAAGATTGCCAAAATAATTTCAGTCGTGTCAGCGGAATTTAAACGCAAAAAGTTTCTTCACTAGAACCAATGAGAATGTCTTGCCATCCTTCGTAACGAGGAATCCCCCAATCCCCCCCTCTATCAGAAAAAGTATCTCATATTTCCGCGCTATACCTTTTTAACCAGTGGCGTGGCGTGCTTTGCGATATATCGATGGATCCGTCATTCAAACCTATGGAAAAGGATCGATAGAGGGGGTATTCGCAGCGAACACCTTAATAATCGATTCTTCACTATAGCTTCAAATGGAGGTTTACCGATGATCGATCATTCACGCCACGCCACTGTTTTTACCAGTTTTCGACAGGGCCGGATCTAGGGGATGACCACATGGGCCGCGGCCCATTGCGGCAAATTTTGCCATTTTTTTAAATATAGGTATAAAAAAAATCGGATTCAGAAAAAAATTACAAACGAGAAAAGGTGACAAAATCTCTCATTTCCTGAGAGTATAGTAATTTCTAATTTTGTCATCCTTCGGTGATACAAGAGACAGTATCTTTAATTAGTCGAGTTAAGAGAAAAACCAAACACGCAATTTGGCCTGGAACGGCGCGGCGCAAAGAGCAATGATGACGAGAACTTGAGATGAACAGGAGAAACCCTCGGCGAAGCGGTCGGCATGTAACACATATCAGCGCCTACAAGACTGCATGAATACTTCACGCATTGCGTCAAACACAGTGCGGTCAACAACGGTAGGCGTGAAACGCAAAGCGCCTACAAGAATGTAGGAATACTTTACGATTTGCGCCAAACCCATTGCGGTCAGCGCGGCGCGGCGGCGGAAGTTAAAAGTATTAAATCACATTTATGTTTGTTCTTTCATGATATTTTCGTTCATTTCTTCAAATGGAAGACCTCGCCCACACAGAGATAGGTATACGGAACGTAACTTTTGCGCAAAGCTTTGTGAACTTTTGCGAGTAGTGTTTCCAGGGTTCTCGCAAAGAATGTGTCCAACAAGAATGAACGCGTCTAATGCACCCCTCTCCCTTTGGCATCTTCACTTAATGGTTTTTATTGATGTTTCAAAACGAATGATAAAGGGGCGGCAAAATACAGGCGGCTCATGGGCGGTAAGTTGGTAAATCCGGCCCTGGTTCTCGACATTCATTACGATCTATGATTTATGAACAAACTGCAAAACCTTTAGAATAGCCTTATGCTCACTTAGGATTTTAGGATTTTTCTCGTAATATTTGGCGCTAAACAGGATTACTGAAGTAGAAATCTTCGGATCTTTCGAGCGCCTCCGCGATACAATGCGACAATGAGGTGCCAACCAGCATGCGATAATGGGGAAGTTGACCTATCAGATTGCCAAAATATTTTCAATTATGTTATCAGGTGCTTTGGGCAGAGCAGCAAGTGGCAAAAGTGCGGCAGAGGCGAGGCCTTCTAAATCGGAGGGAGGGAATTCTTGCCCGCAGAGAGACGGACAGAAGTCGATACGAAGGAGTGTTCAACGATGAATATTGGAAACTCCAGTGGTACGAGGTATCTTCGCTTTCTCACTTACTTTACCCGAAATGTCACTGAATTTTTGTAAAGGACTAGGGAAAAAGTGACGTTTTGCCGTCAGGAGGATTATTTCTTAAATTAAGCACAAAATCGCTTATGTTGAGAAGCTTTCTGCTTGACGGGAACGGTTTTCCTGGTATAAAGTGGCTCCTCCTCTTGACTCGAGAAAAATTTAATTTTGGCCACAAATTCAAGAATATTTTAAGTCACTTTTTTCCAATTTGAAGGATATTTGATCAAGCGAAAGAATAGAATCATGGAAAATGAAACCCATGCAGCCCAGTTGTACATTGCATTGGATCCGATCTTTCGAGCGAATGGTACACTTAGTGAGTTAAGAGGTCAAGTACCATAACACACGTCTCCTTCTCTACATTTTCCAGAAAGTATTGTCGATACATCAGAAAAGTAATAAAAGTTGCTTCACTCATTCAAGAATATTTAAATAAAATTTTAAAGAAATTTTAGTTTGATTCCTTTTAAAGGAAAAAATACAACATAATGGGAGATTCTTAAACGTTGCAATGACGATACGCATTTTTTGGCTGTACCCGGAGAGAAAAACTTCGTGTATGGGACTCGAAGTTAAGGTCATATGGATCTCTGAAGTTTTCTGATCACGCATCCGAAAACTTAAGGTCGAGCTGCCGAAGTTCGGGTCAGATATCGAGGCACTTCGGTATGTACCAGAGTACTTCAGATGTGTGACCGGAACCCTTCAGTATATATCGAAGTACTGCAGATGTCCGACTCGAACTTCGGCAGCTCGACCTCAAGTTTTTAGATACGTGATCCGAAAACTTCAGAGATCCATATGACCTGAACTTCGGGTCCCACGTGCGAAGTTTTTTTCTCCGTGTAGCCATCGATAACTTCCCTCAACTTCAGAAATTAAGGAATTTTTTATGGTTTAAGTAGGTAAGAATTCGAAAATACTCATGAATTGTTCTTTGTTTTTCAGCAAGACTACAGGGCCAAAAATACAAAGTTCCCAACTTTGGACATGGGTTTGGTGCCAGTTTACACGGAACTCAACATCACGGGGAGAGGCGTCCGTGTCTGTGTCATAGATGACGGCCTCGAATATACGCACGATGACCTCAAAGATAACTTTGTGAGTAATCACGTAAAACAATTGAATCGAGATTAAAATCTCTTTTGCTTGGAATTTTGGAAAAAAAAGTGCACTGGAAAAAAAGACACATTGGATCTGGAGTCCAGACTCTTGAAAACATTGACAAGAAAAAGTACTCTTGATTCAAGCAGATTTAAGCTTAAATCAAAAAGAAATCCGCTCAAATTAAGAGGCTTGGTTCTTGATTAAGCTTAAATCTGATTGAATCAAGAGTATTTTTTCTTGTCTATGTTTTTGAGAGTCTGGACTCCAATGTGTGACTAGATCCAATGTGTTTTTTTTCCAGTGTGGTGACAAGTATAATGAACTCAGGCTAATTGATGAGCGCCTTCATATGTAACAAGAAAATTCTCTTGGGCAAATTCTCAATTTTGAAAGATTTCTGATTCGCTGTATGTTCACAGGATCCGGAAATCAGTTACAATCTGAACAACTCCACATTTGATGTCCTGCCGAGGTACGAAGATCCAATAAATGCCCACGGAACCCGTTGCGCGGGTGAAATTGCCATGAAAGCCAACAATTCCAAATGTGGAGTGGGTATAGCATTCAACGCTAAAGTTGGAGGTGCGTTCATTGATTTTCACACAGTGAGCTTAAAACCTTTGAGAGACATAATGCAGACAAGACTGCCCACATGAATTATAAATTCCGAAAAACAGATGAGTCAAGTGCGAAAACAAAAGATGAAAAATTAACGCTTGTTCGGGAATAACTTAGTTTTGAGTGTTCGAAGAGTCCAGGCAGATAACCAAAGAGCTATTTTGTGACACGCAGCACGGAAGAGGAGGATGTGATCGTTGGATGATACGGATATTTCTAGTTAACTGCGATAGCACCCCTATAAATTAGGTCACTAACCCATATGTTGTGGTACTACTACAATTAATTTGAAATGCTCATATCATCCAAAAAATTGGGGCAATACTGAAATTTTAGGGGGTGACCCCCAACAATTTATCTCCCTTAAGCACTAATTGGACTTATTTCTACCGGACAGAACTATGTGCTGGTGGGAAAGATTGGGTGTGCTCGTTAGTTCTCGGGCGGTAAGAATGCATAGGAATTATAAAGCGCCAGTGACGTCAGCGGCAACGAAGCCGTCTCCGTTGTCGCCCTCCCTCCGCTTTAACTCATGGGCCCTGTCTACAACGCTCTTTTGCCATGTCTAAGGCTCACGAGTCCCGCATTCAGTTGGCACACAGTTCTGTTTGCTGAATATAAAATCCCGCTTTTCCATTTCACCAAAAGGAATCACGCCCTCTGACCACATTTTTCTTATCCACCTCGCCACGAGCACACCCTATCTTTCCCAGCCGCACATAGTTTTGTTTGGTAGAAATACGTCCAACGTTTCGTTTATATTAGGTAGAAACAAGGGTCACAACAGTTGTGATGAATTAAAAACTTTAGGTATTTAGAGAATGGACTTGGTAGAGAAGTCCAGCTGCTGTCAGATATCACGTTCAGTCTAATTGACAGTTGCGGGAAAAATGGAAAGTTGTCCGGGGTTCACAAACGACCGTGCGTGTGACAGCAGCTCACGAAAAAGCACGTTTCCTGGACGTACATTCTGTAATTCAAAAGCACCATAGTTGACAAAACCTAGTGAGCGAATTTCATATTTCATTCCTGGACTCTCTATCTTAATCGATCGAGGTAAGAATTATTCCCCAAACAAAATATACCTCTATCTGTCGCAGGCAATCAGCATACGTCGGCAATTTGCGAACGGTCCAAGTGTTTTTTTAGATAAAACACAGTAATCTCCATCAGCATCACGAAGGACCGATGGGTGATGATGGTCTTCAAAATCATGATCTCGACTTGGAGCGCCTTCAATTTTTGTGATACTCTAAGCTTTGTCACGGAGTTAGTTTACTTGCATGTCTGATCCGGACCTAATTATAACACCAAGAGTTTCACTCCGCGCTCTCTAAAGTGTACCTGTACCTATTAATGTTATATTTTTACGGAGGAAAAAGTGTCTACTCAAATTGAAGACAAAATAATCAGTTCTCTGATCTGGTCCTTAATTTCTGAATACTATGATTTTCTAACTATTTACTTGTGACCTGAGAATTACCATGCAATTGCTTATTGTCTGCTGCATATCCCCCCCCAAAAAAAAATGGATTTGACATTTATTGCTTATAATACAAATAAATCATTGTTGGGTGGGACCTGATTTTTAGGAGGAACATAATTAGACCAGAATAATAATAATTAAAAAGAATATTTTAGCATGTTCTAAGTTATTCTTTTAACCCACAGAAAAACTAGAGATCTCTATCGCTATCTCTTTGAGCTCTCTGAAAAGGTTCGTTTCACCTTCATTTCAGGAATCAAACTGCTAGACGGACCAACGACCGATTTAATGGAAGCGAAAGCTATTCAATACGCCTTGGACAAGGTGGATATTTTCACGGGTTCTTGGGGTCCTCTGGATAACGGATTAGTCGTCGATGGTCCAGGAAAGCTGGCGAGCTTGGCTCTTGAGAATGGGATTCTTAAAGTGAGTGAAAAATCAAATTGGTCTGGTACTTTGCCTTAAACTTTAATAGTAACAATTTAGTTTGAATAATGAAGGGAACGTAATTGACTATCAGATTTTTAGAGAGAAAAAAAGATTTGTTTAGGACTCCCCCTTAAAATGCGGTAAAATAAGGGCATTCTGGTTTAGTAATATTTCCCGTGAGTGTTGCTCAATTTTCTCCAAATATAGCAAGCCTTGGATAGAAAAGACCCCGGTTGATCAGATCATAGGATCAACGAAAGGGAAAATAAGTACCTAAACTATAAGCAGAAAGGAGAGATAACGGTGTGAAAGATAGATAAGAAAGGTAAAGTATAGGTAAGGTAGATGTTGTGGTAATAGCAGAGGAAGAAGAATAGATGGAAGAAATGTGCCCTCATCTGAAATGTGTTAGAAGTCTTATGATCTAAGGATGAGGTTTTTATTACCTTTCAAGACAGACCTTTCAATGAAACATCGCAAAATTCTTTACAATGCGGGAGGGTATGAGTACAACCTTCGCAAATTTTGAGTCTCAAATTTAGGCAAGCCTAGGTTTGATGGCTTTCTCTTTTGGTGATGGAGTTTTCGTGAAGAATAATCCAAGAATCTAATTTTTGTTTAAAAAATACATCCTTTTATCAGAGTTTTTGCTTAATTTTTACAGATGACGGGGCTTTTCTTAATAGGGGTTTGTTCGTAAACAACTAATTTGTCAATATTTTGCAATAAGGTAGGTTTTAACATCCACTGATGCAGATAGCCTCTTAGGTCTAAAACGGACATGTTCCGTTTACTTGGTTCCACCGATTGGGGACCGTCCACAAGTGACGTCAGATACTTTCTTCCGATTTTCAGACTCATGTTAGACTCAGTCTACCCTTCCCGCCTTTCTTTGAAGGGGTTGGTCAAACAGCTCTAGATCTCCCTCTCTCCTGAATATCTAACGTCATTTATTAACGGCCCTTTTGGCTTTCTTTTCCCTCCAAAAATAGGGACGGAAAGGCAGAGGAGCATTGTATTTCTTCGCCGGTGGAAACGGGAAAGTGAGTGACGACAACTGCGCCTGCGACGGCTACGCGAGTAGCATCTACACCATCACGGTGGCAAGCGCCACGGAACTCGGCAAGCCGACCTACTACTCAGAGAGATGTTCCGCGGTTATGGTCACGACCTACTCGGGAGGCAGCACAGGTCAAATCAAAATCGTAAGTCCCACACATTTATGTATGTCAACTTCATACCGGCACCATGTGAAATAATATGATCGAAACTAGAAAAGTTTCGGGAAATTGTTATGGTTCAGCACTTAAAATGCGGGTTTCGGTGGCACGTCATGTTAAAGCGAATTTTGAGAGGATTTTGGCACTATGTTAATATTCAAGTGTCTGGAAAAAAGAGAAAAAAAAGATGATGTGGGAGAGCGAGGAGGATTTAATAAAGTTCGCGACATAAGTTTTACAAAATGAAAACATTTTTATTTTAGACGCGAGATTATACACTTTTCACAGAAAACAGTTCAGAATTTAACACTGAGAGTTCAACTCAAAACCGCTCGAAAATGCGTGAGGAGCGTAGTGCGGGTTTTCGCGTCAATAAAATGGAATAAGACTTAGGATCAAGTGAGACTCGAGTATTTAAAGAGAGCCTCACGCCACAAGTTATGCCACTCGTTGGCTCTTTTTGATTGGAGGGTTTTGGTCTCGGCTGTCTCTAATCTTGGTGATCAAGCAATCACCATATTATTGATACTACTGATATAGAAGTTGATGAGCTGAATTCGGAATGAAAAAGGAACTATAAGCTTGAAAACTAATTTACTAAAATGGACAAATATTTAAGGGGGAAAGAAGTGGAAAAATTGAGACTAAAAAAACTATAGAGAATTGTTGACATCGCGCATGCGACATTATAAAGGACAAAAATTAATTTAAAAAAAGGGCAATTGAACGGTATAAATTTTGATGTAAGGACTGTTCGATATGTTGACTTCATTTTAAATGAGTGAATGTCAGGGGCAGATTCCGAGGAAGGGAGCATGATGACATAATCATCTCCCCTCCCTTGGTCACACCAAAGGTAAAACAGAAGACAGAGAAAATAAGAATCAGAAAAAGAAAGAAAAGTAGCAAACGAAGGGAATAAATTTTATAAAAAAAACAGAGATAGGCATACTTCAAAATATTTGTAGACCAAAACAAGTATTAGTAAGTCTGATCATAAAATCAAAATTGTTATCTTGTCGCTGCTTTCAATCATGCCCCCTGCTGTATCTTATCTGTCTCATCCAAAACAAGTAGTCTAAAAAAAAAAAAAAATTAGTAAAATCTGTTAATCTGTACTAAAAAATCGATTTTCAAATTCGTGAGCTGAAGGTCCTTAAAATTTCAAGTTCAATGGGTTCACCTCGCAGAAAAATTTCGCAGCAGACTTCTCTAGACCCCCGTTCCTTAATATCAACCAATAGTTATAACTCGATCTGTATTTGGATCTTCTATCAATGATATGATGCCATGAACTTTATTTTTGAACATCAAGTTAATAGCGACTTGAATTCGCTTTTAAAAACGGTTTCTTTCTATCCTAATTCTTATTTTTACATTAATGCATAGGTCACCACGGACTTGCATAATGATTGTACTGTATCACATACAGGAACATCGGCTGCAGCGCCTTTAGGAGCGGGAATAGCTGCGCTGCTTTTGGAGGCAAAGTATGAACTACTTACTGTGATGAATAGATCAGTTTCCACTTCAATATACTCGTATTCCTCATATGTATTTCACTTTATATATTCACATATATTCCTCAACTTTAATTCACAAAATGTACGCGCATATCAATTTTATTGCACGTTAATATAGAGACGTTCATAATATCTGACGCATGAACAAAACGATGGATTTACGTTAGGGAGCCCGCTCCCCCCCCCCCCCCCNCCGGAAGTGAAATACATTGATTCCTTCAGAAACTTTGAAGAATTTCCTAAAATTACTACATGACAGCTCAAAATCGCTCTTGAAAATTTCTTGAGGTGGCCCTTGGAGATACCCCTTGTAGCAATAAGAGTATCCCAAACCCCACTTGGTGAGGTTCCTTCCTATGCCCTCCAGATCTCCCTCCCTGAAGTTCCCCTTTGTGCCCCTTAAAAACATTCATTGAGCTGCCCTTGCTCTTTTTTATACCAAATCCTTTGAAATATATTTCATAACAAAAATAAATATTTATAAATCAAACAACGTGTGTAACTGTAAGTATTCACCAGTGGCCAATCGTTAATGTATTATCAGTAAATATTTTTTGCCTTTTTTTATTCCATGCAGCCCCCTGTTAACGTGGAGGGATGTTCAACATTTGTTGGTTCACACCGTCGAAGTAGCTCCCATCGCAAATGACGTAGAGTGGAGACAAAATGCTGCTGGTTTCTGGTACAGCATAAACTTCGGTTTTGGCCTTATGAATGCATATCAGCTGATCAAGCAAGCAATGCAATGGACCACTGTCCCGCCAAAAACGATCTGCACAGTGCCTTTCTATTTAATGTAAGTAAATACTAGAAAAAAGGAATGCCTCATTATTACTTGATCTGATACACTCGAGCAATTTTCATCGTACTTCAAGGTCAATATCCGGCTTCACAATCGATCCTGAACTTTTTCTAACACAATGGAAGAAAGGCGTAATTGGCACTCTTGCTTGAATAATTTTTTATGAAGTACACTGGAAAAAATGTCGCTTGGATCAAGAGTCAAGACTCATAAAGACAAAATACTCTTAAATCAATCAGATTTTTGCGTGAATCGAGAGCCAAGCCCCTTAATCCAAGTGGATTTTCCTTTGAATGAAGCAAAAATACGATTGAATGAGTATTTCTTCTTGTCAATTTTTATAAATATCTGGACTCTGGATCCAAGATATTTATTTCTGGTGTATGGCTGTCCGCGGAAAAAGAGACCTTGGTCCATTTTCCATTAAGGCAACATTTTTGACATGTAGAGGCGGATAAAGCGACTCTGCGGTTTCGACGAAAAACGCTCCCTACTATCCTGAGAAAAAAGTTGCGAGTGAATCGATTATTCCTTTGCCACAAGAAGACCATGTTAATCGTTTCACTCCGATGAGTTTTCGCCTCAAAAATGGCACTTTAAAGATTTAAAATTTCATTTCGACGAAATGCAATCGTTCACCAGTTTTAAATATGAATTTTCAGTAAAATTGACCTTCAAAAAATCGATATGACAGTTCCAAACAAGGCATAAAAATTCGATGCCCCAAAACAATCGATTCGAAATTCTCATCCCTGTTGGTAACACTGCTCCACCTGAGTTTCAGTCAGAGACAAGAGACCCTCCACTCGTATCTCGGCTATTGTGGAAGCTTTTACTTTCGGGACTTCAGCGCTCTACTTTTGACTTACCTACATGGTTGATGTTTAAGAACGTGTTGGCAGTTTCGTTTTGCAAACAAGTCGAAAATGGCCGAAGTTTGTGAAACTTGTTTGGCTCATGACGTCACCCGGAGCTCATCATCGACCATGTAGGCAGGTCAACACCCGAAATTAAGGTGATTACTGATGCTCCCTAATAATTGTCCATATGGAACTGTTGATCCCCGAAAGTAAAATCTTCCACCTGTCGCTAGGAGGCCAGTGGAGAGTTTGTCTCTGGTTTCAGTTAGAAAATGGAACTTGGTTAAAAACTCAAAACCTCAATTTTAAAAAGCTGCATCCTTTTTTCAGTCATTCCATGCGTCAGTTCTCACCGTCCGCGGATTTCATAACCTCCGTAAAAACGGACGCGTGCGGGATCCGCTTTGTGGAGCATGTTCAACTGCGCTCGACTATCAACCACACTCGAAGGGGAGCCATCGAAGTGTACCTCCAATCTCCATCCGGTAAGAAATTTCCACTTATCTCGAGCGTTTTGGGGCCTCTGTTTGATTGGCTACATGAACAGCGTTCTGGGGCTCATCTAAAAATGGACATGTTTCCTACCAGAAACAACTCATTCATGTCAGGCCTAGGTCAACAATCCTTGTTTCGAAATTGCTTACTTGATATTTTTTCATGCCTATGTACATGGCAATAGAGCAACTACAAAAAATCGTATCTTCAATAAAGAATTTGCACCCAAATATGTTATTGCTTCATCTGAGAGTGCCTAAAGATCTGATTTCGTGGTATTTTTATTATAATTTTTTCTAATTTGGAAAAATTATAAAAATTGATTTAAAAGTGAGACATGCCCCGCTTAGTGACGTCACATGGCGGCATTTTCCATTCAAACACCGATTTTTTTAGGAAGGTGTATTTTAGTAGATTAGATGATTTTGTCATATCTTCTCCAATGAATGTCAATTTATGAATCAAGGATATCCTCGTGTTCAATTACTCGGTAGTTTCCGCATAAACACGAAATTCATCACTTTCTAGACACCTGCAAACTCTGCCACGTGACGTAGCATCCAAATAACTATCAAACAGGTGTTTTTCTTGGACGGGGTGGGGGGGGGGGTTAAAAAGTAAATAATACTTGATTGGAGATACCTCATTCATAATAATTACAAACATTAAGTACATATTTCCAATATGCGGCCGTCTATTCAGAGGGATCCTCCTTCGTAGAAGTATTTTTTTCAAAAGAGAGATTTGCGATAGTTTGTGTCAGAAAGAAAAAGGAATCTATTTCGACGAAAAATAATCTTTTGTGGCCGTAAGGGTACGTAATTACCTTAAACCCTAAAAAAATTAGAGCCTTTGAATTTTTGAGTGCTCTCATCGTTATCCATGGTAGGGATAACGATGAATCATTCTATCAGAAAATTGGGGGCTAATCTTTCTAGTTTGTGTATAATTTACCTACTACCTTGTGTTTTTCAGGGACGATAAGTAAATTACTGGAGGCTAGAGAGAGAGACCAGTCAAATCACGGTTTCCGCAACTGGCCATTCTTGACTCTAGAGTTTTGGGGAGAAAATCCAAGCGGCCTGTGGCGAGGGATGGTCAGAGATGTGGTAAATAACGAATTAATCTAAATAGATTTTAGTGCGCACTATTTTTGTTGACTGAAAAATGTACAGCTCCCTTGTTGCACGGGTAGCAATAAATTGCGATTACTAACTGACAAAGTTAGTTTTACTGCATCGGAGTGTTGCGTATGTTGCCCATCTAAAATTTGAAGGGGCTTCTCTTATCGAAATTTACTGCAGTAACGTTAAAATAAGTTAAACCATTTTCTTCGCATTGCGAGTTGCCTACCTCTCTGATATAGTCATAAAACTCGTTTTATCGATCATTTGAATTCGGCATTTTTGGACCAAAGGATGTTAAAATATTGCACTTTCATGGTGGGGAGAGGGGGGGGGTGCTCTCACGAGTCTTCTTCAACCAGTTTCCACATGATCGAGGTCACGGGAAAAACATTACGCACCAGATTTTATCAAAGTTTTACCTAAAAAATGTGTGTGAAATGTTTCCGTCGTTCATAGCTCTTTTGTTATTAGGTATAAATAAATCGTGACTCATAATCGTTAAGGAGGTTGAATTTTGTAGAGCTGCAATTCTAGGTGAGGTGTTTTAGCACTTTAACGTCCGTGTCTTTTAACTTCGATCTTGAGGGGTACATATGTGCTACCGTGCATCCCTCAAAATGAGGTAAATATGAGACGGATGCATACCATAAAAAAGTACGTAATATAATATCAAAATTGCTTAAACGTTGACGGACCATAATGTTCCTTGGCAATAAAATATCCCACACACTACTGTCGTGCTAAGAAAAAACGCCGTATGAGCTTTCAGGTGTTGCTAAATTTCCTTCGCTATGGTACAAAATTCCTGGAAAACTTGTGGATATTTTTCTACCAATGTTTCATAGGATTTTATTAACAATTTAATCTACAGTATCTGGCAAATTTCAAAGGAAAATATTCATAACTCTCCTGAAAAATTAACATTTCACTTTAGGAAATTTGGCAATTTTCAAATGTTCTTACGGCGTTTTTCTTTAAAACGGCAGGATATTGTCCTCTGCCCCTTCCAGGGTAGAATGTCTTGTGAAAATAAGTTCTGTCTAATGGTCATTAATTCCTACAGAGCTCTCGAGAGCATCATGACGGAGAGGTAGAATCGATGACACTGGTCATTCATGGAACAGTTGACGAGCCGGAGCATTACAAAAACGGACCTAGAAAATACGATCCATTCGATGTACCTGAGGATTACGACGAACCTGACGCGTACGAGGCGCTCAAGGCCGAGCAAGAACATGACGCTCAACAGAAACATCAATTCACGGATAAATTAAAGGTATATTGTGGTGGACTAATTACGAGGAGGAATTATTATAAGTAGTATTCCGCAAACCAGTCGTATTTCTACATTGAGCTTTTTTAGCAAGCTCCAATTTGTTTGGCGGAAGAATTTGGGGCAAAACTAGGGGCATGAAAACTGCGTTTCCGGTAATTATTCATACATACACAAGAGTCGCTTTCACAGAGCGTCACAGAGCGCTTTCCGGCGCTCTGCGACGCCCAACCGCCACAAAATTCGGTCCTTCCACTACCCATCAGGGAGTTGGCACTCCCTCATTTCATGTAAAGAGTATAGTGATTCCTAATTTTGTCGTCTCTTAGTGATACAAGAGACAGTACCTTCAATTAGTCGAGTTAAGAGAGAAACCAAACACAGAGAGAAATGATAACGAGGACTTGAGATGAAAAGGAGAAGCCCTCGGCGCGGCGATCGGCATGTAACACATATTAGCGCCTACAAGACTGCACGAATACCTCTCGCATTGCATCAAACAGAGTGCGGTCATTGCGGTCAGCGTGAAACGGATAGCGCCTACAAGAATGCATGAATACTTCACGCATTGCGCCAAAGACAGTGCGGTCAGCGTGAACCGCATAGCCTACAAGATTGCGTGAATACTTCACGCATTGCATCCAACACAGTGCGTTCAGCAGCGGTCGGCGTGAAACGCATAGCGCCTACAAGACTGTCTGAATACTTCACGCTTTGCGCCAAACATGGACGGCCTTGTCCACACAGAGATAGGTTTACGAAACTTAACTTTCGCGCGAAGTTCCGTGAACTTTTGCTAGTAGTGACATGGCTTTTCTCAAAAAAATGTGTTCAACACGAGTAAATGCGTCTTATGCACCCCTCCCCCGCTGGCACGTTCACTTGATGATTTTTATCAAGTTTAAAACGAATGAGAAGGGGGCGGCAAAATACAGGCGGCCCATGGGCGGCAAGTAGGTGAATCCGGCCCTGAGTAGAATGCCCCCTTCCTCCCGAATTTTTGCAGATGAGAGTACATTGCTAGAGCGGACTAGGGGGGGAGTGGGGGTGGGGGTCGAGGGGTTAAAACTCGATCATCGACCTCTAAACCATCGAAGAAATGGGTCATTTTTGGCTTTTTGAGGTCTTGTATAGCTTTTCTTTGTATATTTTACAACTATTCTCATCTCTTAAATAAAGAGAGAAATGAAAATTAGCGCATTATTCTTACTTGTAAGGTAATTAGATCTTCTTAAAATTATTTTATTTTTAATAAATGAAATTAAATATTTTTTTCTTGTTTTGCAGATTCCAACACTGGAAGATGGCATCAAACTCCTGAATAATGGATTTAATTTTGCCAAAAATCTGATTTAGCAGAAGAAAACTGTACACTTCCCTCTTAAAAAGTCAGTTCTTTGGGACATCTTCAACTATTTCTTGCAACATTGGTCTCAAGTAAAAAAATCCCACCGTTTCATGAATTTGAAATCCACATACCTAATACAGATTTATGATGAAACTACGAATCAAGTGTCTCGGTTTGCGAAGTTTTAGATTTCTTGTCACCTATGACTTTTTTCAGAGATAACTGATACTATATAATTATATCATTCGACAGAAATTAATTATGATTTCTCTTTGCGCCCTTCCGAGACTATACTTTAAAAATTTTGGGCAAAAAATATCTGTTAATATTCCTTTGAGTGAAGGGAGAAGGAACGGTAATATTGAAACACCGCAATCGAGATCCATGTTTTCGTAGTTTCGCCATTAATACAGTACTAAAAAAATATATTATACATTTAAATGTTTAAAATTGTCATTTTTATCACACGTTTATTTGCCAAATTTCCGCTGGGCTTTAATTATGCAGTATCTGAAAATACCTCAAGATCACTTTCCAAATGAAGAGAGAAAAATTTCAGCGTGCTAAAATTTTCTGAATTTCTGCAGGCATCAAATAAACTTTGCTTGTTATGGCAAGTTTTTCTTTTCTTTCTTCGATTGTTTTGGACTTTTAAATGCATTTTACCTGCAAGTGGCAAGTGCTAGATTTACGTCACAGTTATTATTTGATGTCCATAAAATTCATTTCAATTTTAAATTTTTCGAGGAAATGAACATTATAAACAGATCATGAAAGTACACATGTTTAAGCTTGCCTACAGGTGTGTTTGCCCTAGCACTTACTTTAATGAAAGAAAAAAGAAAGAGGAAAAAAGAAAAAAGAAGAGAAGAAAAAGAGGAAGATAAGGAAAAGAGGAAGAAGAATCGTTTAAAGATGCTGAAGAATCATTCAGAAAACACAAAAAAAGTAGAAAAACACTCAATCCGAACAGATTATGCGTTTATTTGATTCATTAACGTCAATTGCAGGGTAAATTAAAGTATAAGTAGGGAACCAAGATTCGGGATGGAAAAAGTAATCATGAATAAAAAAATGAAGAAATTTCCTATTACAACTTAAACATTTCAGAGTTGAATATACAAAAATATACTATCAGAGTAATTGCTGATTTTTGATTCAGCTTTTAGCAGCGCGCGTGCGACACAAATTTTTTCAGAAACTAACGCAAAAAATTCACCTTAAATTTTTTGTACAAATAAATGGTGATTTAAGTTTTCCATTTTTGAACCTGTGCATAATTTAAAACAAAATACGGAACGTAGTCTTTTTTAGCTTCAACAGATGGTTCCCTATTTTAAAACATCCTAAAATAACTAGTGAGATCGAATCAAAGAATAGCTCTTTGCGGCGTCAAATTCAAAATTATTGAAATAAAACTATACGTACATTTTAAAAGAGAAAAACCAATCCTTCTTTCATGATAGAATCTGATTCATTTTCTTTTCTTATCCTCTCTTTTTTGGAGAAAAAAATTAATTCCAACTTTTGACATTAGCTCGGTTTTCCAGCGATTATGAGGTATAACCTCTACTCTCAAAATAACACTAGCTCTGACTTAAATCTCCAATGAGCTTTTGCTAAATCTTGAGAACGAATGCAATAAAAAAAAAAAAATAAAAAAAAAAATAAAATCGGCATTACATCATTGATTACTTGTAGGACTACGAACAGTTGTATATGATAATAAAGTTTTTCGATTGATTCACCGCGAATAGAAATTGTCTACAATGTGTTCTTACAAAGAGGGGAATAAGCACACGCAATTAGTAAGATAATTTTTCATCACTGAGAGCTTCCTTAAATCTTGTGTCTTTTACCCAATGGTTCTCTGTTACGTAAAATGGGTTACTTTAAAAAGCACAATATAGTAATGCGTAACATTTTTTTCTTTACAACCTCAGAATTGCAGATTTTGAATTGGATCAAATTTTGCAATGGAGAGCAATATTTTCGGCCCATTTATAAGAAAACTATCTACGTAAGGAAACTAATGGTCTCTAAAATGAGGCAAAAATGATGAATCTCCTTTGCAAAATGAAGTCCAATCACGAAATAGTCGGGAATCAATTCCTATTGGAGCTTTTGTCCTGTGCACCTAACATTCATCAAATGGACGACGAGGAGCAGAGACCGCGAGGTTTTCTTTCTCCTTGATAACGGAAACAAAACTTTTGGACAGCACTGGAGAAGGGGGTGGGCTTCAAATTTTCCGAGGAGACCAAAACCGAAGGAGACCTGCCCAAAAGAAAATTTGGGGCTCTTCTCACAAAGTAAGGTTCTAAAAGGCTAGGGGAGGCTCTACTCAAAAAGTTGTCGAATGATGCCCTAAATTTTCGTTAAGAAAACGCTCCTGCGAGGCCGTTTTGGCCAAAGTTTTGGGATCGCCACCTGGCCCCCAGGTTATTCTGTCTGGGGGGCAAAGGGTTTGCTCACGAGCGGTAGTTCGGCAGCTCGGATGATCAGAATCGAGTGTTGTCGGGCATTTTGACGAAATATGCGACTTTGTCAAGTGAGACTTTGTAGTTGTGGATCCAGCGGGAGCCCTTGCGGAGACTGCCGTCAATGCCGTCCTTCCAGACGCCGGCCGGGAGGTAAACCTCTTTCTCGTAGATACCGGGACTCAAGATCGGTGCCACGATCAGCTCCTCGCCGACCGAGAACTCGTCTTTCACCAGGTGGCACGCCGAATCGTTCGGGTCCAACATCCACAACGGCCGAATTAGAGGTGTCCCCGAATCCAGAGCTTCACTTACATATTTTTTCAGCAGGGGGTTTACCTGTAAGAAACATATCAAAAGGGAACCCAATTAATACAGATACATCTCTAATTAATAAATGCTCAACACTGTTCTGTTGTATATGTTGTAGGCAGTTAGTGATCGCCAGCAATTTGCAAGTGTCTTACACGTTGTTTCGATAAATAGCAAAAATGCGCATCCGCATGATGAGGGTTTGATGGTAAATGATCTTCGATTGCACATGCTCGGCTTGGAGCGCCTTCATTTTTCGTGATACCCTACGCTTTGTCAAGGAGTTGGTTTAGTTGCTTGTCCGATCCAAACTTAACTAGCATCTTAGTTTTTTCACTACATGTTCTCCTAAGTATGCCTGCTAGTGGTACCACCATGTTTTAGGAGGAAAAATTACCTATTCTCATTGCAGGCTAATTATTACTACTCTAATCTTGCTCCTTTATTTCTGAATATTATGTTTTTCTATTTCTTCACAAGTGCCTTGCAAAATGTCGGCGACTGCCAACTGCCTGCTACATATAAACTAAAAAACTTAAATTATGATGCTGAAATGTTTAGTAATCAGTGTCTTGAACGTATTAATATGTACCAGAAGTACCTAATTGGTTACTGTCATTTTTAACTAGGGTGTACGCACATTAACTGCTCCGCGTCAACTCTCCGAAACGCTCGGCGCCTCTTATGTACATAGGTTTTCAATAGGGTTAAGATTCCTTTAGGTGCTCTCATAATTTTTATAAAAAAGAATATTACCGTCCGAGAGATCGCTGTCATTTATGTGTCCCGCTTAAAAATTGACAATTTGTTAAATATGGACCGATTTTTCCTCCCTGATCTCAAAATCTGCTGTCGGCCTAACTATGGAGCCGGGACATCCTACTGCGCGGTAAAACGTCCCGGTGTGTGATCCGCAAACAACTGATTATTATTAATCAGAAAATGTTTAGGATTTCGAGAAGTATTTTACTACAGGTATACGCACGGATTGAGTTCGAAGGCTTGTCAGAAGTTTTGCTAATTCTAGAACTTGCTCATCATACTCGCTTGGCAAATGAGCGTATCTTATCACAGGAAGAAAGGTTGCGAGCTGAAGCCATCGGATGTACAGCTCCCTGTCTGGAAGCCCGTTGCTGCTCTCTGATTCGTGCCCCATCCCGGACAGAGAGTAGTCCAAACTGTTGTTCCCTGCAAACATGACATTTTCAGTTAAGCCCTAGTCTGGCATAAAGTACCTCGATGACGTTTAAGGAAAGAGTATGACCGCGCTGGAAGAAAGAATACTTTTGAAGAGAGAGTATGGTCATCAGATTACGGAATACCTTTACAGAGGTAGAATGACCAGTAGAGGATCCATCCATGTTTGACTGGCTCTGCCATCTTAGGCTTCATTAACCCCTAGGAGATTAATATGGCGTACATCACATGCGGATGATTAAATAATGTTTGTATGATGCATACGTTAACGCATTAAAAAATCTAACCTAATCTAATCTAATTTAATCTAATCCAATCCAATCTAATCTAATCTAACAAAAACAAATAAAATGCCTGGGACGTATCGGCGTGGTTTCAACCACCTCCTCGACCAGGAAACAAAAATATAAATAGTTTGTTATCACAAATGAAATGTCTAAGGAGTTTTCATTTTGTATAATTTTGTTTCCTGGTTGAAGAGGGAAATGATTCCACCTCGAAACGTCCGAGACGTTCTGTTTGTTTTTAGCCTGTGTTTTCCATTTTCTTAAGTTTCACTTCATTCAATTTTCGGACTATTTTTGTGTATCATTCTTATATAATCGCATACAAAAATATTCACATAAATAAAGCACATATTTACGGTGTCGGTCTGACCCTAGTCAAATTCTTGGGGTGTTGATACGTTTTCGGGGGCCTCTCCTCTCGGGTGGGGCCCCGCGAACTAACCCCGAAGTCCTCCAAGTTTCATCGTCAAGTCTTCAAGTTTATGGGGGCCCCTTGAGCCACCCGTTAGGATGTCCGGGGTGCAGAGACACTCTACCACCCATGGCCCCTAATCACATACATAGAAATGGACCACAAGACAAGGGACGAATTTAAGCATTCTGATACACGTGTCTTAACCAAAATTTCACGTAGAACACGATTCACGCAACGAAAATTACTGGAATTAACTCCTAACGGAGATAATAATATTTTTATTTCGCATTGGTTACGAGGAATTTGAACTGCCCGCTCACAAGAAACTCAAAGCTCTACGTGAGTCTAATCGCGCACTACAACGATTTCAGCAAGCTTCTCAATCGAGCAATGCTCATTTTCCACCATGTGTTTTTCAAATTATATGTAATTTGCTATGGCTGAGCCAAAGTGTCAAGATAGAGGTTGCCAGGTTTTTAAATCGCAGAGACGTTCATGATAACGTTTAGCGCTCGATGTGAATCACGTAGAGCATTGAGTTTTCATGAGCGGGTGGTTTGAATTCATTGAATCATTAAATATCTTCGGAATTAGTCGATTTCGGTAATTTTTGTTGTGCGCATCGTGCTTTACGTGTAATTTTGGTGAAGACACGTGTATCAGAATGCTGAAATTCGTACCTTGTCTAGTGGTCCATTGAGGAAATGGAACCTACCTCTGTACGGAAGGGGCCTGTCGACGAGGTAGTCTCCCCCGACTGCACCAGGTATTAGGAATGAGTATCCGACGATGCCGTAAGTGAGAATTAGCGGAATCATGACTTGAAGGGACTCCCAGGTTGACGGCAGCGGAGGGAGCGAGACGAAAATCGGGGCCGGGGGACGGGCGATGGCCCCGGACACTCCAAAGACTTGCACGCTCCCAACCACGGCACTGATGAATAGTCCTTTATAATGGTCCGGATTCGTCAGTTTTTTTGTAAATTTATAGTAATGCGGGATATCGTACGCTTTTCCTGCAAAAATTCAACAAAGTTATTGCTCTGACAATCATTTCGTCGTTTCCCACACGAAGGAACGTAACTGCATTTCAATGTTGCCAAATTTTCTTGCGCAGATTGCATTTTTACTGGGAGAATTTTGGGCATTTCTGACTGAAAAATTCACTGATTTTTCTTCTAATTTCATGTTAAAATCAGACCAATTTTCGACATAAATTGCACAGGTCTATTCTTGTTAAATTTTGAATTGTTTGAGTCAATTTAGCAACCTTGGAATGGAGTTACGTTCTTTCGTCCGGGAGACGACGATTTGAGTGCCAAATCAGATAAACTGACAATTTTAGCATAAACATAACATCCTAACCGTAAACATCCGAAAACTCAATTTTAATGATCCGAAATTTTCGAGGTTATTTTCTTATTAGAAAGGAAAAAAATCAACAAGTCAATTCAAAATTTCCTCTGAATTTTCTATACCTATCGCAAATGTATTTTGGTTCACCCTTAAAGGGAACAACTTAAATCAATTGTCATGGGACACTCCATTTAGGAATGGAGATAGGTACCCGTCACTCGAGTGGCTAATGGTCATTGACTATATCGTTAGTTTATACTTAAATACTACCTTATTTATTTTATTACATGTAAATACATGCAAAAAAATTGATAGTTTGTAGTAGTTACGTCTTTTTTAGATGAAATTGTAAATTCATATGTATGCTTCGTCTTAACAGAAAAGATACTATTTCGAAAACGTAACGTAAAAGTGTAGGTCCGCAACCACGTTTCTCGTTTGCGGTGTTTTACAATCTCCACTACTATTTTATTTTTTTAAAAGAAGAATAAATCGATAGGTATCATTCTTTGAAGTTTTCGCAGAATTTTCTTCGCACAGAGAAGAAAAAGCACGGCAGTTTTCAAGAATTACCGTTGAGTAGTTTTCTATTTAATAATTAAAGTATATGATAGGAGGTCTGCGAATGGAGTTATGCGAATTTATGGGTACAATTACTTTATTACCAACAGTTGATAAAATAAAAAGTTATAGCAGCTCCTACCTAAATCGAGATAAAATGAGTTGATTTGGTAATCTGCCACCAACTTTGACAGTTTACTCTTGAGCCATGGTATGGTGTTATTGTTTGTGATATCGATCATTCCGGCACTTCGCACCGAATTATATCGCGTCAGGGCTGGAATTTTTCGAGATGAATCTCCACCTCTTTCGGTTACCTGTTTGAAGTGAAGAGGAAAAAATCAACAATATTAAACGTCATTTTATCAGAATGATTACAAACATATTTTTAAAAAGTTTTGAATTGACAACAATCATTAAAAATAGAAATAAGAATTTTGGCAAATTGGTGATTGAAGGGTTCAGCTCATGAATGTTACGCGGTCTAAACTGGTGCTTGTAGGAATAAAAACGAACGCTGAATTTGCTTAACATTTTAGGAGTGTAGCAGGGCCGGATTTACCTACTTGCCGCGGCATAGGCCGCCTGTATTTTGCCGCCCCCTTCTCATTCGTCTTGAAACATCAATAAAAACCACCAAGTGAACGTGTCGGAGGGAAAGGGGTGCAAAAGACGCGTTTACTCGTGTTGGACACATTTTTCCGAAAGCCCTGTCAGCACTACTAGAAAAAGTTCACGGAACTTTGTATGCAAGTTAAGCTCCGTAAACCTATCTTTGTGTGGACATGGCCTCCCATTTATAAGAAATGAACGAACAAATTATGAAAGAACAAACATAAATTTGGTTTAATAATTCTAACTTCAGCCGCCGCGCCGCGCTGATCGCACTGTGTTTGACGTAATGCGTGAAGTATTCATGCAGTCTTGAAGGCGCTATGCGTTTCACGCCGCCCGCGGCTGCTGACCGCAGCGACCGCACTGTTTTTGACGCAATGCGTGAAGTATTCATGCAGTCTTGTAGGCGCTCATATGTGTGACATGCGGACCGCCGCGCCGAGGAGGGCTTCTCCTTTTCATTTCAAGTCCTCATCATCATTGCTCTCTGCACCGCGCCACTCCAGGCCAAATTGCTTGTTTGGTTTCTCTCTTACCTCGACTTATTAAAGGTGCGGTCTCTTGTATCACCGAAAGATGACAAAATCATAAATTACTATACTCTCAGGAAATAAGAGATTTGTCTCCTTTTCTCGTTTGTAATTTTTTTTCTGAATCCGATTTTTCTAATATACCTACATTTAAAAAAAAATGCAAAGTTTGCCGCCCCCTATAAATTTGCCGCCTTGGGCCGCGGCCCATATGGCCAACCCTAAATCCGGCCCTGGAGTGTAGCTCTACTAGAAATAATCCGCGGCATATAGTTTTTCCAAACACGTCACCTTGAATTTTCTATGCACTCGACTTTGGGCTTCCTGCCGTACCGTAAGCCTGATTTTGGTAGGAATATTTTTTCTCTGAGATTCCTACCAAATCTTTAGTCATATAAATGTGCACTACTGATAAAAAGCAAAGTGATTAATCCAGAACGGGTAGGTAAACAATTGTGAAAACCACACTTGACCGTTACTGAAGGCTTTAGAATTAATTTTCATCCCAATTTAATATGTGCCAAGACCACTTACCACTTAAGCTATGTTGAAATTTTTGGTACACCTTAATGCGTCAAGTTAATTTCTATGGGTGGATTTCTGTAGATTTTCATTTTGCTGTCGCCGGATGATTTCAAGGCGGTAATCTACGAAATATGTCTAACTTATTTTTTTTTACACTTCGGTAGGTCTTGGCAATCTTAAAAAATTGTTAAATCTACTTTAAATGCCGAAGCATACTTTCGGGAATTTTTTTAATAGTGCAACTGTCAACTCCGGCTAATGTCGCCAGGCTAAATTCGAACACAAGAACTGTTCTGCTGACTTTTTGGCGGAGTCCTGCACAATTTTGATGCTTTATTTAAATTGTTGAATAGATTGGGTCTACTGAAAAATTGTTAGAAAACTATTTAAAAGTCAGGGGAACGTGCACCATACATAGAAAGTTGTGTCACTAGCTTTGGTGTCAACTCCGGCGGAGCTATTTTCGCGCATTCCGCAGCAAACAGCGGATAGTGCGCGCGCAGGGTAGCCATCGTAATTGTGTTTTTTCAAGAGTTGGAGGTCCCGGGCTATCGGAAACACTGCTTTGATAAACATTAGTAAACCTTTTCTGCATCAAATATTTGGATTTCTAAAAATGGTAATTTGAAACTGTCAACTCCATTTATGTTAAAATTTCATACTGGGGAAGTGGCGCCAGTGATATAATTCAGTATATAATGTACCTGCACGATCGGACCTCAAAACAATCGGTTTTGTTTGTATTCCGCATCGTGAACACTTTCTTTCCCGCGAAAAACACTCAAATGTCAACTCCGGCCGCGTCAACTCCGACCTTGTCAACTCCGGCCCAATGACGTTTAACGTTATTAAGCTGAACTTTATTCGACATTCGTGTAATATTTTTGTTCAATTGTTTGTTCCAGTTCAGTAGATTTCAGTCTTTAGTTAAATATTCGTTATTTTTTCAAATAACTTTGTTTTGTAATTTCACCTATGTCAACTCCGGCCCAATGACGTTTAACATTGTAAAACATAGCTCTTATTTGACATTCGTGTAATATTTTTGTTCAATTGTTTGTCCCAGTTCATTAGATTTCAGTCTTTAGTAAAATATTCGTTATTTTTTCAAATAACTTTATTTTGTAATTTCATCTATGTCAACTCCGACCTTATCGATTCCAGCCCAATGGCGTTTAACGTTGTAAAACTGAGCTTTATTTGACATTCGTGTAACATTTTTGTTCAATTGTTTGTTCCAGTTCATTAGATTTCAATCTTTAGTTAAACATTCGTTATTTTTTCAAATAACTTTGTTTTGTAATTTGATCTATGTCAACTCCGACCTTGTCGACTCCTGCCCAATGACGTTTAACGTTGTAAAACTGAGCTTTATTTGACATTCGTGTAATATTTTTGTTCAATTGTTTGTTCCAGTTCATTAGCTTTTAGTCTTTAGTTAAATATTCGTTATTTTTTCAAATAACTTCGTTCTGTAATTTCATCGATGTCAACTCCGTACTACCTGTCAACTCCGGCCATCGGTGAAAAAACGACTGTAAAGACTATTTTTTTAAGAATCAAATCGGTTTTATGAGAAGATTAGTTTAATTAAGGGTATCATTGAGAGTTTTAATGCATTTTCAGTATCTTCGATTGGTTTTTTTTTCCTAGGAGGATTAAAACAAAAGTGTTTTTTTCAGATTATTAAGCCTTTTCCGTATTGAAATTCCAAAAATGACCATTTGTAAGTCATTTTAAAGTATTATCCTCATCCTTTTTTTATTCACTTGACTTCTCTTACTTGAAAGAGCAATAAAAATCCTTAAGTTGAAGGAAAGAAGCCTTGCAAGTACTAAATACAGGATGTGAAATGAGACTGGCTGGAGTTGACAAAGTAGACTTTTTTCGTTCACTTACTAGCAAAAAAAAAAAATATGGCCCTACAGAAGTTGACCCCTCCACTTAAATATGATTCTACATAGTATACTACTTCTAAAAAATGCTTTGTGGATTACCTACTGTAAAATTTTTTTTGAAGGAAAAAAAATTCCCAAAATGAAAATCTACAGAAATCCACCCCTATGCACTTGAATATCCAAGATTTTGTACTAAATCAATAATCTAGCTAGGATTTGCAAATATGATACCGGATAAGACCTTAGACTTCACTTTAATCCCAATTTCAACTGCGCGAGATCGCATTGGCAGTGTAAAGAAATAGAGAACCTTTGTCTCAGAAGATTAGAACAAAAGTTCTGTTTCAAGAGTTAATTAACCGAAATCTTGAGGGCAGATTACTAAAAATAAATATGCATGAAGAGATATTGAACTTGTGTCCTGCAGGAGAATTTTTGCTTCAGAAAGTTTTAAAATAATTCTTATGAGGAGTTCAAAAATGTCTGCAGATCGCAAAAAAATTGACATATTCCAGGAAAAATGTTTGATTCATTGAATGGATTCAACATTCTTTCAATCGTCTCTTTGGCAATATACACCCCTCCATCCCTTCATCATGTAATGAATCGATGTTCATTCTCACCAGATATCCTTTTTTTACTGCTTCGGCAAAGTTTGAGGATTCCGTGCTAATGAACGGCTGAATTGTTAGCACGATCCGAAATCCTCTCCGATGGATGATGTTGATCGTGTCCTTTATCGTGGGGAACCTGCTTGTGTCTAAAGTAAAGTCGCCAACCTCAGACTGCCAGAATTCATTCAGCATAACGTGACCTGGCCATACGCAAAAATCAATTAAATATGTTTCGCAAATATTGTAAACAGGATATCATTAATCATTGTATTATCTAACGTTACCCTGTAAATTTAATGCAATTCCTTTAGTTTTAGTTTTAAATTATACAAGGAAATACTTGTAGGTAGTAGTTAGGTTATACTTAAATAAAATTCATTCAAAAAAAAAAAAAAAAAAAAAAAAAAAAAAAAAAAAAAAGGTATCATTAGGCTATGCAGTCTTGGACGTCTAATTTTCATTTTTTGCCACAGTTCGTTTTTCCCTCCTACTAGGGCTGATTTCCATTACTTTTGCGGCTATTAATTCAGATTTTGAAGATACAATCCAAGTTTTTATATGATACGCGATAAAACTGGGAATTTTTCCATTGAACAATGTAAAATTTCAACTTTGGTCACAGTTCGTTTTAAAGCTATACCGGGCCGATTTTCATGATATTTACGGCAATCGCACAGTTATATGAACTGAATAAGAGGACCAATATGCAACACTGTATAAGTACTAACGGTTTACATAAACTAAACTTATTTCTCAGAGTAATGGTCCATACTTTATAAAATTACAAAAAATGTGATTGTTTTTCGTGCTTAGTTACCTTGCCTCAAAAATCCCAAGGCTATCACGTCTTCGGTATAGTTTACAACAGCGTTCTCTGTCAGTCGGTTTTTGTCTAGCGGCGTGATTTGCCACACTGGCTCCGTTATAAGTGAGTTGATGACCTCCACATCCGATTGAGTTAGTCCGTCCCATAGACTCTTCTCAGAAAGGCCAAAGTGAAGAGTCTTCATATTACTTGCTGTGCATAGAGTGTAATTCAACTGCGGGAGCCCGGACAGTATGTACGCAAAATCGTCATGACGAGCCTATTTACAAAAAACGGTGAGGCTTAAATAACTACAGAGTCAGATCAATAATTCGCACGGTCCTTAAATTTCACCGGTAGTTTAGCGTAGATTCTAGATAATTTTGGATTTGCGTTTAAAAAATAATCGTCTTTCGATTTCGAATGCTTCCCTGTGGCAGAGCGAAACGAAGAAGACAACAAATGAGAAACTAGTTTAAAACTTACGTATTTGCAATCGATTTCAAAATTGAGTAAAAACGCCTAACTAGATGTACACGGAGAAAACAACATGGTTTTTCTATGGTTACCACCGTTAGTAATGTTACACGGGATTCTACGATAGTAGAACCGTGAATTTTGATGAGCACGATAATATTACCGTGTCTAACGTAATGGAACTGTGAGAAAGAAAATATTACTATGCATGAGCATAGTTATGCTACTATTCTCAGATGTCTGACCCGAACTTCGGCAGCTGCATCTCAAGTTTTTACATACGTGATCCCAAAACTTCAGAGACTTCAACTTCGGGTTGGAACCCGAAGTTTAGGTCATATGGATCTCTGAAGTTTTCGGATTGAGCATCTGAACACTTTAGGTCTAGCTGTCGAGGTTCGGGTCACACATCTGAAATTTCAGTTCTTACATCTGAAGTACTTCAGATGTGAGAACCGAAGTTTTTCGGACTTGAAAACCGAAGTAATTCAGATGTAAGAACTGAAGTTTCAGATGTGTGATCCAAACCTCAGCAGCTCGACCTAACGTGTTCAGATGCTCAATCCGAAAACTTCAGAGATCCATATGACCTAAACTTCGGGTCCCTCACAAGAAGTTTTTATCTCCGTGTATCACGCTAGACCTTTGACCCGGATCCATAGACCTACGGTGAAAGGAAGTGAGTACATACTTGAAGACAGAGTCTGGATTCCTTGCCAGCGTTGATGGAAACGTAGAGTGGGGTTTGGGGGTCGACGGTGATGGCGACTCCCCTGGAGTTGATGAAGTAACGACGGAGGACGGAACCCCAGCGGTGCCTCTCCACGTGCCCCGTGACGAAGGGTGACATCTCGACACGACCCAACTCAACCGGCCAAGCCATGCCTAGCGTTCGACCACCACCGTACCTGTATCATTTTGAAAAGAAAATATTGCTACATCACAATTTTTGCCGCAAATCATGTTCACATCGTCGCATAGTGGATAGAGTCAATAGGCGAAGTCGGACAAAATTTTGAAACTTTAAACGCTTATAACTCCATTTATACAAAATTTTGAGGTTCTAAAAGTGGTTCATTAGTTTTCTCTTGAAATTTTCTGCAGGTGGCTCTCCCGGAAATTTAAAAGTTGGCTTGATAAATATAAAAATTTGCAGTTTTAGTCAAAAATGTTATGTTTGACCTCTACGACTGACTCGATCCACTGTGTGTTGTTCCTCTGACGAGAAAATTTAACTTCATTTCAACGTTGCAAATTCTATTTTTACCTGGAAACTGACGAGTATTTCTGTCTGAAAATTTCATCGATTTTTTTATTTTTTTTTGATAAGGTACGATCAAAAATCTTCGAACTTTTGGACATGAATCGCACTATTATATCCAAGTAAAAAATGAAAGTGTTTTAGTCAATTTCGTAATTTTGCACATGAATTGGATCCCCTCGTCCGGAAAAAGACGATATGCAAGCCTGCAAGGTGGTTTCAAAACACAATTTTGGAACAATTTGATAGCCAATCGATCGATTGATGCTTTTAAATTTTAATGAATTCCAAAAAGTTTCTTCACGCTGCTGGAAAAATCGGCTTATAAAGAACGCTGTAATAAAAACCACCGATGTGCTCCTGAATGAGTAACGCTTTTGCACCACCAGATTAAGCTTTTGGGCATAAAATTGGCCATGAACAGGCTTTCCAAGCTCCAATCATAAAATTCAATCTGTCTGTTCTCTCCTAAATTTTACAATTTAAATTAACTTCTTTCACAAAACTGTGTCCATTAAAGGGAGAACCATGTATAGTGAGAACACCGATAAAGTACCATATGGTTACCATTAACGAAAAAAAAAACTTAACCGGCCCGAGACGAAAACACAAAATAAACAACTTAAAATTGGACTCAGGCCATAAAAATAAAACATAAAAAACGGGACTTTTTGCAGCTAAGAGAAGCGCATTTTCAACCGGAAACAAAAAGAAAAATCGAAAGAAGAACTAATTTACATTTATTAATTAACAGCGCTGAGACTCAGTAAATTTGGATTTTTTTGTAAAATTTTCCCTCTTATTTCCGGTTGAAACAGCGCTTGTAATGGCTGCGCAACGCCCCAGTCGTTTAATTTGTTTTTCGGCCCTAATCTCATAATTTTAAGTTGTATACTTTGTGTCCCCATTAACTCGTATGCTAACCGTAACCGTTTACCGTAAAGTTAATAGAGTACCGATAAAGTTACCAGTGCCCATATTTGCCTCCTTCCTCGTAACAATCGGTGGGATAGTAGTCTTTGGAGAGGCTGGACCACGAAATCTTGTAGCACCGCAGGTCTGGGCCATTTTCTTGATAATTCAAATACAATCGAGCTCTGTTCATCCATTCTTTACAAATCGAGCCGTCATTTCTCATGTGTTCAGGCAGGCAGTTGTACGGTCGCTCGCCCTCAGAAATATCCACGCCCAGGTAACCTAAAGCTATTTCTGAGCTTTGCTTGCTAAATACCCGTATATGTCGTTGTTCTTTATTGAACCTGAAGTCCTCAAAATATGCACGCTGAAATGAAAAATGAGTTCAAGATAAATAATAAAACGAGTCGTGGGCATGAATTTGAATCATTTGTGCACTTGTTATTTTTTAGAGGTCAATAAACCTTCGAATGTGGCTAATCATTTAAATTAGATTGAGTTTAACAGGGAGAGCCTAAAAAAAAAAAAAAAAAGAGCCCAAGTAGCAGTGGCGAAGCGTGAATGATCGATTATCGATAGTTCTCCATTTGATGCCATGGTAAAAATGCACACTCAATAGTATTTAAAAAAATTTTCAGCTCCTGCAGAGACACTGATCTTGAAATTCTCAGCATGTCGTAAAATACAGAATTTTGGGAATTTCAACATTTGAAAATATGAGAAGCAATTGAAGAGGAAGAGAAAAAAAGAGTTCGTAGGTTTGATGGGTTATTTTTCCAAATATAGTGAAAAACCGTGAGCTCTTCGCCATAAATTCACAAAATTTTGTAGACCGTCAAAATTTGACTATCTGCCTAGGCATTTGACAAAATGCCTGATTTCACTATTTGCCTGCGACAGAAACATTAACTAAACCTAAAACAGGTTCAAACTCTATGACATGAAACTGCCGGTAAGCTTTTTTATTCCTCACCTGTAAGACTTGCTGGTGATAAAATACATGGGCAAATCCGCACAAGAAAACTATGGCTAGGAACAAAAATGCGACGACTCCCCGCAACTCATACTCGCCTGAAGGCCGCCTTCGTTTGATACCTTTTGGAAAGGCCATCTGAGGAAATAAACGGGGACAAGTTTTACAAATATTATTAAAGATGGACCGAGCTCAATAGAAACGCCAAGTTCCATAAAATTTGAGCACAGTAAAGGAGGTTTGAAGTTTCATTCCTCCATGAGATTCGATTTTAAGGCCTCGAATGACTATTTCCACGCTTGAAGAAATTTTCGTTGCTTCGTATTTCTGAATAGGGTATTTACGACTAGTTGAATTCGAAACTGCTCTTGACTCATTTTTTGCCAAAATGCAATTTGAGGAGTCTTTGTTGAACTCGGTATAGATATGCCCTGAGGCGAAGCAATTAATCTCAATGGATTGATGGTCATTACTAGTGCGATGGTGCTCAATTACGAAGATAATAATCGGATCGGTGAAATGACAACTTTTTGTGGAGATAGAGTAAAAGGTGAAATTCGCAATAGTCTACAAACAAATAATTGAATTAGTAAAATTATCAGTTTTAGGCATGCGCATCTGACAAGTAAACTCAGATAAATAGTTTATTACAGTATATCCGACGCACTTGGTCGATAAAGGTTGTTATCTTCGACATAAGAAATTAACTCATCTCTTCATTCTCTGAATTAAAATTATATTGTAACGTTCTATGCCTAAGGGAAGGAGAGATCAATATCCATGATTTATCGCCACTAAATCATTTGAAACTCCAGTTTTCGAAGTTAATAAAGAATTGCCTCTGGGTATTTGATTTCTTTTTCTTATGATTTCTAAAAAAATAGGAATGAGACACCAGGAGAGATTTGAAATTCAAATTGCTGCATTTGCTGTAGTTTGTGAAATGCAAATTTAAATAGAATATCAACCAAACTCATGTGCAAAAACCTCTCTATATGTATTAAAAATTCGCTATAGACATGAGAGTTATATCTTTATGAATCCATCAAGTGCTGCTGATAGCTCAAAATTTTCCATTGTCATTAACTGTTTAAACATTTGTTCAAATAGAGCATTTCTGCTAATACCTAATGCCGGTTACGTTTCCCTTCATCTAACAAAGCGTGGACGAATATTAACCAAACTCTTTGTTGGTACTCTCTACTAATATTGTCAGTTACGTACCTGTAAACCTCCTTTAGTCTCCACCGTGTGACACACTTAAACTTGTACTTAATAAACTTGAGCGTTATAAACTCCATTTCGAACTGATACTGAAATGTTACGGGTATGCTTGCAATTCTCACAAGCGTCTTGGAAAAACAATCTTCCTAAAGTATGCCAAAGAGCACAGCGCTCTTTCCACTTGCGAGACGTATCAAGATTCTTGTAGATAAGTGCCCTTAACCACTAATTTCGTTATTAGCATTCATCCGTGGAGCCCTACTTGCAGAATGAAGTACCCTCTTGAAAACGTTTAATTTCAGACAAGAGTACTTACAGCATTATCTACGATGGAATGAAATCTTTTAACATATCCTAAAATCATATCGCATTTGATGCTAAAAAATTTCTATAAGTGGTGGAAAGTTTAGAATGTATTTAAATTTTACCGAGTTGCAATGGTTTTTGATACATAACTCCTCTTTCAACTCTAAAATTGCACCTATATAAACAATACTGTAATCCTCAAGGTGCATAGTTGTTTGCCTACCTTTCGATTTTAAGGCGCCGCAGTGCACACTCTTGGCTGCATTGCTTGGGAATTATCCTGATTTGCTATTCGAGCCCCTTCCTTGACAAGAAGCGATTTAAATCTTATGTGAAAAGTGTTTTATAAGCAAATTGTATATCTTGCTGAATACATTAGTTCCGCCAGCAACTGGGTAATGGAGTTATGTTTTGCTTGTTGAAACTTTCAAATTAGCATAATAAGAAGATCCTGTCCTACGGCGTTTCTACGTCCAATACTGACAGAGAGGCCTTTAAAGACAGAGTTATTCACATCTTCTACCGTGTTTAATAGATTGATACCATGATTTCCTTCCTTCATTAAACATGAACTTCCCTCAAACCGTATGGATAGGCGCGTATATACTCAGATTTGAAACCCATTTTGCATGAATTACGTTCAGTGAGATGTTTTCAAGCTAAATCTTCTCTAAGTATATAACAAGGTTGGTAACAAGTATAACAGGTCGTAACTGTCAAATATTGGCAAAACCCACTCACCTCCACTCAGAGTCACCGCCATTGCATTTATCCTAGGGGTCGCGCATAGAGTACATAGATTCGTAATGATTGGAAGAGCTGGGACCACTTTTAAGCATTTTCAATGCTTTTTGGTCTAAAATTCGATGACTACTGTGCGACGCCGGGTCACTTTTCGATACATAATCGATTGTTTGCAATACACGGGGACTCGGCCATTCGATATTGTCAAAGAAGATAGGAATTACTACGTATTCCACACCACCATTTTGGATCGAACATGTATCGAAAAAGTAACCCACACACCAGACTCGGAACTCGTCGTCCAGGACATGGTCCCAGCTCTCCCATTCACATTACACTGGAAAAAAAACACATTGGATCTAGAGTCCAGACTCTTGATAACATTGACAAGAAAAAATACTCTTGATTCAATCAGATTTAAGCTTAAATCGAAAGTAAATCCGCTCAAATTAAGAGGCTTGGTTCTTGATTTAAGCAAAAATCCGATTGAATCAAGAGTATTTTTTTCTTGTCGATGTTTTTAAGAGTCTGGATTCTAGATCCAATGTTTTTTTTTTTTCCAGTGTATGATTCTATGTACTCTATGGGGTCGCGTCGCCCGGTCGCCATGGGACCCAGCGTCCATACTCTTCCCATAAGGCAACACAAATAGTAATAAATTAACGGGGCAAACAATGCTACAATAGATACTTACAGTAAGCTTTTCCTTGAGCAAACTTGAGATAGAGTTGAGGCTGGTAACGGAGTTGGCCCGACTGCTCTCGGAAAACTCGTCGAGATCATTGTCGTTGACGCTGGTCACTTTCGAGCGGGCTGGGACGATCACCGATTTCTTGCGGAGATTTCGCAACGGAACCCTGCAATCACCTAATGCCACTGATGAGCTGTGCCTCTTCCTAACGTCTACTAACGATGCGACAAGATACTCGATATTCAAAATGCATGCTTCGTCATAACAACACATGCCATCGGCTGAAATCCACACACAAAAACAAAACAAACGGATACGTTGTAATCATCGTCCAGGCTCTCATGTTTCACCCCGCAAAATGAACTTTTTCAAAAGTTCGTCGAAAACTGTCTCAATTTTGAAAGAAAATAGTGGGCGTGGTATTCCGTCCTGCGCACTACATTCCCTCGCTTACTTCCTTTTAGGAGGAACAAATTCTGGCCAACTGACGAAGTCTGCTAAGCTCATTTATGCGAGATCCGAAGGGCTTCGGGAATTTTCTCCCTTTTTTTTCTATTTCTCAATTTTTCTTCTTTCCACACACAATACTCAGAAATATTATGTTTATGGGACGAAATTTATTTACGAAGATGCCTGGAGATAATAATGCCTATCCTGTGAAAAGCTAATGTATTATATTATTAATATTAGAAGGTAAAATTTATGTTACACCAAAGTTAGTCTGTCCTCTAATTAGATCTTAAAACGATTGCAACCCATTTTAAAGAAATTTAAATTATTTTTGTAAAGTTACATTTTTTAAAAAATAAAGAAGTTTAATTACCCATATTAAAAGTAAAAATTAATTGAGTCAAGACCAATATTCCGTTATCTCGCCTTTCCAAAGTTTCATCGGACTAAATAAATTTAACGTATCACAAAGAATATTATAATAAAAGAAAAAAAAGATGTGGGTAATATGTTATTGTTAAATTGTTAGAGATTGTTTCTTATGCAGTTACCCACATTAACGCACCAAATTATTAAACATCCTTGTTAGTGGGATTAACTTTTGAGTAAATGTGATTTCAATGTAGCCCGGTCGTGAGAGGCATCGCCTTTTTCAAAGCCTTTGAGGAAAGAATATGTGCCCCGTTCCAAAATTTCAATATTTGGTTAGATTCCTCGCAGTTTAATGAAAAATTCAACATCTAATCATGTTTAAGATAATACCGTTAGTATAATGCGTTTTGGAGACTAATCGACCATGTTAAGGCAATTTTTGGTATGCTAATGGTCCCGCATTGGTCCCTGGTTGAGATGTAAGAGGTCATTACAACATATTCAAATTGTCTATTTTTGTGTGTGAAAATTTGCACTGCAATCATTTTATCCCCAAAAGTACATGGGCTTCTTTAAAGTTAGATCTATACGCAAGACTCTGTCCGTTGCGTACGTTACGTAAGTTACGTAACGCGCGAAACGACGTGAGTCTTTCGTCATTCATATGGAACAGTGAACATTCGGTATGAAATATGAGCCATTTTTCCCGTGATTTTTCTCGGTATTTTGACGTAACTTTTGGAGAAGCAAAAAAAGAATTGGAATCGAGTAGTGCGAAGTGACAAGCGGATATGCTGTCTATTCAGTGTTTAACTTCTCCATGCGTTTAGCAAATTGCTGTGACCAACTTGTCAGATTGAAATGAATAATGTTACCTTGAATGTGAATAAATTAACACCTTTGAATATCACGTTACGACTCGAATTGTACTTTTTAGGGGAAAAAAAGCTCGCATTATCACAGCAAAGCTGATTTGTGTGACTTTTCCAATACTGCCGTGCTAAGAAAACGTAACGTGGACATTGTGTATGTGTATGCGAATATTGTCACATGCATTCTCCCAGAGAAAATATTTATTTATGAGGAAACTTCTGAATTACTCTTCCTTAAATATTAGATTAAATTGCGCTTAGAATTCTCCAAGAAATTGGAAAAAAAATATTCACAAGTTTTTCTGAGAATATATATTTTCCATCAAAGAAAATTGAACAACGTCTACGGGCGTTTTCCTTGGCACGGATTTTTAGGGAAAATTTTGCCAGAGTATCCTTTGGAATCTTCTGTTAATATTTTTCTAATCGAATTTTGTTTTTGAAGCACCCAGAATTTCCGCAGTTGTCCCAAACAAATCCGATAGGTAAATAAAATATCAACAATACGCTCCTAAAAATGCTCTGAAACAATTTCGTCGTGTGCAATTCATGCTTACAGATATACTTAAAAGCTTACATGCAGGAATGAAAAAAATTACGTTGGTTTGAAGAGCATCACAGCTACATGTACATATATCGATTGACATTTCTAAAAAAATTAAGTTTTTAATTCTTTCACGCGGAACAGAATTTTCGCAAATTTTGTCTAAATGCGTTTTGCATGAAGAAAATATTCTCAAAATCACAAAAAATTCTCTAAGGCTCATGTTCATCCGTGATACTCTTCAAATACATAACCAAAAGATCATATGAAAAAAATTTGGAGGTACAATTCGCATTATCTAAAGCTTCCTCTGAGTGCAGGCGAGGTAGAAAAAAGAGAATCGTCCATAGACGAGCTATTAGTCACTTGATTTGTTTTAATTACTAAAACTTATACCTGAACAAAGCCAAATGCATGCAATCTTGTTAAAAGGCGGCACTTGTGAGTGCATTAAACGAGATATTAGTGCCGCAGCGGTGAAAGAAGTAGGTAAACAAAAATATGACATGCGTCACATAATATTCGCAAAAAAATTATCTCTGAGTGGATATCCCCCTCTGACTTCCTAGAAGAAATGATAATGTTGTCAAAGGAAAACTCGCAATTTTCATACGTAATAACATTCCTGAACATGCTAATTTTAACAATGGCACACGATTCGGATCGATTTTTTTAGAGTTCTGATTGAGTTTGTGGAACAACCCTCCCATCGAGAATCTAACCCCGGTCAGGTCATTCATCGGTCAGTTAAGTTGAAATACTAACAATTTTTCCCAGTTCAAACACATTCTCTGAACGCAAAATTACATTTTCAAACGAATTAGGTAGAACAAACTAGATTCAATCATGTTTTTATTCTGAATTTTTGCCCACAAAGACAATTATGTGAGGATACTTAAGTTATTTAAAGAGATCCCAGGTCAAGAAAGGCTAAGGCCTGATGGTAGCTACTGAAATGTCTGGCTATAAGTGCTGTCCGGGAAATCTGGTAGAATGTATCAGAAGTCTAGTATAACGACATGATTACCTGGAGTTCAACCAGACGATTAACACCACTAAAAGTCTAGCGCTGGCTACTTAATTGCCTAGGGAGTATATACTGTCGGACTGTTTAGTAAGTCCGCCACTAAATTTTTATATAAGTGCACCCTTTGTTGTGAAAGGTGTCTTTCTAGAGTTCTTGACTCATTCCCATTCGATTCTCTGTGTGATCTCTCCCTCAATAATATGACTACTCTAGTAATCTGTCCTGATTGCAACTTTGATCAGGGTATTTTCCATACACTCAGCACCTATGCTGCCGTGCTGAGGCAGAACGCCGTATGAACATTCGAGAGTTGCCACATTTTCCCCGATAAAATGTTTATTTTTGAGGAAGGTAATGAATGTTTTTCCTTGAAATTTTCAGGAACTTTAGGTGATTTTGCCAACAAAATTATCTAAAAAATTGGAAGGTAATATAGTATACACAGGTAATATAGTAGTAGTATAGTAGTATTAATTAGTATTAGTAGTATTAGTTATTATATTATTTATTATTATAATATTATTCAATATTATTATTCAAATATTATTCAATTATTTATTATTTATTATTATATTATATTCAAATATTTATATTGTATATGTTAATATACTGTAATATAATTCATAAGTTTACGAGGAAATTCGTGTTTCATTAAGAGAAATTTGGCAACGCCTGAGGGCTTATACGGCGTTTTTCTTTAGCACGGAGGATGATCAAAAGCTGAACTTACTTTGCGCTCTCGATATCTGTGGTGACGCAGCTCTCTTCATCTGAAGCAGCTCCGTCGCTGAAGGTGTCGCAGGTGTCATACCCATCATGGCGAACCCGCTCAGGAGTCAGCTGAAACAGAAAGCAGATTCCAAATTCAGCTCATTCTATTTTACCCAGACACTAGCGTCACACGCTGAATGTGGAAGCTGAATGTGGCTTGAATGTGGATGTCAACGGTCCGATGCCTGAATTTTGCGCGTGTCGCGCAAAATTCAGTAACGGGACTCAGCGAGCATCGGATAATGTCGGATTTTTCCGAGCTATTCGAATAGATTTGATACAAATCTGGATGAAAATAACTCGACTTTGCAAGATTTCAGCCGTTGAGCGATGACTGTTGACTTCCATATTCAGCTGCCAAATTCAGCGTTTGATTCCGGCAAGACGTGAAACGCACCGGAAAATTATTATGCTCGAACCCACCAAGACTCAAGAGGGAATTGAACACCTAAAAGCAACAGTTGTTTGTGAAAAAAAAAAAAAAAAGCTTTCCTCAAAAATAAACATTTTATCGGAGGAAATTTGGCAACTTTCGAATGTTCATACGGCGTTCTTCCTTAGCACGGCAGTATTCACTGAAGTTCTTAACAAAGCACACATTTATATCGTAACTCTCTTTTGGCTTCTCCGCGAATACCGCACAAAAATAATATAAAATATCTTTCAAAAGAATAAAAAACTTACATAGTTGTCGAGGCAAACCGTTCGGGACTACGATTCTAAGCGTTTGTTGATGTCGTTTGCGTAAAATCCTTGTTAAGCCGACTAATAAATGCTCCTACCACATTAGACTTCCTATATAACTTCTGGTTTTAGTCAGAAAATCGCACGACAACGCGATTAATATTTATCAAAAAGCGATCAGGTACCTAAACAAAGGAACACAGCTCTACGTACGGATTCAAACTTTTATGAGAACACTAACGAGACAAACACTTCCGATCACTCTGAAACTCAACACACAACTTAGAGATCGATACAATTTTCAAAAGTGAAACGACCGGATCAACCAAAAACACAGCCTAATTGCAACTATTGCAATTGTTTTCTTGAACTAAAAACAGACTCTTTTCAAGGTCGGCCTTTGCGAGCGATCTCGCTGAAACCGAAACACTTTAATTTGCGCTGGCCGCCTCGTGATCATGAAAAAGCTGCAAAAGAAATGCATGGGAATCAGCTGATTGTGCTTTTAGCCTTTTTATCTGGCGCCCGTACAAAGTCTGACGTCGGAGCAGAGCCAACAAGTGACGAACGTCTCTCCTAGCCCGGTAAACACATTAATCTCAGTTTACCTATTCATTACAGATCTTACGACGACCTTGAGCTCCGCTTTACATAATGCATTCAATGTGCCGATCTGCGAGAAAAAATGCTTAAACTGCACGCCTCAAATGCAACTATTGTAGTGTTGAAATGCGCGAAGGCGTGCAATATTTGCGGCGGCCTAAACTTCGTCCATCGCACGCATGACACGTCTCGTTTCTCGTATTTTTGGCCTTGCTGATCGCTCAGTAATGCCATATTACTAGGTTTAGCCTCTCTTTCAAGGTAGATTTAAACCAAAATTTTAATTACCAGTTACCAGTCGAAAAAAAAAAAAAACAGACTCGCTCTCTAGAGAACTGCTCTGCTTACAAAAACTATGATGATGACTTTGGAAAGTTTAGGTCATCGATTTGCGCAGGCTCTGTAGCAATAGGAAAATGTCCACTGATATAAAAGCCGATATCGAGGAACATATTTACACAACAAAAAGGTGATCTCTTCATTTTGACAGGAGAAAATGCTAATGTTATAAATTCCTTAAATATTAATTGTATTTTTCAAAAATGCGATTTGATCCGTACCTGCTTGTTTCCGTCTACATAACTTTTCACGCGACCGCTTCCTTCCAAATAATCTGTACCGACATAAGCGTTAGAAATGGCAAGCAAATAATCACTGTCCTGAGTTGCATTTATTTATTTTATTTTCAACCTATTCTTCTCCAAAACAAGTGTATGCTTTTGTTCGTAAATTGAGCTTACCTAATTGAGCACATTTTTAAAGATGTAACTTTATCATTCTCGATGCACTTTAATTTAAATTACCCGCTCGCAGGGCCGGACTAAGGGGGTGGCCACATGGGCCGCGGCCTATGGCGGCAAATCTATAGGGGCCGGCAAATTTTGCAATTTTTTTAAATGTAGGTATAAAAAAATCGTATTTAGAAAGAAAAATTATGAATGAGAAAAGGGGACGAAATCTCTCTTTCCTGAGAGTATAGTAATTTCTAATTTTGTCGTTTTTCGGTGGTACAAGAGGCAGCACCTTTAATTAGTCGAGTTAAGAGAGAAACCAAACACACAATTTGGCCTGGAACGGCGCGACTTAGGGAGAAATGATGACGAGGACTTGAGACGAAACGGAGAAGCCCTCGGCGCGGCAATCGGCATGTAACACATATTAGCGCCTACAAGACTGCGTGAATACTTCACGCATTGCGCCAAACACGGTGCGGTCAGCGCGGCGCGGCGGCGGAAGTTAAAATCATTCATCCACATTTATGTTTGTTCTTTCATAATTTTTTCATTCATTTCTTGTGAATGGAAGGCCTTGTCCACGCAGAGATAGGTTTACGAAACTTAACTTTCGCACATAGAAGACTGTACAAGAAAAGACTGTAAAAGTTCAATAAGTATAGGTCGCGTTCATTTTCACGGTCACTCTTTCAAAACCTGCGACTATAGTCGTTGTAGGAATAGTTCGGGTGAGTTGAAGCGTTAAGTTTGCCTTCAATTTCGAGTGATACTGTGGTGATACTCGGGTGGCCGAATTGTTGCTTCACACTTATGTACGCTAAGTATGGGCCGCGTTCATAATCATTGCTAGTTGCTCCTTAACCCTATCTTTACCAACCTTTTTTACATACACGAAACACAAATCGGATTCATTTTTACCAAACTTTAAAATGCTTATAGTTTACAAGTTTTTGTAAAGAACCTTTTATTATTTTGTGGTCCTCCATCGTCGGGGTACGCAATACTTAGTTAAAAAAACTATTAAACAAACAATGATTATATGGTATGATCTAAAAGTCCCGCACCGCACCTCCATGAATTTTTTTTCTAATTGAACTACCGAGTTGAAATTTCGGGTGTGTACCTAGATCAAATGGTTCTGCTTTCCTCCAAAATTATTGAGAGAGGCTCTAAGAGGGGTGCCACGTACCCTAACTTTTTTTCAAACGGTAACCCCACATTGTGATACATTATTAGAAGGAGAATAAAGAGAAAATGTTGCTATAGGGCTCAAATCTTAATTTCAAAATGCCCGCCAAAAAAATTATCTTGCTCAATATTTGAACTTTTTCCTTCCCGTGTTTTGAGAACCTGTTTGTGGAGCACCGCATTATAGTTGCTGAAATAGGAAAATGGCAAACATATTCAGGAGTCGCCGGGCCTGTCTTGATCTGCTGGTGAAGATAGGGTTAAAAGTTATATTTTCCTTCACGTTCATTAAAAGAACTATGCTATAGTTCAGAATACTTGTGTTTGTGGATCGTTTAAAATTTTCAAATGAGAGAATAACGTATAGTGCAGATTTTTTTACGTAAAATCTTGAATGGCATTACTTATCTATGAAAACTTAATAGTTTTGGGTTAATGGACATAGTCATACTTCTCATTTTACAAAAAACTACTGTTTACCTCTCGAGCTGATCCAATGCACAGGTCACTTTATTGAAAGCATGTCAAAAATTATTGACCACAGAACACCACCTCTACCGACACAATTATTATGATTTTTAAATTTAAAGCTCACGTATTATTTTACCAGATATCGAGTGAAAAACTTAGTATATAAACACGCACTGCTTCATAAACAAGCCGGTCAAATCGGCGATTCGCACTGGTTTGGTTCGATTCTCATCTCTTTGCGAGACTCCCGTCCTTCAAGAAGAGCGAGACCAGTCACCAGATCTCGAGATTCCCCCCGGCTTGGCCATTCCACTTGGTTTTACCCAACTTTTCCTCTCTAAACTTAACTTGACGAATAACTCGACGCACCCAGATCAACGCGGTGTTTGTTTTTTTTAAGTCTCATTATTGGCATCACACACGCACTGCCGCAACCGAGGCAGTTTTCCCCATGACATGACCCATATTCCGACGGCTGAGCCAAAGATGCAAATTAGCGTATTCGGGCTGAAGTAATACGTGTTGTAAAAACATTCACCATATTTGCTTTACGAACTTCTCGTTCAGAGAAATTTGAATTGGTGAAGATGAATATAAAATTTGAAAGTTTTCACGTGCGGTAATGTGACTGATGCAGGGCCGGATTAAGGGGTGGCCACATGGGCCGCGTCCCATGGCGGCAAATTTAGGGGGCCGCAAGTTTTGCAACTTTTTTAAATGCAGGTACAAAAAAAAAATTGGATTCAGAGTAAAATTACAAACAAGAAATCAAAACAAAATCTCTCATTTCCTGAGAGTTCAGTAATTTCTAATTTTGTCGTATTTCGGTGATACAAAAGACTGCGCACCTTTAATTAGTTGAGTTAAGAGAGAAACCAAACACGTAATTTGGCCTGGAGCGGCGCGGCGCAGAGAGAAATGATGACGAGGACTTGAGATGAAAAGGAGAAGCCCTCGGCGCGGCGGTCGGTATGTAACACATATTAGCGCCTACAAGACTGCATGAATACCTCACGCATTGCGGCAAACACAGTACGGTCAACAGCGGTCGGCGCGGCGTGAAACACACAGCGCCTACAAGACTACATGAATACTTCACGCATTGCGCCAATCGCAGTGTATGGTCAGCGCGGCACGGCGGCGCGGCGCGGCGGCGGAAGTTAAAATCATTAAACCACATTTATGTTTGTTCTTTCTTAATTTTTTAGTTCATTTCTTACAAATGCAAGGCCTTGTCCACACAGAGATAAGTTTACTGAACTGAACCTTAGCGCGAAGTTCCGTGAACTTTTTCTAGTTTTAACAGGGCTTCTACAAGTGGTTTCATTGGTTACTTCGTGAAATTTTCTTTAAAAAGCACCCCTTGATATTTAAAAAGTAACGAACTAAACATGAAAATTTGCACTTTTATTCAAAAATTGTATGTCTGACCTCTCTAATTGACTCGATTTACTGAGCGTCGGTTTTGCCCTGGCGCGTCTATCCTCTCGTTGATATTTAATCCCTCGAGCGAGGGATTGTTCTTCAGTGGCGTGGCGTGAATTGCGATATATCGATCGTTATGCCATTTAAACCTATGGTAAAGAATCGATTATTAAGGTGTTCGCTGCGAACACCCTGTCTATCGATCTTTTTCCATATGTTTAAATGGCATAATAATCGATATATCTCAAAGCATGCCACGCCACTGTTGTTCTCGTGAGCTAATGAGTAGCTGTGACGAGTAGACGAAAGAGAGATTGCCCTTAACTCCACGCGTGCGAGCGCAGGATGAGACTAGGCCGGCTTGGATAATTGATTTAGGACAACGTGCCCGTAACGTCTTCGAATGTGACGCTAAACTTTTGAATTGGAATCAAGCCGCAGTTCCACAGACAGCGCGCGACACAAAGTTCACCTCGCGAAAACAACCACACAACAGGGTGCAATGATTTCAAACCTACCTGATGCCACTACTTAGGCGATTCGCTTCACCTACACTTGCAGTAATTGAAATGTTTAAATTACAGTTCTCAGTCGCCAATCGCGTGGTCGATTTCACGCACCAACTTTGCCTCGTGCGCTACCTATGAAACCGTGGCTCAAATCGCCGCGGAGATGAGCGGAAGCTCCGACAACTTACGAGACCCCCCCCCCTTCCCCGCCTTCAACCCCGCAGCTCACCAACCGACGCCTCGATACACACGCAGCTGGGTTGAGATCTGCTATGCTACCAAAAACTCGGGTTTCCAATGAAAAATTACAACATGCATTAACGTCCACGTGAAAAGAAACGGTACACAGTGGATCGAGTCAATTGGAGAGGTCGGACAAAATTTGGAGACTTTAAACGCTTAAAACTCCGTTTTTACGAAATTTTAAGGTTCTAAAAGTGGTCCCATTGGTTTTCTCGTGAAATTTGCGCACAGAATCACTACCTAAACATCGAAAGTTGTAATTTTAGCCGAAAAAATCATGTCCGACCTCTTCTAATAGTTCGATCCACTGTGCGGCACTGCCATGGTGCCGAAGGAAGAGAGCAGTAACACCCCAAGCTTTGAATAGAGTTTACTTTAAAATTCGACTAATGTGATGTAAATGAAAAGTGACCGATTCGGCTGAAACAGGATGATACGTATCATTTGTAAACATGAATTGAAAAATATGAAAAAAATCATCGAACGCGCAAAATATAAAACGCAATTCAGATAAAATAGTAGTAAGTTTCCATGGTTAGCTGTGGGGTCCCAAGGGGGCCGACCCATGAAAACCATGAAAGTTCGATCCCGGGATCTATTCCCGATTTAAGCCCCCCTTCCAAATATAATCTGACATAAAATAACGGGGGGGGGGGGGAGTCCAGGCACAGTTGGTCTAGGACATCTTGTATAACTTTTGCAACGCTATATCACGAGATAGCTGGATTGTAGTGTAATAATCTTAATGCCCTAGTAACATCAATGATGAAACTGTATCCCAGAAAATGAAAGAAGATCGATTCAAGTTGTTTTTGTTTTTTTACCGAGCAACTTCAAAATACTGGTAGTTTTTAATTTGGCACTTTTCTCAATTTTATTTTTTTAACGACCCTCAGGTAGATGAAGGCAGGGCGGCTCGCCCATCTCATGCTATTATCTCTGTCAACTCAAGCAACAAATTCAATGTTGTTGATAATGACGCGTTGGTAAATACAAATATTTACGCTCTATGAACACGCGTGTTGCCTATGAAAAAATGGAAGGCGCTCCGGTCACGCTTGTCCATAAAGCACTGCACGCACCAGCGCAGCGACGACGCAGCGTATGATCGCGCCGTAAGAATAAGTAGCAAGATGAAAATATCTGATATAACTAAGGCAGGGGGACAGAAAATATATTTTCGCACCATTTTTACTGGCATGGATATTATATTTTACCGCCACACCGAGTCGTGACAGGGTGTTGCTATAAGCACTGCTACATAATCTAGAATGACCGGAGTGCCTTCAAAGTTTAGCATGCAACCCGGATATCCATATAGCACGAATAGTTACAGCAAGATGTTATTATCGATATCATTGTCTTTAGCTCGGATACACATGTCGAGGCGTCAAGAAAAACGCCGTAAGAACACTTAATAGTTGTCAAATTTCCTTCAATTGAATACGCGTTTCCCTGTAAAACTACCTTCAGAAGAACTTTTAGAACCTCCAAATTTGGATTAAACGAAGTTATAAGCTTTCACAGTTTCCTAATTCTATCCGAATCACTCTGCTATTGACTTGATCCACTGTGCAACGTTGAAAGTTTGCGCCCAATCTGTGAGTGGGAAATTGTGATACAGCCTGATCCAAAATAGATCATGGGCTATATTTTACTAGGTGAAAAAAATGATTATATATTATCATTGTTGGCAATATGTTTCCAAATTTCACTTTTACATCTTTAGCTTTCTCATATTTATATATATGGCGAGTATAATCGATGTGTACTAAATTTAAAACGTAACATGAGTGTAAGTATTTTGATCTTAGCGTTACTCTACATTATTTTTGTAGATTTAGTAGAAGAACTAACCTGAGGATCGTACTCTGGGGGCTCCATGACGTTGAGGGCAGGGAGCGAGACGGAGTTCCTTCGCAAGCTCAATCTGCGCTTTGGCTGGTCAGCCGACTGATTTTCGACTTGGGCCGCGGCCGGTCCGCTCGCCGCAACCACCCGCGGTGGCTCACTCGTCGTTGGGTGCATCATTGCCCGCCAATTGCTTCCTTCCTGCCAACAGTCATCAATCGATGGAATCTTCAATCAAATCCAAAGCGACTTTCAAGCTCTCCATGTTGTCAAAATGGAGATGTTGCATGTGTGAGGAATTTGCGATTTGACCGTGGATTCTCATGTAAAAGTTCGCGAGAAACACGATGGTGCCACTGGTTTTCTCTGAAATCAACTCCCAAGCTCAAAAAAAGCTCTCAAGTTGAGGCTAAAATGGAGGGGATATCCCACGCTATCCCGAGAGTCCACCTCTACATCAAGACAAACTCTCCATGCATAGATAGGGAGCAAATACATTAGCAGGGTTGCCGTGTTTTCAGTTTCTGAGTCCCCAAATAAGGTGGCGGCCCTGTCAATGTATTTGCTCCCTATATTTGCATGGAGAGTTTGTCTTGATCTAGAGGTAGACTCTCAGGATAGCGTGGGATATCCTCCCTATTTTGGCCTCACTTGAGAGCTTTTTTTGAGCTTGGGAGTGGATTTCAGAGAAAACCAGTGGCATTATCGTGTTTCTCGCGAACTATTACATAAGAATCAACAGTCAAATCGCAAATTCCTCACACATGCAACATCTCCATTGTCCTGGAATCAGCGATGGCTGGTGCAGCCAGCACACCTCATGCATCATCCTCAACGCTGCACATGCACAATGGATCGAGTCAATAGGAGAGGTCGGACAAAATTCGGAAAATGTAAACGCTTATAACTCCGATTATACAAAACTTTGAAGTTCTATAAGTGGTTCCATTGAATTTCTCGTGAAATTTACTTCGAAAAGCACCCCTTGAAGTTTAAAATGTGGAGAAATAAACATAAAAATTTGCAGTTGTAGTCAAATATTGCATGTCCGACCTCTAATTGACTCGATCCATTGTGCGCCGGCTCTGGACCCTCCCTAAATATTACCAATCCCAATTAGGACCTCGGAGCAAGAGATGGCAGTTCCTATTTCTTGGCGGTTCTACTGGATCTGCGTTACCTTCGTATTTTGATTTGGTTTTGAAGTCGTTGTTGATCCTTAAATTCTGTAGGAAGGGGTCGTTTCGTGTGTGAAATTTTTGAGAGGAAAAATGTAAATATTCTCAATTCCAACCTTGTCTCGAGGGGCTCCTTTTGAAATTGGTACTAATGAGTGGTATTCAAATATGGTGTCGCGACATTCGCGTGTCTTTTCAAGGAGAAATGGTGTTATAAGTGTAAAATATGTTTACATTAAAAAAGAACCACGAGGCATTGAAAACGATCACATAGGAGCAGAAAGAAAATTGTTGGCTAGAATTTTGAGTTGAAGATGAAGAGGTGTTAAGTTGTTGGGAAAATGAATGAAAGATCAGGCACTCACGGGGTACTGTTTATGACGATGTTTGAGGTACAATATTGACCGCACTGCGACAGCGTCACCAATTAACAGCGTGGTGTTGCGGAATTCAAGCTGAATTGCTACTCGAGTCTGTCATACTTGCTGGATTTTTTCACGCTGCGGAAAAGAGACAGAAAGAGAAAAAATAAGTGACTATCATATCCTGAGTGCCCCTTACGCATTTCAGTATTTTAAGAATTTGTATAAAATATAAATCTTAACATACTGTGAGAGTTGTTGCGTACCTTACATTTTGAAGGCGTTTTTTATCCTCACGCAACGCAACTCCATGATAGTAACGCGGCTTTTCTCGCATGCTGATAATACTGGATTTCGTCCATTTTAAATATACTTAAAACAATCGATGAGCAGGCTAGAGCATTTCTGGAATCGCTAGCTTATGACGCATTCAAAATGAGAGCAAACATAATTACCAATCCACGAAAATCGCCTGAGCGACGCAACGATTTTTCATATTATTTCGTCTCCTAAAGAGTTTAATTCAAAATATTCTTTTTTCGAAAAATGGTATTTTTGGCTTAATTTGACTGACGCTGCCATTTTAAAACTAGTTGATAATGATATAGTTGGTGGTCTCATTTTAAAGATTAGATCCTATTACCTGAGTTTGTAGTTCAAAAAAGAAACTTTTGTACGCGCAGTTTTTCTTCATACAGCTCATCTAACAACGCGTGGACGGACCTTTCAATATAAACGTCCTAATTTTGTCAATATTTCATTACAAGAGATGATTCGAGTCTTAAGCGGTAGTTTGGGATTTGGTCAGTAAAATGAGACTAAAATTTTGCCTCTATAGCTCAAACGGCAGTTCAAAACATACGTGACGCTAAATTTTTGAATTTTCGACCCGCCTCCTCCCCCTTCCTACCCCTTGTAACGCGCTTACGTGACGGAGGTTGTATCTTTTGTTGTCCTTGTTTTGTTATGTTTTGTTAGCTTTGTTGTTTGAGGTTGTGCCTCACCTAGAGTCGATTTTTTTACGTACATTTAAATTAATCGAAGGAGAACTTAGTTTCCAACTTTCAAGAATCGCCACTGCCTCTTTTCTGCCAAAAAGATTGGTTTTTTTCTGCTGCATGAATTCGGTGTGACTGAATTGTGTGCGAAAAATATAATCCGCGACTTAACAAAATTTAGCTGTCAGTGTCAGGTGAAAGTCAAATTAAAGACATAGATATCAAATGTCAGTTTTCATAAGACTCATTAGTTTCTTAGATCCCCCATGCATCCTTGAGAATGGTCGTGGCATTATAATAATCCACGGTGTGATAACGGTCTATCGCGAGTACGCACGTGTTTAACGTTGAGTCGGCGACGAATTTGATGTCGTGCCAAGTGAGTACATGGTATATAATGGTGGTTCGAAAACATTCTATAACCTTCCAATTACTTCTCATTTACTTTTTTCCCTTCTTCTTTTTGTGAATACAAAAACCCAAGTTCTGATTTCATCGATCCAAATCGATGGAATCGCGGTGATCAAAGACAAAATCGAGACTTCCTGAAAGTAGTAGTGCGGCCCATTTTTTCTATGCGACATTTTGCCTCCTATCAGTGGCTATTCTTGGAGGTTGGAAACGCTGCTGTTTCTCATTTAAATGTATGAAAAACAATCAAATCGATGTGTGTTTAGTGGATTTGAATGGAAGCAGGAGAGCACAACCCATCCAAGCTTTGAGTTTAATTTCAATTAAATTTTGTAGAATCAGCATGTTATGAGCATTCTTTAGTAATACTGAAACTTCAAGCATACTTTACTAACGTGAATGAACTCACTCACATACTAATCGGTAACGTGGTAGAAAAATAAACAGTTGAACAAATGCGGAAAAATTCAGCGAAATTTCAGGGAATTTGAAAAACCTCCGCATCATATCACTATGAGCCATAAATATCTTCACTAATAAAGCTAAAAAAATTCCAATACACCTTTTGGAAAACAATTTTCACGAGAACATATATATTGAACTTATTTGTTTATTTAAATATTCTGGATAGTTTTGATGGTATTGCCTTTTGAAGGATCTTTCATTTCAAGAAACTTTTTCTCCATATACTCATCTTGAACACGCTCATTGTAAAAAATCTGACTTCGGAGGAAAATCTAGAGACCTTGTAGAAATCACTTGCAAGCAGATGCCTGTCGTATTGATAGAAGTCTAAAAGTTCGTCTTTTGCAAGTGGCAGCATATATCTCTGTATGATTTAAATTTTTCTTAGTAATTATTCTCAAGTTTATCTTATGGGAAGTACTCACCTGTAAGTCGGAATAAAAGGATCCTCCGCAACCACTCCACAGATTCCAAACACGATTTTCCCCCAAAAACTCACAAACTTCGATAATTTTTTCCTGCACGAGGGAGGACACTTTGAGAAGAGGAGAGAAGGAGAGAGGGGAAGAAAGCCATTCCTCAACCTTCTGTACCCGGAAGTTAGTGGTTTTTTAGAGTTCAGAACTTTGACAAAAAATGTTTTGAGAGTCTACAGGAACACATAGCGTGATTAAACGAATAGTCTTGAACTTTCCCACCTCCGCTCTTTGACCGCTCCAGTTCATGTAACTATGAGCCATCCATCACTGTCCAAAAATTTTAAAAGTAAAAAACAAATAAACGATATTAAAATAGGAATAACTTGTCATTTCAATTTGGGATTTAGGGTGAATAGGTAATGTTAGATTTTTCGTTGTGAAAAAAACATGCTGCGAGAGGGACTCACGGAGAAGGGGACCAAGGGAAAGCAGGACGCACTCCTTCACAGAAAAAAGGACACTTTATTCCATAAACCAGCACAGTGCAATAAAGGGAACGACACAAGAAAAAACAAAACCTATAACTTCTCAGAGGAACTGAAAAAACTCAAATCACTCAAAAACTCCAAAAACTAACTTTCAAGCTTCTCCAACGGGAGCCGGACCGGCCAAGCTCCTAACCGAGCCTGCTTTTAGTTTAATAATTACGATGATAAATTAATTAAGAAAAAAATATTTAATAATAAAAATAAACTCTGAGACCTAGCTTGCGGTGGCGAGGCAACTGGTTTCAGCGAAACCGGACCGAACCGATGGATACGAGCGGTGGACGAGGACTAAGGATTGTAAATATTATGACCACGCAGGTAAAGCTGTAGCGCCATGTGATTCCCAGTGTTGCAACTCATCGCTGTCGGTTTAAACACGCCGTTTTTTTACGGTTTAAATCACCAGGGTCAGCCAGAGAGGCATCAGAATCGGGGGCTTGGGCCTGGTGAACATGTCACCTGCGCTAGGCTTCACGCTCTTTAGCTGCTGCTGAGCCTTAAAGTCTGCTTTTATCTCACCTCTGCTTGAGTTCATTACATGTTCAATAACGTTGTAAAATCGACGCGAAAAATCATCACTTCCCTAGTAGCAGAACAATTTTTTTTTTCTAAAAAGAGTATAAAAAAACATATCTTTTATCTAAATGGTAGTTTTATATAAAAACTGTGTAACGCTTATATAAAAAAAATCAAAGTTCGGACTTGACCATGAAATATGAAAAATGATAAAAGCTAGATAAGGTAATTTTTTTTATTGGCAAGTTTTTTTATTTTTTCATATGACGCGTGCATACGAAAGTGTTATGAGTGAACATTTTTATGTAACTATTATATATAAAAAAAAGGTCATCATTTTTGTGAGCTTTTCGCGATTTAGAGGATTTTTCAGAATGTTTACGAAAAGCTCACGAAAATTATGACTTTTTTATACTATGGTTACATAAAAATGTTCACTTTTAACACTTTCGTATGCATGCGTCGTATAAAAAAAATTAACTTTCGTACATAATCTTTATCTTTTCCTTTTAAGGAAAATCTTTTTCCTTATTGCGTTCATTAAAATCAAAGTAATTTTCACAGGAGAAAATGTGACGCTGGCACAGAACTATATAGGATCAACAGGGTCTTCAAAATTCATGCACTCTCTAAAAGGACCTAATAGACAGGGCAAAACACCAAAGAGAAAAATATTTTGAAAGTTTGAAAGTTGGCACATCATATATACAACTTAGACTCAGTGAATCAAGAAGAAAAAAAATCATCTCCACAGCTCAACAAACGTTTGAATGCATATATGTTGTGCATTTAACATCTAAAGTGTTTTTTGTGCTTGAATATTAAAAGGAGTAGATAACAGTTGTAAGTGTAAAAGGTTTAATCGCTCGTGAACACAAGTGTTACATAAGTTAGAGTTCATCGAACGGGAGAAAATCACCTGTAGGTACTAAATTTACAAGTTCTTGTAACAGACTGGAGAGTCCCTTTTTTGTGAATTAATTTTTTGTCTGTAGATAAACAACCCTGGCTTAGGTACGCAAATGATAATATGTTTTATATAAAATATACTGTTAGACATTTCATTATTACTTCCACCTCTGAATGGTTCATCGTAACGACGCTGATTAGATGAGAACTTGCTCAGTTTGACTACAGTAAATTTTGGTTTTTTGGCGGGCGGGAGGTTTGAATTAACGGACACCGAAAACGCTCGTGTAGCACTTCAGAGTCAAAATTATACATTTTCAATGAGTTTCCTATGTTTCAGAAATAGTAAAATGAGAATACGTGTAAATATTGCGATTATTTGCGTTGGTTCCTGATTTAGGTACAATTAATTATTTTCAGTCTACACTGGAAAAAAAATACATTGAATCTAGAGTCCAGACTCTTGAAAACATTGAGAAGAAAAAGGACTCTTGATTTAAGCAGATTTAAGCTTAAATCAAAAGGAAATTCACTCAAATGAAGAGGCCTGGTTCTTGATTTAAGCTTAAATCTGATTGAATCAAGAGTATTTTTTCTTGTCAATGTTTTTAAGAGTCTGCTCTTTAGATCCAATGTGTTTTTTTCCAGTGTACTATGGTCCATCAAAAATGGACATGCGAGCCCAGAAGCAATTCTAATATTCACTGTTCGAACATACAACGTGGACGGTAGCTGAGGTGTCAACGAGTCGTAGACCTTCGATTATCTACCATTTCGTTCGCCCCCCCCCCTTCCCTCGTTCCTACGGTTTAGGACGTAAACAAAGTTAAAGAATTATCACTTCACTTGTTTTTTTATGCGTAAGTTTAAATTTAAAATAATTGACGTCATTTCTTTTGTTTATCACAACGCGCTACCGCCAATAACTTACGAGAGGTCAAATGCAACAGGAAAAAAAGAGAATATTATGAAAGGAGAGAGTGAAAGTTACACTGGTCGAACTGTGAATTAATAATTTAGATGCCCTTGGTTTGTGGGTCTGGTTAGCATGGGGGGGGGGGGGGGGGGGAGGGAGAGTTTGGTTATTACGTCACATTTCAATAACTAGCAACATCAGTCCAAGAATTATAGTAGGTACATCAGAGCTTCTTGTTGTTATTTTCTCTTTTCTTTTTGTGGATTTTTCTACCTCTTTCTCTCTCCCTAGTTGGGATAATATCTTGCGGAAGCAATTCTAATGTAAATTTTGACCGTAGTTCAGCGGTCAATATAGCGGGGTTTTGAGGAGTCTCTCAAAAATAACCGTGGTAACATAACAGTAATTTACTTAAATTAAGCAGCTCAGCGAGTGAACCGAACAAAAAAATTATCGGTTGAATTTTTTTTTTTCAAAAAGACTTACGAGAAAGAGGGGGTAAAGATAAGAAAGTTAAAGGGAGATGAATGGATAGGAAGAGAGAGGAGAGAGCGAAAAATGGAAGGGGAGGGAGTGAAAGAAAATGTATCACTTAAACCGACTAAATTTAGCGTTTAATTAAGCGAGCAATTTTTCTGAAATGCGTCACGATATAGTGAGTGTATGACTTAAACATTCGAAGGAGTCCAGTCAGAAAATCAAACCCTTAATTAATTGCGGTAGGATACCTGTTTGAAAAAGAAAACTGGCTTTAGAGTGCAGAAGGCTGAAGCTAAGCCAAACCAAAGAAAAAAAATGAGAAAACGCCAAATAAAAATTCTCAAACGCCTTCAAATCGAAAGCTAGTCGAATTATCTTTTTGTAAATGCTCTCCTCGGCAAAGTCTTAAGTTGTTTTGTTTTCTTATTTTTTTTTTTTTTTTTTTTTTTTTTTTTTTTTTGGTTGGAATTTTTAAAAATGGACACTTGTGAGCACTGAGCCGGCACTGTTGGCAGCGCATTTGCATTATCAGCACAGAGGTGAATCATGTGACAAAAAGGGTTAACTATGCAACTATACCTGTCTATTAACAATAAATATTCCATTTTGCATCATGGACACACACTCAATACTTAATGAAGCACAGTAATGAAAAAAAATAAAAAAAACATGGATGCGCGTTTATTCAGAAGGGCTCATCGAGATCAATTTTCCGTAATTCGCAGAGAAAAAAAAGAAAAATTGTTCAGAAATTCAGGATTGAGTCATTTATGCCAAAAGATAGAGAAGTATTCTACGAAGGTTTGGGATGCGTAGGTAACCCCTGAAAATGTCAAGGAAATCCGAAGTTAAAATTTACCTACTTCCTCTTATGCCCCCTCCGCCTCCCCCCCCCAAAAAAAAAAACCTGAAGCACTCGGAATATTCTTTATAATGTTAAACAGTTCACCGGCCGATATTTGGAATCCGATTTTTCGGTTGAACTCCACAAAAACCGCTCTCCTGAAAATCTTGCCTTCGTGAAATGCAGTCCTTTTTCCCTCACGGATGGTCACACTAAGCAAGAAAAATAGTAAAGATTGAAGTTAGTAATTTTGAAAAATCGATTCTATTCACCAAGATACTGACGGAAGAAGATGCAAGCGCAGCTACGTAAACACTGCCGAGCACTCGACGCTGCTGTCAATTGACAGAAATTTACTGGAAGAAAATGAAGAGACAAGGGAATTAGGCGATCTGAGGTCGAGACAGTTCTGTTTAATTGTAATTGGCCCGCAAGCAATTTGACTAGGTACTTCTTTACATGAGTTCAAAGAATGAAGCAGAGCTTACGAAAGCGTGCTACATTGTATCTCCGAAATCCCACAAACTGTAAATCCTCGAAGTAAAGTTTATGTTTATTGTTTATTGAAACATACAGGGAATTTTGTTAGCACTTTAATCTAAGTTTCAGTGAAAATTACTCGAGACTTTTCCCAAAATTACAAATGTTAGGAAAACTTGGCAACATTCCCATGTTTATACGGCGCGGCGTTGCTCCTTCTTGAGGCAACACGATATAGCGTATGGCGGAACATTGCGAGTTCACGCTTCGCGTCATCGCGCCTTCAATTTTTCAGATGCAGCACGGACATCCATCAAGTACGAATAGTTGTATCTCTGCGCCGTCGTAAACGCGCATCCTTTTCCTCTCTTTATTTCCATATTGTCTTTGTTTCCGTTTGCCTTGTTCGTAATGGTGCATCAAGCACTACGTGAGTAATACAACCGAAAGGGGGAGAGAAGTGTTCGGGCCTCTTTTTTAACTTTCCTCCCGAATCGAAGCGACACCTCATCGACAGCATATAGCAGGAGCATTGTGAGCTCACGCTTCGGGTCATCGCGCCTTCAATTTTTCAGATGCAGCACGGACATTCATCAAGTACGAATAGTTGTATCACTGCGCC